GTTTTAGTAATTTAGGAATTTTACACCGTTAGAAATCAAAAAGAAGAGAATTTCCGACCTGTTGCCGGTTAGCCTTTGTCTGACTGTCCAGACAGGTTCGGTGACCTAGCAGGTCGGATATGTATTCCGAGTAAGGTTCTAGGTCGGTTTCTCCGCTAGAAACTACTTTTTTACCGTTGAAAAGTTAAATCCAACCGTCAGAAATAGTTTTCTGTCGTTAGAAAGTTAAAAGCCGACCTAGTTAAGGCTAAAATCGACGTAACCGTGACTTTACCAGTGTTGGTGTCGGTTCTGGTCGGTTTCCTCCGTCCGAGGTCGGAAATCCGTCGTTTCCGAGCTGAAATCCGCGAGTAAAGTTGCGGGTCACTGTTCAAAGCGAAGGTCCCCGTATGATAGAGTAATCCTACGCGCTGCGGACTCTCGTTCGAGTCAGATCCGACCGTTGAGAGAAGGAAAAGTCCGTACGTGCGGGAAATTAACCGTTCTTCCTTTGTTGAAGAAGCGGTTACTGTGCTCACCAGCTGGGCAAGAATCACTTCAGTGATCCTCGTTTTTCCTCTGCTGTAAGACGGCAGATCAGTCCGATCAAAAGTCAAAGCAACGGCTGCTTCAGCAGTCGTTCTGTCAGTGACTTTCAGGTTCCCGTCGAGTTCTCCGAAAGTGAAGCCTTCACCGTCTCCTCAGAGATTCCGTAGGAAGGAAAACCAGTAAAGATGCTGCTTCCATGTAACAGACTATGGCGAGGAGATCACGAGTGTGTGCTTTATTGACAAATAAAGGGGGAACAATGCTGCGTATAGCAGGAAAAGCAAGAACCAAGGCACGTCTGGTCAAAACTAGCGTAAAGTGGTTGCTAAAAGTCTTGCGAGCTCTTCAAGGCGTTGAAGAAAGAAGTGCTGGCGGCAACCACGTGCTTGGTGCAGGCCAGACATCAGCTGTGTGATGCGCAGACTGGACTCGATCCAACGCGAGCGTATGAACGCTGATTGGTGCTGCGAAAGAGGGACGAGAGAGCAGTCCACTCAGTGTATGCGCTGCGTATATCCACTTCAGTGGATGAGTGCAGTGCAGCAGCACACATACGTACCAGTGAGAGAGGCGGTATACGGCAAGTAAGTGAGTGCAAGTACGCCCTGTTTGGGCGGGGCACCACGCGCAGGCTGTTGCCTCCGACAATTTTTTTTAAAATTAGTTCGACCAGAATCGTGCCGGCATGATGCCGAAAGCGATCTAACCCACTTTTAAGGTGACCTTGGGACTTAGAAAAAATTTGCCTGGATACAATACTAACATAAACTGAGAAACACACTAATAAAACCGAAAACTAAATCAATTGTGCGAGTCTAAATAAATAAAGGTGTGGCTATTCCCACCACCTCACACCACCTTTTGGCTGTTCTCCCCACCTTTCACCGCCTTTTAGCTATTCGCACCACCTTTTTTAAAATATTTTTTACACCACCTTTTGACTATTGCCACCCCCTCTGCACACCTCTTTTATAGCTTTGCCGTTAGCGGCGCTTTTTCCTTACGATTAGTTACACCACCGACCGGAAACGTAGTTCTTATTGATACCGGCAAATATTACCGACTTCTAGAGGTCGATTGACTGCTTTTTCAGATAGACTGTTTTTTTGCAAGAATTTCCAATAATCATTTTACCGTATTTAGCGAAGAAAAGAGAGAATTGATACTCCGTACATTAATTCTCGTGAAATCCAAAAGCTAGTTTTTCGAAAGTAGTTCTATTTTTAAACTTCAGGAACTGAGCTACGTAATTCAAACCCGTTTTTGTTAGCAAAATAGCTTATTGTTAGCCATGTTTATCAGTTAAACCGACAGATGCTGTTATTTATTGTCGGGCACAAAAATTTGTAACAGAAAACTGAAAACAATTACTGGATAAAAAAACGGAATTGTTTTTTGCAAAAATTTGCGGTATGACAAGTGATTTGCGAGAGACAAACCAAGACCCGAGACCGCCGTTTTGTTGGGCCACCCGCGTCCCGCATATTAAAAAAATTATTTAAGGAGGTGGGAAGCGAAAAGGATGTGCAAAAAGGTGGTGGCAATAGTCAAAAGGTATTGTGAAAAATATCTTAAAAAAGGTGGTGCGAATAGCCAAAAGGCGGTGAAAGGTGGTGAGTACAGCCAAAGGAGGTGCCAGCGTGGTGAGAATAGCCATTTCCAATAAATAAATAAATGAATTAACAAAATAAATAAATAAATAAATAAATAAATAAATAAATAAATAAATAAATAAATAAATAAATAAATAAATAAATAAATAAATAAAGTTTTCGTGCACCGCCAACCACAACATTAATAAGAATTCCGGTTTTGGTTGTCGGCACTTTTATACGTTATTTCAAAGTTCTAACTCTATTTACAAGTTTCACTTAGAGTATTACTAAGATTATCGGGTTGTTTGATTTTGCTGGAACTTGGAAGCTCGATCACTCGTTCACCTAACGGGCTCTGTGCACTGGACAGTAGTTGTAGCTCGGTCACTTACTCACTTAGCGATTTTTCTTACACGGCAGGCACAGAGCCCGTTAGGTGAACCCCTTAGTTGAACTAGTGACCGAGCTACCATTACTGTCAAGTGGATACAGCCCGTTAGGTGAACTAGTGACCGAGCTACTACTACTGTCCAGTGCACACAGCCCTTTAGGTGAACTAGTGACCGAGCTACCATTATTGTCAAGTGGACACAGCCCTTTAGTTGAAAGAGTGACCGAGCTACCACTACTGTCCAGTTCACAGAGCCCGTTAGGTGAACGTATGACCAAACTGCAATTTCTGAACAAAATAGAACAGAGCCCGCTAAGTTTTTAGTGGGTGACGAACTCGCACCAGTGTCCGGTCTAAGCGTCCTTTGTAATGTGAGTTTATTTTGTAATGTAATACTCTGGTGGTTGATTAGATTCGGATGGTTTTGCGCTATAAAAACTTAACAAAAAATACCTGTAAAGTCAAAGTAATTGCGTTCGAGTGCACGAAACCAAAACATCTATTTTTTTATAAAATTTTTATTATCGGGCCCTTCAGATTCATCCATTCTGTTTAAGAGGTTAGCTAATAAACTGATCCATTCTAAGTCAATAATCCGCAAACCGGTCGTGGAGTTTAGAACCCAAGAAACGCGGAGGCGAAGCCGAGGCTGTTTCTTGTATATATATTTATATAAGTACGTACAAGATATTAGTAGTATTACATAATATTTTTATACATTTTAAAGAAACTTTTTGGTAATAACTTGAAGTAAAGCGTGCATGCGTAAAGAGGTGGAAACAGCCGAATGATGGTGTCGTAAAGGGGTGAGAACAGCCAAAGGTGATGAAAAAAATTATTAAAAAAAGGTAGTGGAATAACCACAACGTGGTGGAAGGTGGTGACAATAGTAAACGCGGTGTCATCGTGGTGAGCCATTTCCTATTATTATTACATAATGCTCTCTTAATTAGATCGGGAATAATATAATGACTGATGTATAGCAACGGTAAGCAACCAGCTTGACAACCATGACCAGAAAACGTACGGATCTGCATAAACCTATCTACACTTGATTACTTCATTAGCTCCCACGTACAGCTTAGGACAAAATGGTCGCATACCCAACATCTCCACATTCAGTACGAATGCAGCGCAGTGTAGAGCCCTGCACCGGACTGGTAAATCCGAACCGCTCCGAATCCACTCCGATTTTCGGATCGGATTGGACGGATTCCACTCTCGAAAATTCGGACTCGGAGTGGTTTCGGAGTTTATATGCATCTGACCGGATCGGATTCGGATGCAATCAAGACTCCGAATTATCCGTAATAAATAATTATTATTAATTAATTTTTATTGAATTTCGCGCATCTTGCAAACAAAAAACTTCGTCAGCTTCGCGCTTCGCGCTAGGTTTCATTTGCGTTAACGTGCTCAATGCCAAAGTACTTCGTCAGCTTCGCGCTTCGCGCGAGGCTTCATTTGCGTTAACATACTTTGCCACAGTGCCAAAGTATCTGTTTTTGTTTAGTTAACTGTTTTTAATTCTCTTTCGCTTTCTCTTGCGAATTCCCTTGACACTTTTTAAAATTAAAGTGTTTTATGATTGCTGTGGTGGTATTAGTCTTTATTTGTTTTACTAAATACTTTTTGTATATTTACTTCAAAATTACGCTCTCCAACATTGGTTTAACGGCTCAGACAATTTAACTGGGCACCGGCTTTCCATTTCTGATAGTTGTAGCACTAGTAATTCGATTAGTACCGGTGATAACGGTAATAATAATATTATATTTATATGTTAAACTAAGCCTAAAGATCAGGTTTGAAAAAGTACATGAAACTACCGTTTTGACAGTTGCGGACAATTAGTAGTATCCCTTCCTCGTCTTTACCTTAGCCTCTATGTAGGTGATCCGTGGGTAGAACCGTACACAATAAAAAGATCTGATACAGATTTCTGACGGTGAGAATAGGTAGCTAACTTCCCAAAATCCTACTACACTGTAGTGTAAAGAAAACCTTTAAATTTAAAAAAAAGTTTTTTTATAATTTTTTTATTTTTTATAAAAGGCCAAACTGTGAAGTTTCTCTTTTTACTATCGTCAAAATGGCTAACAAATTTTTTGATATACTGTAAAGTTAAGATGTGTACTGTATTAAATATTTTTGGAAAAATTTTCGGAGCGGATCGGAGTGGGTTCGGAGTGGCCAAAAAATTTACGGATCGGATTGGTCGGAGTAAGATTTCTACAATTCGGAGTCGGACTGGGTTCGGATAAATTTTTTTAAGTTTGGACCGGACTGGACGAAGTTTTCTAGTCCGTTGCAGGGCACTAGCGCAGTGCACTGTACGACTGAGTTCAAAATATCCGTTTCGTACAAGTGCACTGCACCGCTTGCGTACAGAATGCTGGGTATGGGGCTATGCGACCATTTCGTCCTACATTGTATTCTGTGTATTTCGTACCACAGTACCACAGAGACGATTCTACTGGGTATTTGTTTGCAATATTATAATGCAGATGTGTTGTGCGCTGCTCAGAATGCAGACGCTGCATATTATAATGCAGACGCTGCATACCTGTCGTATGCTTTGTATGAGATTTTGAAGATCGCACCGCTCTCTTTATACAACTCACTGGATGGCAATTGGAATTTGTGTTCCACTGCTGCTTTGCGCAGTTCTACATTGGGTTAGCACGTGTCCTGTTGCAATACAAAGACGCACTTCCGCAAGAGGTTCAATGGATAGCACAGCTACTGCAACAACAACGCTAACAACGATCACACCAGACACAACGTCCGCTGAGAAAAGTCGTAATTGTAAGACCTGCCGCTACGTCTACACTCTGTCCTACCCTGTCCGTGCCCCTGTCCCGCACCCGGGCGGGTGTGTGACATTTCGCCGCACTCAAAACCGACGCGCGACTTTTCTTGCGACTTTCGCGGCAAATGAATTCGCCGCGCTTAGTTTTTAAAGGATTTTCAGTTTTTATCTTTTCTCAGGTTTCTTAAGTTTTCCTAGGTTTTTGAGGTATTTTATGCTTCTTAGGTCCTTTTTTAGGTTTCCTTTTGGTTCTTAGATTTTTTTTTGTTTCTTGAGTGTTTTGGTACGCCTAGTTTTTGTACAACTGATTGTCTGATTGTCGAAATATCTCTCCGTTGAAACATCCTCGCCTCCGTCTGGGTGCCGAAACGACCTTGCGACGAACTGTCTGCCGGTTTGATACAGTCCCACCTACATGTCGCGCGACGAGATGATTTTGCGGCGAAATGTCTGTGACCAAATGTCTTGCGATTAGTTGTCCTCGGCGTAATGTCGCCTTGCCAAAACTGCTTGAGCAGTTCAACTTACAAAAACATTTAAGCATCATTATTATTGTTCTGAGTTATTCGTTGAGCCGTTGAGCGGCACTTGAATTAAATGGAACCGCGCATAGAATTAAAGTACCTGTAATTTACACATGCGTTTGTAGTGGATGATATCATTAAAGAGTCCTGGAACACTCTAAAAGACGACAGGATCACATTGAAGTTTCCTCACATGGATCAAAACGCAACAATTTTAGATCCATATCCTGGTAATCTAGTGTACCAGCCCAGAGCAGGGGAAAGTCTTATTCTGACTTGTGAGGCATCCACAGAAAATACGCACGGTGTGTCTTGGAGTCATCTCGACCGAATGATATTCGACAAAGGGAGACGCGTCGTTGATGACGGGGTCGATAATCAGTTCTATAACGTAACTCACTGGGGTCAACTTGGGATTTTTGCTATTGTCCGTGTGTCCCTGCAATCGGAAGGAGAAGTTGTGTGCTGGGAAGAGTCAACCCGCTTTGGATACAAGCAAATTGTTACGTTAAAACGCTTCAGTATTAAACCGCAGATTACCCGAGCAGTGGAAGTATTTGCTGAGTCCATGCCACAGCAATCAATTATGGAAGGTGACGTTGTATCTTTCTCCTGCGCAGTTCGGCTTCCCTTACCGCAACGCACCATTAATAACCTGGCCAACTGCATTATGTGGCGTTTAAATGGCGAAACAACATGGGCCCCTACAGAGGAGCCGTATTGGTCGCATTTAGCACGTATCAAGCGCGCTTGGGCGTTTAGTGGAAAACCATATTATTTCCAAAATATTACAAACGTTTTTGGGCGAAAAATTGTGTACCAAATTGACTTCCATTTCTTAACACCTAGAAGAAGCGGCAACCTTGAATGTTGGTTCAGACCCCATGGTACTACTCACGACTGGATTATGCAGTCCACTGCATTGACAGTGAATTCGCGAAGTTAGCACCGGCCGGTTGGCGCAGGGAGGATGCGTTGCGGGCCGGATCGCTTGCGTTATTGACCAGTGGCAAGTCGAGGAAGGCCATGATGGCGTAACGATTGGGTGCCTTTATCGGTGTCTTGGGAAGCCGTATTGTTGCGTTGTACAGCCGGGACCCTTCCTGAATGTGAAGTAGTTTGGGTATATGTCACTTATAACGCTGGATATTACAAATGACAGTGTGGAAATTGTAATGTAATTGTAATTGTAACTGAAGTGTAATTGTAATGATAGTGTGGAAATTTTGTTCTGGCTTAACATTTCTAGTATTTTTTGTTTTCATTCTAATACATATCTGTACTGTTCGTTTGTGCTAAATTAATCCCACAGTTCCAATACGGAGCACCACGTTTCGCATAACTTGCTATTCAACGTGAGGTAGTTGGTGCTAGCAAGTGCAGAGATTATTCCCTAGCAGATTTTTGACCGCTTTATGTCGCCGTTTTAAGGAATCAACGACATAATGCGAAGTGTGCTTAATTTGGCCGGGCAATCGATAGACAATGGCAGTTATAGTCTTATAGGGATATAGTTATTGAAAAACGGACCTGAGTTCGCAAATTATTACGCATGTGCTATGTATATGTAAACTTTACCCTTCATAATATAACACAATTTGTACAATGTGTCAGAACATTTTTCATGAAAGCTCAGAGAATTGATATTTTTTGGTAGAAAGTGCATCTTTTGAAGAGCACATGCGGCACTTGCTGACTGCGGCATTTCCCATAAAGAAGTCATACGTCTTCAGTTTGTGGAAACCGGAGAGTAATAACACGGGCAACTGTTGCTTAAGATGCAACCGTAATGTCGTCCCTGCTTTCTCAGGTTTCTGGCGGCCCGGATGATACTGTCTTGTACGTTTAAGGAATACTAAAACTACCCAAAAAAATATGCATACCGGGATTTCGATTGTGGATCGATTGAGGATACTTGTTGTTGTCACACTGGGATGTTATGTTTTATCATTCAGTGGCGCTTTTGGCTTTCCTTCCGTACTGCGATCAAAGGTCAGGCAGAGCCAATATTGCTTTCTATTTTTTCGCAAAATTTCGAACTCCTCACCAGAACTACACAAAAACTGAGTTTTGATGGCATGCATGTTTTGGAAGGGAAATTAAGCGTAATGTTCGACAGCTGCTTTTTTAGGATAACCTGAACATACCCTTATATATGCTCAGTTTGGTTTTTGATTAGGAAATCTTTTTGTTTAATTCTGACAGATAAACAATTGAAGTATAATGAGTTAGCGTAATTACGCATCGTTTTATTATTTTTACTTAACCGATTGGTGTTACGTTTTTCTTACGAATGCAAATTCTAGAAGGACCTCGAAGAAGTCGTGCCATATCTGGATGATTTATTGAAAGCCAATGGTAAGCTTTTCAGTTTTAGTGCAAGAATTAATTGTATCTGTACTGCAACTATCAACGAACGTCTATTGTGGCACAAATACTAATTATTGTACGCACATACACATCATATACATACCAGTATTTAATGGCCAATGTCAAAACGACGGCGGAATTTTCTGCCGGCGGAAATTTTGTGAGGTCAAAACGACGGCGGAATTTCTTGCCGGCGGAAATTTTGTGTGGTCAAAAAGCCGGCCGAATTTCTCGTGGTCAAAATGCCGGCGGATTTTCCTGAACATGCATTTTTTTATGGAAATTACAAACTGATACAAAACCAACTTATTTCCGCAGCCGGGACACTTCGAATTAGGATGGATAGCGGTATCTTTTGTGATGCGGAAACGGCTGCTTCCTTTCTGCCACGGATTAAGACGCTTAATCCCCTTGCAACAGGGACACGGTTCTAGACAAAAAACACCGTACAAAATAGCTTGTGCTAGCTTGCTGGTCGAAATCTGCGGAATCGGAAGAAAGGCAAGACATAATGGCATCATTCGAATGCTGTTAATCAGTAGCGTTGCGGTCACTTTTGGTGGAAGTGCTTCCAGCATCATCTCCACTGCGGCTTGCAAGTTCGTCGCTGAAGTCATAAAATTTGTTACAAAACAAACGTCTGCAGTTTTTGTCTTTTTACACGTTTTTATCTGCAGTTACTGCATCCAGTTTTGTTCCAACAGAAAAAATAAGTACGAGGACATTTGGGTGCTGTGAACATACCCTGCACGATTAGGCTGCGATGAACAGCTGGTTAGCCGTAGCTCGCAACGCTACTGATATCACAGTCTGAATGCAAACGGCTATAAATTTAGCCGGCTGTTCATCGCAGCCTAATCGTGCAGGGTATGTTCACAGCACCCAAATGTCCTCGTATTCTTTCGGTAATGCGAATTGCAAAGTGAGTGTGTAACGCCTGCTTTCTTTAAACGGTTAATAACGATATCTTTTACGTTAGACAGATATAACTGACAGTATCTGTCTCCGATAAATATCTAAATATTCAATAAGCACGGCATAGCCGCATTAACACAAATATTATAAGTAAACTATTTATCGTAAAAATTGTCTAATAAAAAGCTGGGTTGGGTCAAACTAAACTGTTGCACTTGCGCCGAATGTTCACTTTCGTTGCCGCTGGCATCGTCCGTTTCGTAACCTTCCTCCATGCCAGATTTTAATGCCATTGGGACCAGAAATGTCACGTCCCCATAAGTTACCAGATAATGTAATAACTGTTTTGCTTATTTGTTTTCGCAAAATTCTTCTAATGCCAATTTTTTTAAAAAAACCGCAGCGGCTGCTGCGCTGCGAGTGAAAGAATAATAATTTGTGATGCAGCCGCTTCTGCCGCAAGAATGCGTCGATCAACGCGGTTTCTGTGTGTCTCTACGCGTAGAAATTCTTCGTTTGAGTTAGCTGTGCCAGTCTACATTCAGAGAAGTTGTGAGTCTTCCCAGGAAAGGCTCCAAAGGGATCAGACCAGATCACACCTCAGTGTCATCGCCGCAGTGCCATTGTCAAACACCTTGTTTGTCTCTCTTGCGCGGCTCAGGTATTCTCTTGAACTCATCCGCGCTTTATGTGCAAACCGCCAACGCAACAACGCACATACAGACTACATACATGCGACCCGATAAAGAGGCTTATATTGATAACGGAGCGCCCGATTCTATAAAAGATACATTTTTCTTCCAAATTGTTTTTAAATATGCACCGTAACTGAAATTAAAGTTACGAAAATTCCGCCGGCATTTTGACCACGAGAAATTCCGCCGTCGTTTTGACCTCATAAAATTTCCGCCGGCAGAAAATTCCGCCGTCGTTTTGACCTCACAAAATTTCCGCCGGCAGAAAATTCCGCCGTCGTTTTGACATTGGCCGTATTTAATTAAATTGGTTATGGAATATACAGTGTACGTAGTTGTGGTTGCATAAGAGTTGAACGTATAAGGGTTGAACGTGGTCGTATAATCTGAACTTTGCAATACATTACAGTACTTTGTCTCGTAACTACGCAGCTACGCTCACACCGTGTCTGAAAAATTTATACCGTTAGTTACGTTGACAGATTTGCGCGCTTTACTGCGCCAGAAACGGGATGGCTATGGAGCTTCCGTAGGCATCAGTGGTTACGGAGCCTCCGTTGGGAGCCGTGAGGGTGGAGCGTACGCCGCCGGAATGTCACCGACGATGATCGCTATGCTAATCAATGCCATCAACCAAGCCCGTTAGTATTACACATGACCTTTCACACGGCAACGAGAAAATGTTGATATCAGTGTGGTTTTGTTACAGTTGCTCAGTCAGCTATAGCTGACTGAGCAACTGGGGATAGCTACCCCTCTGTCACGACTTCATAAAGTCCTTTTATTCACTTAGCTCTTCACAGTCATACTGGCAGCTTACGCTGCTGCTGTTCACACGTTGCTATGTCACATCATCACACCTTCCTCAGTGTGTGAAACACACTACAGAGAAATACAAGATAATATGGAATTATTTGATAATGAAAATTCACACCAAAATAATTATTCAAAAACTAAATCCAAAGTATCCTCGGTGTTTTCCAGTGCTTCCTTCTTTTTCCGCTTCTTTTCGCGCTTCAATTGACTGCGAGTCTTAACCTGTCCAGTGCTAGAGGACGTTTCCATTTCCGTCGCGGATACGCATCCAATTGGCGCAAAATCGCCGTTGGGCTGTTCAATACTGACCCCGTCAGTGCTTTCGCCGTCGCTGACTGCCACCACGCTTTCCCGAACGTCGCAGTCTTCTGCCATTTGAATCGCCGCCCGTTCTTCCACGCTCCGGTTTTGCTCCGGCTGATATCGCCGATGCTCCGCCGGTCTCCAGTATCGAGGAGTCGCTTCTGTGCCCCGTCGTGCCATTTCGTCAACCTTCTTATGCAAGGCAGCCAACTCACCCAGCACAGTTTCCAGAACAGCATCTCCGTCCTTGCTGCATTTCCAGGGGTGGCTGCTCGCTCGCCTGTTGTAACTAGGCCGATGTTTAACCATACAGTCAAAATCATCATCCCCATTAACCTGTAGCACATCGAACTCTTCCTCTATCAGATTGGTGCGCCGTGCACCATCCCTCTGCTGCTCTTTCTCCTTCGGATCGGCACGACAGGCCCTGGCAATGTGGCCATACCTGCCACAGTTGCCACACCGCAGATCTTTTGCCCAACATTCGGCCTTGCGGTGGTCGCGCTCTCCGCATCCGTAACATCCGCCATTGAATGGCCACCGTGCCGTTTGGCTTCCGCCATCACGGTCTCTCTCCCCACTGCCGCTTCTGCCGCGGCGGTTGTCGCCCTGGGCTTCACGCCGTTTTGGCCTCTCTCCACGGCCACCAGCTCCGTGACCTTTATCCGGGCCACGCGCATCGCGGACTCTCGCCACATCCACCGTCTCCGTGGTCTTCTTCGTACCTCGGGCGAGCTCGTACAACTCGCATATCTCCAAGCACTCCTCCAGCTTGGTGCGTGTCTTCGACATCAGGTGCAGCCTGGTGTTTTCGTTTGCTAGCCCGTTCGTGAACGCGGCCATCATGTTTTGCTCCAACACCGTCGCCGGAAACCCCACCACCGTGGCCTTTCGTCGTAGTCTGTTTGAGAACTCAAGGAGCGTCTCTCCAGGTTCCTGCTTAATCCTAAAGTATAACGCCCACTCCGTCTCCTTCAGCGTTTTCTTCACAAACGCTTGTTCCAGCTTATCCGCCAGCTGGCCAGCGGTGAAATCGTCCGGACTCCCAGGCAGGCACATAGAAATAAGAATTTCCAGCGCCTCCACGCCTAAGGCGTCCAACAGTACCGCTTTCTGCTCGGCCGTGTCCGTGACCTTGTGCAGATCCACGTAGTTCTTATATCTGAACTGCCAGGATCGCCAGGTCATCGCGGCTGGCTCAAACCTCATCAATCCACCAGTGTCCTCCTTTCTTCCTCCCGACGGCATGGCTGCACTACTTCCAGAAAGCATGACCACACTGTTCGTAGACACTTTTTCTCTCTAAACGGCAATGAGCTCGATTCCTCACGCCAGATTGTCACGACTTCATAAAGTCCTTTTATTCACTTAGCTCTTCACAGTCATACTGGCAGCTTACGCTGCTGCTGTTCACACGTTGCTATGTCACATCATCACACCCTCTGACTGAGCAACTAGGGGTAGCTACCCCTCCTGCAGCTTCCGGTACGATCATACGTTCCATGCACCATGCAACTTTAAAAGAAATTGAATTATGTGTTTCTTTATTAGGCGGTGGGGATAATCCGCCATCTGCAAGCGCTAATTCCGGGGCAGCTCCGAACACAGAGCATTAAGTACGTTGAAATATATGGACATTCTGTGGGTTGTTGCCGCTGTGTTTAATGTTTTCGTTTTGGTTTATGTTGGATGCAGTCAACAGTTTACTTCCACGTAAGTCTGGGCGAATTTTTGTTACTCAAAACATGGTCGAAGTAGACGGAAGTTGTAACCGTTAAGCTGTTACAGTTTTGATGAATCTTTACGGTGGCAGTCCGTATGGGGCATATCCCATTCGCGGTGGTGATAACGATGACGATCCCAATCCGTTTCTACATTCCGTCAACATAGGCCGATCTATGGCACAATAAAGCACAGCTGCATTACGTGATCTAACAATTGTAAGCGGTAGGTGCACTTTTTTAGATCAAGAAGTATTTACATACGAGGAGGATTATAGTTGAGTCGGTAGCGCACAGCTGCTGCGAGTTAAACTGAACACAGTTTCCGTAAGCTATTGACGTAACAGTCAACTGTGGATGGTTGCATTTCCAACAATTGAGCAATAGTCAGCCGTGGGCGGTTGCACTGCTTACTTATCAACCGCGGTTTGTGCAACCATCCACGGTTGGCAGTTAAGTCAACAGCTTACGGAAATGGTGTTCAGTTTAACTCGCAGCAGCTATGCGCTACCGACTCAACTATAATCCTCCTCGTACCATTGTAAAGTAAAACATGCGTTGTATGGCTTCACTACATACTGTAATCATAACAATAAAAAATAATTAATTTATTAAGTAATTTATAATGGTTTGTATTCGTATAATATGTATCCTGTGCACTGATGATTTGCATGCCGTAATATTGAATTAAATTCAATATATAAGAATTACCCGGTAATGTAGGGCGCGGAGTTGGTACATCGTAATATTACTAGCATGCGATAATTTTATGTTAGTTTAGATTTTAATTTTAATTTTGTGACTGCCTTAATTATTACTACGTTAAACAAGTAGAAGCCTTTATAACAGAATTATGGCTATTGTGGCATAAAGTAAGCGAAACGGTAAAAATGCTGTAATAATACATATAAATTGCAAAAATTTGTGCAAAAAACGTTTGTTTTATGACCTACTCACACGACTGCGTCGTATTTTAAAAGTCCGTTATTTCAGTGGCCAAAGACCTATGCAGTAGAGACTAGTGCATTTTGCCTTATCTTTACCGGGTATTTAATTAAATGCCACGCATCGATTTTATGTTGTAGGAAGAGGATCCACACGAACGACTACAAAGTGATTTCAACTTTTAATTTATGCTTCAAGTTCAAGACGATGATGCGTCTTAAACTGCTACCACTTTTTTATTTTGAGTTTCTTGTGGATCTGCTCTACATCTCCCTAATTTTAAATATTGTTCTGGATTCTGCACGTAAAGAAAACAGTATACTGTAGCTGCTCATGCAATTAGGTGTCGGGTGTTAAATTAGCGTTAGTTAAACAATCTGGGCTTTCTTGTAAAACCGCAATAAACCAATGGGATGAATCAGGGCACTTGTGCGGCGTACTTTAAGAAATGCGTCGTCACAGTCCTTCCGGAAAAAGAACAAAACAACCAACTGGGCGAAGAAAGCAAAATGAATGTAAACGATTATTATTAATTTTATGCTCACTGTTTACGCGCGCGCATTATGCGCGAATGTATTCGCATTACGCGATGTATTCGCGCGAATTCAACTTGAATTGCTATTTTCGACATATTCTTCTTATCGATGACAATTTTCGTGTATTGACGATAAATTTGTCGTTGAAGCACAGATAATTGTACTGACCAAGATATAAAAGTACTGTGTGTACGTTAGCATGTCCTCATCGAACGTGACTTTTGTGAACCGATATGCAAAAGTCTATAACACATCAGTTTTTTCGTGACTCACTCAGCCAGAACGCATAAGTATGTCCGATAACACAGAAACTATTAATAGGGTGTAAAGGTCAAGTCCTACAATTGCTACACACCTTCGCGTATACAGTACACCTCCATCGAATTGGCGCTGTATCGGTTTTCCGACACTTGCAGGCAGTCCTTATCGAACGATTCACAATCCAAACTGTGATCGGAACTGGACGGGAACACTATGACTCCCATCTGACAAGTCCATCCAGGGTCGCAGGCCACTTTCTAAGGGCAAATGAACCGACGTTTCAAAGTGGCATCCCCGTAAATGTTTGCGATATTAGTAAAGTTAGGTAACGATTACAGTACTGTACACTGCAATCTGTTTCTTCCGCTAATATTCAGTCGTTCGTTCAATCGAGCATCAAAAAACAAAACGTTTGTTAAACTTCAAATTGATAGAAATTTTATGAATTACAGTATTGAGCAAGATTTGTTAAGGTAAACACACGAAAGTTTGCCACAATAGAAAGCATGCGTTACTGATCAACTGCAGCTGTTGAAAAATTATATATTAATTTTGTTTTAAATGTTTATTCTCTGAGCGTCACTTACGGTTGAGGTGCATGCTTTCTGTATTATCCTGTCTTCTTCGAGGGAATCAAACCTAAAATTTTTCATTAATTAGTAACATGTTTGTTAAGCGTAATGTTTCAAATGCATGTGCGTTTTGAAAAAATTATTTAAAATAACTATGTAAAACAGAAACATCATTGATTTGATAAAGTAAAACATCTGAGGTAAATGCAAATGCATGTGCAAATGCAAATGTAGAAGACAATTGATCGGTTATCGAAAGTCACTGGCACTGCGACGATGCCTTTATTGTTATGTCTTGCTATTAATTTTAATTGCTTCTAATTTTTGGTTCTAAATCAACTTTCTGATAAACAACTCTTCTATCGAAAAAACGCACGATCGATTAAAGCCCCAGTATCGGTGGCACACGCCATACTCTTTAGTTTTGCCGGTTTAGTTTAATATTACGAAACATTTTTCCTATGGCTAAAAGGAGACTACCTCACACGAAAATCGGTCCAAGTCGGTATTTTCGATAAGAGCCCACTGTGCCACATAGTGTACCGCATAGTATGCCGCAGACTAAGCGGTCTACTATGCCGCTTAGCCAAATATTTTACTGATTCCGATTGGCTCGCTCAGACATGCACAGCCCATTCAACTTTCGTACGTACACATCTACAGCGCGCTGCGTGCACAGCTACAGCAGTCTGCAGTACCCGTGGCAACTGCAACGTCTGCTAACATTGTAAAGACTTAGAAAATTTCTGAGTTCAAAACTATGACAAAATTATACTGTATTGAAGCTGTAATTTCCCCTTTATATTGTATCTGCCATTGTAACTATTAATAGTTACAATGGACGACGAAAAGAAGTTGAAATCGACCGGCCAGTGTGCGGTCGCGCCTCATCAACTTCTTTTTGTCGTCCAGTGTATGTAATTGGTCAGTGGTCAGTAGAAATTAGTCGGTCAGCCATCTTGGATATTTTCTACATTTTGGTTTTTTTTATTATTAAGCGTGGGCAATAGCGGTGGTCGTCGGTCAAATACTGGAATCTGGAATCAGATTGTTATTACGGACAGATTTGGAGTTCAGAATGGCGGAAAATACAGTCTGTAGTAACAGTGAGTCGGGCGCGTGATGTACCGACTCATTAAAACACTTAAAATTCACAGTGATGACGGGAAATTTCGCTCCGAGCGCGAGTGTTTGGGCGAATTGGCCCTCCTGCTTTTCAAAAAATTTAAAAGGAAAGGGTTGACCTAATTATTATGTTAATACAATTGTCATGAAAATTGTTGTTGCTTTAAACGCTAAAATCATCGATGAAATTTAAAATTCCATTTAGAATTTTGTACCAGTAACCTTTGCAGAAATTAAGCGACTTAATTTTGTTATAAATTCCAACGCTTTGATCCAACATCCAAAAAGTTTGACGTGAGAAGCACGCCAATTTTGATTATATTTCTCGAATACTTTTTTATATATGATTCCCTAACCAAAACAAAATAAAACACGGGAAGTTGGACAATACCAGCTCTCGGCAGTGATTGTGGTACATGTACAGTAACAGTGCTGTAACGGGACGCCTGCGCCGATCAGGAAAATGCTGCCGGAAATCGGGAGCGGCAGACGTGGATCTTTGAATTTATTTATTTAATATTTATTTACTGTCTGTAGCTAGAACTACAGGTACGAGGTACACATGGAAACCTAATAAGGTACACATGGAAATGGCAATTTTTGAGGGTAAACTTTCAAATTTCTACGCTTAACGTTATTCCGTAATCTGAGCCATTAAAACGTTAAGCCATTAAAACATTCACCAGTGGAAATAAATTAAATTGCACTAGGTTTCGCTCATTAAAATAACATTTGTGATCGTTATTTTATAGTTTTGCGTTTAGTGATGAAAAGGCAATAATTCTTCGCGGACTTATTCCGCGCAATTTGCGGGGGTCTGCTAGTTTTGTCACATAAAAACTAAAAGCTGCGGAAAGCAGATGCGAAGCCATAATTTTGATGAAATGCACTCCAGCAAGTTTTTGAAAAGGTACCGGAGCAAAATCAAACAACCAATAAACTTACACTACTTACATAGAATATTTCACCTTAAGGTTAGAAACGAACCTTCAAATATTGCACAAATCTGCCGACAACGAAAGCCGGAAGCTGTGTGCTGACTTGTGAGCCGGACTGATTTTCCGCATTAATGTCAAAAACAACAAGTATATATATTAATAGTCTCATTGATAAAAATTGTTAGAACCTCAAAACCTCTTCTCGAAAAATCACAGTCAAGTGACTCAAGTTATGCATTTATTATTAGAAACTGTTTAAACCTTTAAACCAATGTCTAAAAAATATCTGTCAAAACCGAATATCATTAATTTTTTATTAAAAACTGTTAAAATCTCATTTCTGAAAAATCATTGTCAAAACTCTATATTATTAATTTTGCTATTAAAAACTGTTAAAACCTTAAAACCTCTTTTCAAAAAAACACTCAAAACCATATATTATAAAAAATTTTTAAAACCTTAGCGGTGGCTAACGATAAGGACGCCAAAGCCTTCTTTATCGCTAAAGCGTTATAATTAATTACTAGAGTAGACTTTACTGTAATAATTATTAGTGTTCGGGCAACTTTTTACTGGTTGTTACATTTTAATCTCTTAGTTAATTACACATGTACAGTAGTTTAATTGATTGTACTTACATTGCAGTATTATTTACTCTCTGTGACAACTTGATAGTTGATACCTTTCAGAACACAAGTTTTCAGTTTTGTTTAATTCGAACGGTAACCGCATTGCAGGTTATCAACTATGTATCAACGGCTACCGGAAGTGATTTCGGTTTGAAACCAGCGCGTGTTTGTGCCGGTCAAGATGCGGAAAAAACCAATGCCCTCCTACAAAGTCTGGGCAAACTGCTTGCCTCAAAAAAGGTGGACAATGCTGCCGTGATACGGGAGATCCGCAAAGGCAAAGGAACGGTCGACCTCGGCACTTTCCCCAAGGGAGCCGCCTTCCTGAAGGTCGATGAAGGATCGAAGCCGGACAAAACCGACAAAGCTCCGGCGAAGTTGCACAGTGCACCCGTAAAACCGGCCGCGGCTAAGCAACCGGTGAAAGCTGTGGATAAAGCTCCGCTGCGAGCAGAAACTACAGATTCGGGAAAAAAGTCTGCAGATGACACGGTAGAAGTACCTGTACGGGCGAGGGAACCCATACCCGGTATAACACAAATTGTGAATTTTGGTAGGGAAAGTAAGATGCTTCATGAAGCCGGTTGTGATTTCAGAAGAAAAGGGGCCGGAACCGCGGGTAGTGACTATTCCGAAGGCATTACCTGTAGAAGTACCGGTCCAACTTCCGGCTAAAGATAGACCGGCCACGAAGGTCGAAAATCAGGGCGTCACGACGAAAAATGAAACATCCGTACAACAGAACAAGTACATAAGTAGAATTATAGCAACTATGTATTGTACATGTATAAATGTCAGTAAAACTGAAAAATCAAAAACCCAAGCGGATAACGGAAGAAGTATCAACAACACGGCTTATACATATGTACATGCATTTATTTATACAATATCTATATTATTACTGCTGTTGTACTTTTATACGACAGCCATCGTTTATTATACTGTACATACATTTGCATTTTGCACCAAACGAATGCGCTTGCTATGCGTACCATAGCAAGCGCATTCGTTGTGCGCAAATACGATGAACGATACACTTAAGTAGCATATCGTTCAACGCGAAATTCAAAACAGTTATATCTATACTTCGAATGCTGCCTTATATGGGCTCCCCCTGTATTACTCTCCCTTATCTGGGCTCCCGGCTAGTTAGCAATACCCGTCAAATTGAATTTATCGGATTATAGCAAAACCCTTTTCTACTTCTTTCAACCGGATTTACAAGTGAGCACACCAAAGAATTCCGAAATTTCACATCCGATTTATATTTATATATATTATATATATAATAATATTTTTCATTAATTTCAACCGGATTTGCCAATGAACAAACTGAAAAATGCCGAAATTTCTTATCACCGAAAATGCCGAAATTTCTTTTAAATTTCTTATGCCGAAATTTTTTTTATTTTTTCATGGGGTTCTTAGTGCATTTAAGCGGGCGACGTTTAGAAAGATCTTAAATTTAGAAAGATTTTGAATTTTAGAAAGATTCTGAATCTGCCGTTGATGCAACCTGAGCATTTTGAAAGAAACTAAATGCTACAAAAGTACTGGCAAAATAAGTATTTTATATAAATCAAAATTTTCAGTCAGGCATAACACTGATAACAGCTGCGAAAGTGTGAGTTATAACGCAACCGCCCATGTAGAGGTTTGCTCATATTGCCCGGGAGCCCAGATAAGGGAGAGTAATATAAGGGGAGCCCATATAAGGCAGCATTCGAAGTATATTCTATCTAGCCAGCCGCGCCCAACCACCGCCGCCCGCCCAACCACCGCAGCGCGCCCAACCACGGCCAAACGGGCCCCGCAACGCCCGCCTACAGCAGCCAACCGCTCCCGTCGCACCTCGTTAGCGCCGAGCGAAGGCGAACTCCCTGAAGATGTCCCGCCGGCCAACATTAAATTTCTAGATGAGGAGACGGCAGACAACGAGCAGCTACTACAGGAACTGGCTGCCCCTGAGGTCATCATCTTCAGTCAGCTGGATGCAGGCTATCGCACAACCAACGGACACCAATCAGGTACTACCCAATGTGCTCGTAGTTCAATGAAGTGAAATAATTATAATTATACTGATACGATGCAGATTGCTTACTCTCTGATTTGTAAGCTTAAAATTTAAATTGATTCTCTATAGTAACAATACTTTGCAAACATTAAAAATACTTTAGCGGCTGGACATCTGGTTGCTAATCTGCGCGACGCACAAAAAGATTTTATTCAAACCACTGGAATCGAGGAAGACGAGGTATCAGTAATTTCTGTGAATTTAATAGCTCGCTGTGCGGTTTACCGGATTTATTTGCCCATCGATTCCGAGTTCTAAACGACGAAAAAACTGTGATGTGATATGCACTATCATCCATTTTGCGCTGTTTGCACCCTCCATAACTGCGAGTACTCATAGATAATTCTGATTGTGAATACCATATAGCAAGGCACAGTATTATTGTGGTTAACAATTACTGTCTCCAGGGTGTCCTCAGCGCTGTTGCTCAACAGGAAGTGGGAAGATTTAAGACAGACATCGACGACGTGTGCAACACGTTGCAGAAGGTGTCGCGTCTAACCGATATTCTGGGTACTTATCTGGAGATCCTCCCGGAAGACTTTGAAGACATGGATAAGGATAGGCAACGATACTTGGAAGAACACCAAGCATTGCTACAGAAAATCGAAACAGCGTCCAAGTATGTTAGCAGTGAACATCCGGCATTTGTAATAACGCCAAGTAACTGCAGTTTATTGTGTCTGTGCACAGTTTTTTGTTATTTCCAGAGTTGAAGAACAGCAATTAGAAAAACTGCGACGGGAACTGGCGTTTCAAGAAGAGGCTTTGTTTGCTGTCGGGGAAGAAATAGCCTCTACACAGCATCGAATCAAAGAGAACAGTGGTCTACTAGAAAAACTTGTAAAACTGCGCAGTATGTGAGTTAGAAACTAGTTAAAAGCAATCGTATTTCGTTAAAACGGAAATAAGTTCGTGTAACTCGGTTTCGCCGCATTTAAGCAGCACATTTTGCATACGTTTTGCCGGGTGGCATTGTGTGCTGAAGCGTGCACTGGATGGACTTCTTTCGGTTTAGTTGTATGTGGTACTGAGAAATTCGGCGCTCCGACTAAAAGCCAAAACTACAGTAGTTAATCTAATACTTTTCGGCATAAAGGATACGTGTGTATCGGCATCTATAGCACCAAACAGCATGGCATCATTTCCCGGTGATATAAGTAAGTACCAAAAAGCTGTACAGGATAGTAGATACCCCAAAATGTGCCATATTCAAAAAAATTCCAGGGACACCAGCCCAGTGTACCGCCTGCTGCATGTGTAGTCCCAAGTATGATACAAACTGCTGCGGCACACATTTACTAATGCATGCTGTTCGAAAGAGAAAACAAACATGCATTCTTCATACGGTTCACTTGCGATCGCGGCTTTTAGTTGGCCGGACACGAAGGGTCTTTCGGTCTCCAGCAGGACCAACTTCCGCAATGAGGCACATGGTGCCATAGCAGTAATCTAACTCTGGTTGATTTCCGTGAAAAACAAACGCGGTCCTAGTGATGTTTCGTTGTGCCATTTCCGTAATCCACTGGATGCTCACACCTCCCATGCCCTCAAGGTCCGGGCTCCAATCCTCATCATCACAATCATCCCTGTCTTCACCATCACTATCGCCCTTGTCCTCATTAAGAAGAACAATCGCACCCTTTTCACGGGCTAATTCTTGAAAAACATATCCATCGACCCAACTGGACTCTTTAAACTGAATAACATGATCCGTTAAAACGGCGACGTTTTCCCGGTCGTCCTGAGTGTACACCTTCAGCTGGATGGGCAGCGACAGTTCCTTGCACACGCGGCGAATCATGGCATCGCTGCCCTTCAGATACTCCATCGTGGATCCAAACGGTTTTTTAAGATCAACGGCAATCGGATACTGATACTGCAGACCAAAACCAATCAGTCCGCCTTTCGGTAAGAAATCCGGCTCATCCAGCAACTTCGCCAAATTGGCTTTGAACGTCTGCTCTTTCTCGAAGGAGGCCTGGTTGACTGGGATGCTAAACTCGGGGAAGGTCGGTTGGGCGAAGTAGAGATTGTACGTCAGCGTAACGCGGTGGCCGCTCTGCACCGGCAGAATCTCGTGCTCCACGTCGCTGTAGAAGGCCATGTACGCGATGGACGGTGAACGGAGGGCGGCCAGTTCCTTGGCCGAATCGAACGTCCATTCCTTATCGCCCGAACGCAGGACTAGAGCACCGCCCTCGTGGGGGGTGGGGAAGACGACAACCAAGGAGGCGAACATGTTGACGCCCCGCGGTGTGTCCTTGTGCGGTTTGAAGAAGCCGTCTTTTCCTATAACAAAAAGACAGCACATTTTATTTCATCACTTGTGCATGAGTGAAATTTTAAAGTTTTCATGAAAATCAAATTATCAACCAAAGCATCTGCATCGCGACTTGTACTTCACCGTTTTCCCTACCCTGCTCTGACGTTTGGATTTTTTATTTTAAATGCACTATGAATACTTCTGCAGCAAAACCACACCAGCTGATTTGCCGACGATATTCTGGATATCTTCGTTCAGCTACTTTGGCGATCGTATACTATACCTACGTCTACTAAGACTACGAGCACAGTATTTGTACTCGTACTCATTAAAATAGCTGAAAATTGTTTGGGCTGTTTTTAAAGCAGATTTCTTCACTCAACTTGCCAATCAAATTTTGCCAGTTTCGTTACGCGCGCAACGTGGGTAAAGAAAGTACTGTACCCAAGTGCCGTCGGCGATTCCGACAGGATGCGTTAGTGCTTACCGTAGACATTGAGCTTGTACAATTCCGCTTCGACATGTCTGTTATGCTCCTCTCCCGACAGCAGATCGCTTTTTATCCGTCCCAACAAACCCGACCGTTCCGCGTCGAACTTCGTGGCGAACACGTCGACGTCCAGTTTACCAGCCCTACGGTAGGATTCGTCCAGAACAGCCTCTGTATTCCGTCCAAACTTGGCTGGATCACAGGCACGGGACAGATGCTCCAGTTCGTCCGTGCTGGCATTGTGCAGGGAGAGCTGTCTGCAGAAAGCGAGGATATTTGCCATAATATGCGTAGTAGTGTAATTACGCTGTAATACGAACATTGTATGTGGATTTTACCTGGCATTAGTGCCTCTACCGTAGTACAGAGTGAAGTCCTCGATAGGACGAGGAAACACACCGAATGAAACTGGAGAAGAACTGATGGAGTTCCGCAGAGCTTCGATGAGGCGACAGCAGGTGACAGACATGGGAGGGGATGCCTTTCGGTCTGGGTCTTCATCGTCTGTAGCAGTGGTAGACAAACCAAGAGACTGTTGAATGTTTGCTGGTCGGCCTGCTCTCAACGCTTTCAGCAGAGTTCGGGACCTTCGGGTCGACTGTGCTAGCAAGGGGTAAAACTTCTCCAACATTTTACAACAACATGAAAGTCATGAATTCTTTGAATCACTGATAGGTGATAGCTGAATCACTGAAATCAATCTTTGAATCACTGATAGCACTATGAAGTACTAATAACGGATCCCCGAAACTTTCAGTTTCTTGCGATAAGAGTGTAAAAATTATTCAAACAGTTTGAAAAATTATATGAAAACTGCTCCAACGCAAAATTTTCCCTTCGTCAATGCAACTGTTACTGTACTACCGAAATTGGTCCGAAAATGCCCAGTGCCCGCGAACTGCGTGAAGTTAAAACTAGTCGCAACCGTACTAGCTCCGCCCTAACCGGAACCGGAAGTACCGCAGACAGCTGTGTACCGTATTAAACTGCATAACGCTGCAGAATGTCAGCGCGAAAATGATTGTGATCCGAGGTACTTGTGCTACGGGATCCGGATACTCGTATTTGTGCAGGTAAGTAATTACAGTAAATACATTGAATTTAATTAATACATTTAATTGTAGTTTATTTTATTATTACTAGGCATCTAACGTAATTTTATTTGAATATAACTGCATCTATATTTGCGCATGTGTGCTTGTTGGGGTGTGCACGTGCGTATCACAAAACGAAGGCGTAATATACTCGTACAACAAATTGTTTTTCTTTCGCTTTTTTTGAAAGCGTCCGGCAAAAGTAGAACTTAATATTGATGGCGAGTACATGAGCGGCAAAATTAAAACGTTTTTTTTTTCATGGTGCCTACGTAAATTCGACAGACTTTGGTTTTCAAAAATGCGATCTTGATTTTTAGCTCGATAGCATCCACAGTTCCACACACTCCCAAAAAACCATCCAGTATTTACACAATATCAGTTTCGCATTTAATATTACGTAACTGTTAGCGCTTGCGCCAGGTCCAGAATGCCGCCGCCTTCCGGTATTTGGCGAACATAAGCAGCAGCAGCGGTTCGGCCAGCGCTTTGCAGCACATCAACGTGAAGCCCACATCCCAGAACCACACTTCCAGCGGCGTTTCGGGATTGTGCAGGTTAAAATGGAAGATCATCAGGAACAGCGCATACGGTCCGGTGAACACCGCCAACGTCCCCGTCAGTAACAGGGTGACCTTAAGACTGTGCAACGTAATCTCCGCCGGTACGGGTTCCACGGCGGGTGCCGTCGTACTACGGTTTCCGTAGGGATTTCGCTCGGCGTCCGTCCGTGGGGAGGGCGGCTCATGATCGTCGTGATCGGGCACAATCAGGCCGACATCCAGCGCGGTTGGGTCGAAGAAGGCGTTGGCGCTGTCCACCTGGGTGGGGCTGTGTTGCGACCAGTGGACGACCGGGTCGAAGTGGTGGTTGGTCTGATCGACGGCGGGGATGCGGGTCAGTGTGGCGAAAGCCACGATCACGATGGCGATCAGGCCAAAGACGCTGGCCGACAGCGGGATCCAAAAGTACCTGTTTGCCAATGCATTTATTTCGCGTAAATTTTATACAGCACATATAACACCGGTAACATTTAAATTTTAATCAAATGAATCGCGGTAGGTTTTTATGGAAGCACTCGGTCATCGGCTAAGACATTTGATTAAACTGGCTTAAATCGTGAACAGCTGCAAAGTTTGTCATATTCCAAAAATTATGAAACTTTCGCTATTACGACAATATTGTACATAGATAAGTCGCATGTAATTCAGAAGATGGTTCAAGAAAAGGGGTCATTAATTAAATCGGAACGATTACCGAAATCAGAAGTACTGTAATTGCTCGTATAGTTCCATATTAACTAAGAACCTTTCATAGCTAGATTACGCAAAAACCACACGTACCAAATACTGTCATGAAGCAATCCATTTTCACCTTCCAAGGCACACGTCAATGGTCCTGTTTGTACGGTCCACAATGAGTAACTGTACAAAAGAAATAGCCCGGTACACCGTGCGACGGATCCAGCTTTAAGTAAATTACTCTGACTACGCGCAGTCAATTTTTTATAGGAAGCCAGACTCGTACAGCAAAGTCAGATCATTTCCGGTGCTACACGATTTCTGAAATCTTAAATCGATTTATTATGTACTTTCGAAGTACTCCAAATGTAACGTACAGACTGTAGATGAAGTAATCTTAATTTTATAATAAGATCTACGTAGAATCAAACTAGAATTATTATCATAATTTTACAGATTAACCTTATATTATATACAGATATGACTCGTATACTCAATGCCCCATAAGCTTCATAGTTCATACATGCACCGGAAGTGAGTTTGCGGAACACTATGACTGCTAAACAGCAAGCGGCCAACATACTATTGATCCTGATTCTGACACATAAAAATGAAGCGAATAAATGCGATTGTATTTGTATAACTGTACTTCCGGTGCATCGGGTTTACACCACGAGCAGCAAGCGCTCCCAATGCTCCGTTCTGTGTATGTAGCTGGAAAATTAATGAATAATTTTTCATTTACAACTAGAGTGCAGCACCGAATCTTCATGAATTAATGCAGGACATACAGATATTGAGACTCACGCTATAGGACAGTGTATTCCAAAGCCATGTAACCATACCAGGACCGTGGGAGCAAATTTCTGCAGCACAGCCGTGGTCTTGCTTTTCGAACTTGGCACACAATCGAGCACCATGGTCAGTAGGGAGAAGAACTGCTGAAGTGCCATAATAGAGACATTCCAGCAGCCAACAAATGGGAGGAACGATGTGAAGAATGTGCTGAAAAAACACATTATCTCATTTCCTTATGACGATTACCGATGAGTATTTGATGGCATTTACGGCACATTTAGCGAATTAATCTATCGGATTTCAAGCTTGCACAGAGACGCAGCACATCTATCGAAAAACATAAGAAACGCATAATTAAAACTACCAAATAAGGAGAAGAAGAAAAATAATTTGTTTCACTAATTAGTGTACTAGTTACTATTTATAAAAGTTCAGAAGTTAAATAACGCCTAAAGTTTTGCTTAGTAATGTAGTTGCCGGTCTTTTTGCTACGTTCCAAGTTGATTTATTTTAACGCCCGTACTCCTGCATAAAAAAATGCAGAAGCAAAGAAATACTTTTTCCAAAAGTTCCACCGGGACAACAAGCATTGTTGACGAATATCGTAGGTTCAACAATCGCAATCGATAACGATCTGTGTACAACAGCGATTTCCGGCTTCTGTATATTTAGTTGAAGCGGAAACGTTTACACAAAGTTGCCGGTAAAGTAAACTTGCCGTATATTTTATACAGGTGCACTTGTTACCGATGTAATATCTAAAGAAATTTTAGTTTGCGCGAGATTCCGTTTTAAGTGAAAATGCTAAGAACAGCTGGGTGTTGTGGAATGTGGACAATGTAATATATGTCATATTATGCATAAAGAACCTCGTCATCGACTTGCCTAACATGGCAGTAGAATTCAGCGAAAGGCCAGGCCTTATTCAGGACAATATAGGAGACCACGTCGTAGGGATAGATGAAAACCGTTAAACAAAAGTTAACCAGCAGCAGATTCATCACCAGCACATCGAAGCCCACTTTGGGCCGTTGGACCAGCAGACATCCGCAGAATAAAATACTGTTTAGCAGGATGGACAGGACACTGGCCACCGCCACCACCACCAAGGCCAGGATCTGTCGGGGAGTGACGTCCAGGGTTTTGGGTTCGGGCTGGTAGTTGAGATAGTTGGAGTAATCATTGCTGTTGGTGTTGGTGAACTCAAATAATTCAGCCATTTTACAGGAAAAATGTCGAAATAATGTTAGTAATAGAATCCGGTTTGTGCTAAATATCAGCAACGAATTCCGTACTACCGGCAATGTGTCAGCGTTTAGTGCCGATCGAATATAAGCGCACTTGTTGCCATACTTCTACTACCGGAATGCTGGCTGTCGCATAGGACACCGATCACACAGATAAACCATGCTGATAAATATCGATGCAGTTTTTTATCACTGGAAGTAGTAGGCTGCGGTGTGGATAGTGTTAAATCGCAGCATTGCACACTGTTGTCTGTTTTCTGCCAACTGGGAAATGTATAAGAGGAAATCTTTGTAGTACAACGTTTCTCGATCTAACCGGAACATCTAAGCCGGTGACAGTGGGAAGGACTTGTTGTAAACGCGCACTAAACTCCAAAACTATCACGTTAAAAACGCGCCACAGCGGCTCTGCCGTACGTCCAGTTCGCAGCAGCAAGGATACTTCTATAGAATACACTAGTATTGCAGGAAAATCATTTGATTTTGTGGAAAAAAAAGGTTTTTTACGGGAATACCGAATACTGTTCGTTTAACGTTTAAATGTCGTTTACTGCAGAAAACCGTTTATATTTGTATTATAACAAATCTAGTACAAACACTGCATGGGATGATGGCGGCACAAAAGGTATAGCTTCGTATAACTGGGAGTCTGCTTATAGTTCTATATGTATAACCGGCCGGTCCGGATGGGACGAATAACCGGATGTTGTCTGCGCATTAAAACTTGAAAAATGTATTTCTACTCCCGAGAAAAAAACAGTATGTAGAAAAATATACAGGTCAAATTTAAAACTACCATGGGTTGAACGGGCTTGGTGCTCAACTAGCGATAGTTTTACGTTCGAATTGGGTTCGAGTTTAACTTATGTGATTTTTTTGCTGTTTTATTCGGGACTTGGATAATTCAATACGCTTGAAACCGATACTTCGAATGCTGCCTTATATGGGCTCCCCTTATATTACTCTCCCTTATCTGGGCTCCCGGGCAATATGAGCAAACCTCTACATGGGCGGTTGCGTTATAACTCACACTTTCGCAGCTGTTATCAGTGTTATGCCTGACTGAAAATTTTGATTTATATAAAATACTTATTTTGCCAGTACTTTTGTAGCATTTAGTTTCTTTCAAAATGCTCAGGTTGCATCAACGGCAGATTCAGAATCTTTCTAAAATTCAAAATCTTTCTAAATTTAAGATCTTTCTAAACGTCGCCCGCTTAAATGCACTAAGAACCCCATGAAAAAATAAAAAAAATTTCGGCATAAGAAATTTAAAAGAAATTTCGGCATTTTCGGTGATAAGAAATTTCGGCATTTTTCAGTTTGTTCATTGGCAAATCCGGTTGAAATTAATGAAAAATATTATTATATATATAATATATATAAATATAAATCGGATGTGAAATTTCGGAATTCTTTGGTGTGCTCACTTGTAAATCCGGTTGAAAGAAGTAGAAAAGGGTTTTGCTATAATCCGATAAATTCAATTTGACGGGTATTGCTAACTAGCCGGGAGCCCAGATAAGGGAGAGTAATACAGGGGGAGCCCATATAAGGCAGCATTCGAAGTACAGCTTTGTCACACTGCGCTGGCTGTCTTCTAATTTTACACGCTCCCCTACTTTATGAAACATAACTTACACGAGTATAATAATACTCGTCGAGTAGTTTTTCTAGATCTATTTCGACATACAGACTCAAGCACAATACAGCCTTACAACGTCTCAATTTCCGGATAGCGGATGGCTCGCTTATATGGGATTGCATGGCCAAATAGCTCTTGAGACGTCTGCTTCGTAATTAATGCATACAGGAATTCTCCCCAACCGGGTCTCTGCCAATATAAATCACACAATTATCTATCACCTAATAATTAATGCAACAGGTTCTTTTTTATATAAGGAGTGGCATGCTTGTTATCGTTAGTTACACGTGTATGTAAAGGTCACGTCTAAAAACAGCTTACTTGAGGGAGAGGCTGAATTTCAAATTGTTCCCGCGCGATGCAGATGTCACATGCGACATGTAATATTTACTTACTTACACTGTACACATAAATAAAATGAGTATGATTATCTTGTTATTCTATATACTGTATAAAGAATTATCCCCACTAATTTCGAAGTATGACACGCACATGCATACTTACGCTGTAGGCGGCTTCTTTCTTAAGAACAATAAATAGGTACTGTACTGTATATCTAGCGTTATTGCTTCTTTACGATCCCCGCGTGAGTTTATAAATATTATATGTACAACATTTTCAGCGACCAGAAATAATAATCTAAATGTGCGTATTGTTAAATCTAAACGTTAGCTAATCAAAAACAAGGACAATATGGCCTGTATTAGATCGGTCGTCATTTCTTCAAGTACCTTCGTCACAGGAATCCTAGTTGTTAAAGTTTTCTTCGAGAGTCCAAAACCAAACGAAAACAACGGACTATTTCTTCACATAATAAACTTTTTTGCTAAAATAGGTTTAGTTTTTATGCGGCAATAGCCACTGTCCATACACACACGCCTGCGCGGATTTAAACTAATTTAATTAAATTGGTCAAGTTTAAGCATTGAAAAAACACCCGTAATCGATAGCTCGTTCGAACCTTAGGTCTTCCATTCAACGTACCGAAAACAGCGGCTGCATTTTTTCGTTAAATTGAAGATTCTACCAGCTGTGAAGTACAAACATTTCATACGAATGCTTCGTGGCCTCCAGTGATTCATATTGTTATCCCTCGTACCTTCGCCGATCGTGATCATCGTTTCGTTAATGCATAGAAGTACAGTAAATCGTCTCTAGATCTGTCATGTGGTACAAACAGTAATCTTTCTGTATTCTGCTTGTACCTATGTTTTTATATTCCTTTGAATTCGGTTCCTCTTTCTGGTATTCTTATTGCAATTGTTGGAGATCAATGTAGGTCAAAACTGGCCGCATGGCATTCGGCTTAATTCGACGATACTTCCCCATCGGATTTAGAAACAGGAACAAGGTGTGGGTAAGTATATTAACCTTGTAGATTTTTCAGGCGCTTTGCATTTAGGAGACCCTTACCGCTATTTTGCACTGCACGGGAAGGGTTAACTCAATTGCACTTAGTTGAAACACGAGCAGCATGGACCGACAATGAATACAATAATTAATGATACAGTACGTTAACGTAAGTACAAGTACAAACTGGATATTTTGTGCACATGATGCTCTGCTCCCAAAAATAAATTATATATTAAAGCGTCAGTGGAAGCAGTAAGTTATCAATTAACGGTATCACGAGCTTTTATACTATGTATGTGATAACAAAATTTATCTAATTTTTCGCTTACCCTGCAGCATGGTGGACGTATTCGGCCAAGTTGCCAACTATTTTATGTTGATGTAATAGGGACCGGCGAAGGATCCTACCTGATCCTGTTCCATCACTTCCGCCTAGCTACAGATCGACGATTGACGCGCAAGGTGCACCTTATGTACGTATGCATGTTTTCGTAAAATAGAGTATATGTTGACAATAATGAATTTCGTTTCTCCAAATCAAACTACAGTAATTAGTGTGGTCTTACGAGTGTTTCAATTGTCAACTAGTCATCTACAAAGTAGTAATGCATTAATTGCACTGAAAGCTAAAGTCCTGCGCTCAATGATTTTCGAGGTTCGTTTTCCGGTTACAAATTAACTAAACTGGAATAGCAAATGATTCTCATTGATGATCGCCAGCATCGCCCATGGCTAGCAGTACATTACTTACAATTAATAATGCTGCGGCGGTTGAGCTACAGACTGTACAATACATAAATTGTAAGTACTTGTACCTTTTTCTTCGAATTCAGTCCAAAAACGTTTCATGGTGTGCAGATGTATAGAATTTTCTCTGGGATTGCTTTCAAAAGGGTGAGGCAGCTTCCGCTAAAAAGCACCAATATGGATGGCACTGCGATCGTCGCTGACCACTGGTCACTTCCAAGCTCCATAGAACAATTTCTCCATGTTCACCTTCAGAAGTCGGTCGAGAACACTAAGGAGTAAGGACTGCTATTAAAATGAGTATGCCTGGCTTATTATGCGAAGCTTTTGAATATTATGAAAACTATTTTACACGCACCATTTCTACCGGACGAATCCAGTTCAGCGTTAAAAAACAGTAAGTTGTGCACTGTGCAGTCAGGGCACTGTGCATTGCATTCTGTAGTGCAGTGGACCAGTGGTACGGCACTGTACCGCACAAGGCTGGCTGTAGCCAGTGTACCGCCCAAGGCTGGCTGCAGCCTTTATTTTACCGCACGTTCTGACCATTTCCCTGTGAGGCGAGGCGGTTGCTTCTTGGCCGTGTCTTCTCTCCGGCAGCAGCGGAGATAGAAATTCGCAGATTTCTGGTGGAGATTTTATTGTGTTGTGAATAAAGTATTTAACGAAATTACATCCCTTCCTAATTTGATATTCCTGTGATTTATCTGTCTCATTCCATTCATATTCTATGTATTGGACATTATTGTACAGTGAGCACGTGCTGTTGTAACGATCGCGGGTTATTGAACGAATGATGCACAGTGGAAATGATGGACGGCGATGCAATTGCAGACACAGGTAGAATTAAAATTGCATCTGCACTGCTTAGCTCTCTCTCGCTGGTCGTGCGGCGTCCCGGTACGCTCTGATGACATAACGTCGTAATTAACATGGAAATGATCGATTGCGCCCGGATGTGTATGTGTAGAAGAGTTATTTTCCAATTAAGCAGACAATCATTTTAAGCAGTCGGATCTGCATAGTGCAGTTGTTAATTGTGGCATGTCTCCTTGGCATTGACTAACCATTAACTGAATTTTTCAAAGTGTCCGGGAGTGCTTAACTAACCGTATGTGATTGTGGTGGAGAGAGCTTTTCACCATCGAGAAGAACTCTCATGGGTACGCCAAGAAAGTTGCTTCGATTTGGCTGTGTGTCAGAGTGTGTGTTTTTTTTCCTGCTGTTTTGTTTGTAAATTGGGCTATTGATTGTGCTGGCGGTGTTGATGGTATGCTAAACGGTATTCTGCATGCGTAGACGCTGAAGTTAACGGCCGACCGATGAAGAAGGATGAGATTTCCGATTCCCAACAGCCATCACCATGTGATACGCAGTGGTACCTGTCGCAGATCAAAGGTTCCTTAGAGGATGAAAATGTTGACGGTAAGAGAGTGCCCTATGCAAAATGCAATCCCAAATCTACAAGTAATCAGAACGGCAGTTTTAGCTAGCCAAATTATCATTGCGTTTCATTACCGTATCTTTCAATAATTCCTGATCTTCATTTCTCAGCTTTGAAAACATTTTGTGCAATTGCTTTTCTTATATTTTCGTTTTGAACAGTTTTGCATTTCTAAAAAAAATATGTTTAACGGTCTTCCTGAATGTCGACTTGTGCTCAGAGTGGTCAAAAACGCGAGGGAAAATTTTATGCTTTTTGCATTTACCGGGTTTGATGTGTGATTTGCTTTTCCGGTATTTTAATCTGGAAATTTTGTTACAATAATAATAATCGCACTTCCAAAATAATAATAGTAAATATTACAAAATTAAAATATTTTAGCAGTGATTCTGTGTTGCTTTCGATGCGTTTAATTGATTAAATCATTAATGGAAATTAATTTCTCTTGATATTCCATCATTTGCGTAGCAGATAGCACAGTGTTCGTTAGTTTGCTTGACTTCAGTCGACTGGATTGAGCATTAATTGATCATCCCCAGGGCTTCTCCGAGCTCCCTGAAATAGGTTTCATCAATTAGAGTGTACCGTTCTGGTGGAATTTGGCTGGCTGCCGCGACAGGGATTAAGAAAAACTGGCAAATTTGTTGACATGTTCCCCTGTTTGGCAAAATGAATGAAGCGCATACTATCGCTGCTTCCGCTTAGTTTTTCAGCGGAAACCTAAAAAGGGAATTTTTATAGAATTTCTCATCGTTTAGATGGCAGTTTTGTCGGTCAAGTGCGTGCATGAGTGGAGTTAGTAGACTGTGCGGAGTTGTTAGAATGGTTTGTTTACAAATCACATTTGTAGCCAAACGCGTTAATCTTGTTTATTTTCAGCGGATACAATATCCAGTGTACAGTTTAACGAAAATGGTGAATTCCTAGCAGCTGGTGATAAGGGTGGGCGGATTGTGGTGTTCAAGCGCGATCTTGAGGTAAGAAACGCTGAAAACCTGCTAGTTCATGTTGTCTTTGTTGTGAAGCTAGAATTAATGTTTACGAATTACTAGTTCCGATAAAAATTATTGTTTACGAAGCTAAGCGGATTTTATAATTTGCTACAATTTTTCCGCATAAATATGTGTCTCTTTTTCCAAAATACCGTTGTGAATGTCAGTCGGGCCTTTTCAAAATTGAAATTCTGGGTAGCAACGTTCAGCGCGGAGCGGAAACTGGTGAGAATTAACAAGGATAATTATATGTTATTGAAACCGGGCAAGGATTGTAAATGGCGGTGGAGAATTGTGTTGACGATGCTGATGATTAGGCGAAATGGCCTGTTTCCCGCTGTAACAGGCAGTTGTGGGCTTTTGTATGGGCGTACAATGGTTCGTGGCTGTGGTGAATGTTGGATGTGAGGGGAAATAGTGTAAGCAGCGGTTTGAGGTTAGGATAATTACTATGGACATACGTTGCATTCCCGCTGCGATTTGCCATCCCGCATGCCTGTCACTTTTGCCACGGGTAAAGTGGGGCTAAAAAGGAACGAGGTTCGCTGAAAGAATTTCTCGCCAGTGCTTTATGGCTCATAGAGATGCTACAAATTGGCTTAATTTTGCCGATTGATGCATCGGACGCAGATTTTTGAGGACGAGATGAATTGTTTCCTATGTTTCGGTTGCAGTGGTTATGTTCAAGGTGAATTCTTCTACATAGTTCAGTAATTCTTCTTTTTGTATTATCCAAGCTGAAAAACATCTCAAAGTAAATTATTTTAAGAGAAGTGCCTTTTTAATTGTATGCTGTGGTTCATTGGTAAAATACGTTCATCCACAAATCTCAAAATAAATTTTTGGTGACATTATTTAATCAAAGCGGAAGTAATATAAGTTAAAATCAATATTGCGATCTTATTAAAAGCCCTTTTTTTGAATACCTACATATTATGCATCTGCAAAAGAATTTAGGGGCTTAGACTATTCGCATGTTTTATTTCGTTGTATAAGGATTTGCGATTTGTGCTAATGTGGAAATCTTTTTAATTGTATTTTTGTGCATTTATTTACGTGTTTCGCATTTTTGAGACCATTAATGTTTTAGAACTACCGGGTGGTGTATTCAAAGTTAGGGAATTTTGACCGTGAACGTATGCATCGTTTTCGTCTTTGCAACCGCAGCAGCTGGTCATTAATACTGGTGTGTGCTGGTCTAAAATTAGAAGCCGTTGTTAAAATCTTTTGGGTATCGGTTTACACTTCTTGACACGAGACTTTTTTATTGCGTTTCAAGTGACACTTAATCGTTTGCGTCTCTCAGCAAACTTGCCGTATGTCATTGGCAAAAGCCCTGGCAATGAAATTGCCGTTTAATGGAGCACGCAATGAACAACCTGGATTTTTGTATAATTTTTTCTCGCAATAAAATTGTCCGGTTATTATGGGCATGTTATTGCATGATTGGCTGATAATTTATCGGCCGGCGATTGTAAAAAGCCCATCAAATTGAATTATTAACGATAAAACATCGTATAAGCTATTTATAGCGGATTTTCAGGATGTCTTGTCGTTCAATTATAAATTGAAATTTTTCCCGACAGGCAAGCATGCACAGTGCAGTATGCAGAAGGAGTGAATGTGTGCAGGAATATCGATTAGAACCTTTGATAATTTAAGAGGCATACATGTATCGATTCGACTGTCGTTGGGCGGAAATCTCTTGAACCCGGTCGTTAATTAAATAAAGAGATGCTTGGGTAATGTGGAATTAAGGAATAAAACGATCTGTTCGGCCAAAGTTTTGTCTTTCTGGAGGAATAAATCAGGATTTTTTGGGGGAATTTGCCGGATGTTGGGAATCTATAGTCTCTGCGTGCCGCGCGCTCTTCGTGTGCATGGGCGCCCTTCAGGAATCTCTGGCTGGCAGCCAGTGTATTACAACAGCTGAGGTTATTTATCGATTTTTCTCCTATTCTATTATGTTTCCACGCCGGCTTTGGGGGGTTTGTGGATGGATGGGCTGTTTTCTTCTTGTTCCTCCGGTCGCGCTCTGCGCTTGGCAGGGCCCTTGTCGCTTTAATGCTGCTCCGGCCCATTTGACGGAGATTTTGCCTTTTTCTACCTTTCAATTACATTACGAGCGTTTAATAAGCCATAAGCAGTTGGGTTGTCGGGGATGGCAAACAGGGAAGTGCAGCGACTACGCTGTTTTGCGTGCCGGGATTTTGGGCGGATTAGCGGCGCTTATGGTAGGCAGAAATTCGGGCTGGCAGATGTAATGTGTAGGCATCGCTTTTAGTCCCTGGAGGAGACTTACGAAAAATCAGCGGCGATAGCTATGCTGTTATGTGGAGAAGATCGTACGAATAAATTTTCAGAGTGTGAGAAAATCAAATTTTTTTTAAAAAAACCAACACAGGCTTTGTAAAATTCTTGCCTCGCGTGAAATCGAAATGTATCCAAAATAAGTTATCAAATCTAGGCGAGCGGCTAGGGTGTGCGACGGTACCAGGATTAAGCTATCGCTGCCATAAATCAGGAAGATAAATGTTTTTTTATGGAATTAAACATGAAGTAAATCTGTATTTTTCAAATTTCCTATATGTTGACTTCCGTTCCAAACGAGGATCGAGCTCACAATTGCATAGAAATTTTCCTAGCAGAATTTTCCTTGAAAATTGTTAATTATCACAACTTGGACTTGTTACGAGCGATTGAAAATAGTAGCATTTGCTTGCCATTTAGATTTGTTATTTTTTACTTGGTTTAGGACATGTGAACCTTATTTTATCCAGAAAGTTTGGAATGCCGGTTCTAGTCTTTCCCCATATAAAAACTGAGTTAGCGTTTGAGAAACGTATCGATTGAGCAATTGATTTGTGGGTATTGTATGGAGATTTTATCGGCATATTTTGTTTCTACAGAACCAACAACCGTTCGCCCGGACAGATTACAATGTGTATAGCACCTTCCAGAGCCACGAACCGGAATTTGATTATCTGAAAAGCGTGGAAATCGAAGAGAAGATCAACGATATTGCCTGGTTGAAACGCCGCAGTCCCGCCCATTTTTTACTTTCCACTAATGGTAAACTTAAAAAATAGTACCGTTGCTGCTGTTTTAAGGTTTTCGTGTTTTGGTGAATTTGAAGGTTTTGTGTGTTTCGTTTGAACTAACTGATTTTTTATTTATAAATTTATTGTTTTCCTGCAGATAAAACGGTAAAATTGTGGAAAATATCGGAAAAAACGCGCCGCGCTGAAGGATTTAATTTACGCGAGGAGGACAGTGGTCGCGTACTAAACCAGCGCCTCCAGCGATTGCGCATCCCGGCGCTGCGCAGTGTCGACGGCATCGTCGAGGCCTCGGCACGGCGCGTGTACGCCAATGCTCACGCCTACCACATCAACAGTATCTCCGTCAATGCCGACCAGGAAACGTTTCTTAGTGCCGATGATCTCAGGATTAACATTTGGCATACCGAGTCCAAAAATCTGTGTTGGAGTACGTTCCCGTTTCTGTATACTATTGTGGTATTATCGAGCCGTTTTGTCCCTCGCTGCCATTCTTCTACACTGTTCCGTTTGTTTTTAAGACGTTTTTATAATTTGTGTTGAAATTTTTATTGTTTCTGACGTTGCTGCACTATAGCGTTCATTGTCATCACCCTAAACTTGGGGTTTTTTATTGTTGAGTTTATAATTTGGTTTGCTTAGAGATGTTTGGATAATTTGGTTTTTTCGTGTACCAGATGGTTAAATTCGTATTAATCTGTTTTTCCTTGAAATTACGGATGTGTTGACATGTGGTGTTGCAGATGTTATCGATATCAAACCGGATAATATGGAGGACTTAGCGGAAGTCATTACATATTCGCGCTTTCATCCAACGGAAAACAGTGTGTTTGCGTTCAGTAGCTCCAAGGGCGTGATACGACTGTGCGATATGAGACGGTCAACACACCATGAGCAGCACGCCAAATGTAGGTTGAGTTCTCCTCTTGGTTCTATAAAGGTGTCGTGTCGGTGGATTTGTATTGCTGACGTTGCTCCGTATGTGTTTGTGTAGTATTTGCCGATGCGGAGGATGTGGGGACGCGGAACTTCTTTTCGGAAATCATTGCCAGTATTGCTCATTTCACCTTTAGCTATAATGGCCTCCTGATGGCCGCCCGGGATTACATGCACGTTAAATTATGGGATTTGCGTATGGAGAACAAGGCTGTCGAAGTATTCCATGTCCATGAATACCTCAAGGCCAAATTATGCACGCTCTACGAGAACGACTGCATATTCGATAAATTTGACTGCTGCTTCTCCCATGACGACAAGTAAGCGGTATAGCATCGTAGTGTTGTGGCTTGTCAACTGGTCGTAATCGCTAACTGCGTAATGCTGGACTGCGGCATGTGTCTCACAAACTTAGTGACCGTAAATATGCAGTTTATTTTTATCGTTCAGTTTTCTTGCGAAAGGTACGAGTTTGATATCTAGTAACTGACACGGGCTTTTGCTTGTGCTGTTATCTTTGCCGGTGGCATGCGTAGTACAACGTGACCGTCGTACATGCGTCGTTACAGTGTATTGCGGTTATCGACTTTCTGCTGGTCTCCGCAGTTTTACCTGTATTTGGGAAATTACATCGAGATTAATGGGATCTTTTGTTGTTTTGCTTCTTTAAGAAACACCTTCAGACTCACCGATTATTTTATTCCAGTATTGAGATAGTGCTTCTTTTTACGGAAGTGCGATAGTGCTTGTTTTTCGTTCCGTCACTCTGTGGCACATTGCAGCCATTTCGATTGAATAACACATGTCGTTGGTCAACAGGGCCATTTTAACGGGGTCATACGGCAGCCTATTCCGGGTGTTTGACATTGCGTCGAAGCGCGACGTGACGTACGAGGCCTCGAAGGATGTTACGAAGGTGAAGGCGGTGCTTAAGCCGAAGAAGATCATCGCCGGCGGGGATCGGCTGGCGGCGCAGAAGCGCAAGAAGGACGAGATCCCCACCGACTCCCTGGACTACGGCCGCAAAGTACTGCACGCCAGCTGGCATCCGCGGGAAAACGTCCTGGCCCTATGCGCCACTAACAATCTCTTTATGTTCGAGGATGCTCACTGAACGGCTGTATTTTTTTTGTTTGAGTTACGTTGTTTTTTCTGTTTTCTGCACGCAAAACGCAACGGAACGTGGTGCACGCGATGTGTGTCTCTGGTTGGAGCGCCGTTTTTTCTTTGAGTTGTTCAAATTTTACAAGAAATGATGATTGTGTTTTTTCCTACCTTCATTACTGGTCTGATGTGGTGCGTCGTCGAGGGGAAAGAAAATTTGAAGCGGGTGCCGGAATTGAACGCTTTCAAGAGAGATTTTCCTGTGGACTGATAGGAAGAAGGTGGTTTTCCTATGATGTTTTTGTGTCTCAACAGCAGCTGATTGTGGTTGTTGAAGAGGAGAATTTATTTATTGTGTAATGGGGAAATAATTTTTTGGATTGATGGATTTAATTTCTGTACGTGTACTGCTCTCTTTCTCTTTGATTGTCATTTTCTGCTTTTTTTCCAAACGGAAGTTCACTTGTTTTGATGTATAGAAAAACAGTTGTTTTGCTGCATCCAGATGCTTTCTTACCCAGTTCGCTTAACGATCGATGTATGTTGCAATATAATTTCAATAAAACAGGTTCAATGCGGTCGCGGTGCAGTTTTCGAAATTTTGAAATGCGAGATTACGAGAGATTACGAGTTTTGCAGCTTGCTTTTCCGAATACTGGACAGCACGTTATATATTTATTTATTAAGCGAGGTATTGAGTTTCTTTCTGGATCATCGACCCTTCTGCCAGCATCCGAAAATTCCCGGCTGAAATGTTATTTCCCGGTGAAACCTCATTGATTTTCTGCAGCTGCAAGGCTCGCAACTCCAACACAGAAGACCAGCTGAACCACATTTTACCTTTACCTCGTATAAGTAATCGCGCTCGTCGATGTGCAGCACTTACCTCAGTTACCTGTCACGGCTGGCCTCGTATCATACGAGTATGTCTGCCTTTTTCAGTTGAGGGTGTATAATTCAATATGTACGACAACAAATCTCTGGTTTTCTCCACTTAATTCCCGTCCTTCTGCTTGTCACCTTAAGGTCGCTTGTCAGCGCGTATCTCACTGGTCAGGCGCGGTATTGTGATGATGCCTAAATTTAACGGCTGCATTGATGCGTAAATACATCACAATACACCGAACATTCGAGATCAGCGCTGACAAGTGAATGAAGAGAAGGAAGACTGGGGGAAAATTCCTGTATTCATTATAAATAATGAAGCAGACGTCCCAAGCGGCGCTATTTGGCTGTATCATTCCACGAAGCGAGCCATCCGCCATCCTGAAACTGAGACGTTGTACGGTTGTATTTGAGTGTGTATTGTATTCCAAAATCGAGACAATCTTGTTGTTCCATAAGGGGAGCGCATAAACTCCAATACTGCAGGTAGCACAGCGCTTTGTACTGCTGTTACGCAGTACTCATACGCTTTAATACAGAACTTTATAAAATACAAAATACATGTATTGTACAATACAAGTAAGCATACTTTTCTAATTTTAATGTGCAAACAACATCCGGTTATTCGTCATGCAGCCCCCAGGTAAGTACAGTACCTAGGTACAATACATCTACTGTATGGAACTATGCATTAAGTAATTATTATGTGCCGCCATGTACTGCAGTGCATCGAGGCTATATTAATATGTGTACGATCACAAAGAAAGGAATCAGGAACAGGTATCTACCAATAACTATCGCTTAACGCAGTAAGTTCTTTAATAGAAAAGATTCGAAAGTTGCGTACGTATTGACCTTTACCTACAAATGTATATTTGCATTCTGCATACATTTGTAGGTAAAGCCGTAAAGGTCACGTCTAAAGATTATATATACGTACTTAGCATACATGAGGGAGAACCAGAATTCCAAATCGTTCCCGCGCGTGCACATGTGGCATTGACTTACAGTAACTACCCGTAGCTTACTGAACTTAACTCAAAAAACACATGTGAATCATTATGGTTTGTACTCGTACGTGGCCTAATTAGTGATTACCTACCTGTTATTGGGATAAATCCTGCTTCCTATTATAAAGCGTTACCGGAATTCAGACATGTTTGTGCCAGCTGGCACTGGAAATGGAAAACAATCCATTCCATGAGATATGCTTAACACAGGAAGGCGGTTTCAGAGAAACACAATAAGACCACGAAATGCCGGAAACGTCATCCAGGACTACAGTACTTACATGTTCCGTCCGGTGGGTTCCGTGACCCTTAGATCGGAATTCGGAAGCCTTCTGGGCTCTGGCTCGTCAGCGAGCTGTGGAAAGAAGCTAAGCGACAAAAGATGTCAGATTTTAACAACGGAATATCGACACCAATCGAAACCCGCCGTGAAAACGCGAAAGCCATTCCATGGGAACGGCGCCTAGCATCGGCTGATTTAGATTAAAAGTTCTCTTATAACCCGTCCGCGTGTTTAATTCCACTGCTTGTTAACGTAATGAATGTAGTATTTCCTAGCTGTTGGGTTGTTTTGATTGTTGCGGGTTATCGAGCAACAGCTGAATATTATAAAGAGAGAAAACATAAAATAAATAAGCAGTACTTGAAGTACTGTACAACAAGTACTTTTAGTACTTACCACAGCTTTCGTGAGGTCAGTGTATCAATGGTAAACCTCCGAAATCGGTGCGGTCAATGTTACCAGTGCCACGTTTGGCCAATGTAACCGTGCCTCCGCGATGTATGGCTGTCCGTTGCAATTTGCAAGTCATTCGAGTGCCGGAGATCGAGTAAATGTCGAAGAAAAGTTACCGGAGTTTTAGCTTGTTGGGAACATCGTGACTTCCTAGTTCCTACCGTTCTCGGCTTAACGTTGCTTTGAACTGTTTAACTTTCAATAGCTAATCATAACAATTACTGAACGTGTTATATTGTTGCTTTGAGGCTGTTTGAGCAAGGTATCATAGATACCGTTTCAGATACACACTGAACGAAGGGGTGTGTATTTTGTGGGTTTTACCGAACGCATCTAGACCTTGGTATAACAGGCGTGCGCAAGGTTTTCGGTTTCTCGTTAGCTCTTTACTGACTAGGTTTTTTAACTTTTGACGTGTTTGTTGGATCCTTGAAGCGCAGTGGTGTCTTGACTGTAAAGTAAGTGAACAAAATAATGTATCTGTTCTGATAGGACTTGATAACTGGAGCCAAACATCAAAATGTCAGCTTTACAGTCTCCACAGTAACCGTATCGCGATCGCCGTGATGAAGCCCATGAACGTTCACATCAGCTTCCCGGGTCCTCCTAGCCGTTCGCTTATCATCAAGATCAACACACCCAATCTGTACCAGACATGCCGCCGCGAGGTGCAGAAGTTGTTGGGAAACGACAGCTTCCGATTGCTCTTTCACAGTAGGCGCGATTTGACATTGCGTCAGCCTAGTTTGTGGTTCTTAACCTTTTTGCTGTAATCATACAGCGACATACGAACAGAAAGAACATGTCATCGACTGCAAGTCGGACGAGGATATCCACAAGCTGATGAGCTTCTGTGATCGGGCGTTCTTTCCGTTGACGATTAAGCCAGGTGACGGTGACGCCGCGGACGTCAGCAGTGAGAGTGAGGATGACGATCGTGACCGCGAGCAGCAGGATGTGGCAGCGCAGACACTGGGAGTGGTTCATGCGTGCGGTGCGAATGTCGTTATCGTCGGTGGGATGACAGTTTCAGGTGAGTTTTGTTAATGATAGTACAGCTTGTACTATAGTCGTAACTCCTGAGTGTATAAGACATCCACCAAAGTTTGAAAACGGCCCAAAATTAGCCCAATCTGCAGCACAAGTTACGTAGTTGGCGCACGAGGTACGTAGTAGCCTAGTAGGTACCGAATCTCCAGCTCCAGTGCTTGTCAACAGCCTTCAATACGTCATTGACTATAATTTTCCTGTTTAATTATTGGTTGCGTTGTACATTACGCTGAAAACTGATAATAAACGAAAGGACGAAGGAAAGTAATTAATTCTGGGGAGTATTAACGATCAGACAGGGATGTAGGTGTCGTCGTCATATGAATTTGATTCGCTTGCTTAATTGAGTTCACTCTTCAAGCCGCTACTTATGTAGTTTCCAGTTATGCCGTGCATATGCATGCCGTGCCCCATTCTTTTTTGTAACGAATTTTCGTGCGCTTGAGCTCTTCTTGCTTTTAATTTGCTGTGTTGAGCGTATTAAGGATTGCGTCAGACGTCAGTGTGCATTTTCGGAATTCGTAACTTGGGTGTGTCCGAATATGGGAAATCAACTGGTTTCGTGTTTGTGTACCGAAGACTTTTCTTCTTCGAGTACCTACTTTGCAGTTTGCGGTCTGAAGTAGACGGTAGCACTATCACCGGGATTCGGGAATTAAATTATGTACAGCGATGCACCGAAAAAGGTTCAACCAGAAATGCGCCAGCAGACACAAAGTCTGGACGCAAAGTACGGTAGTTTGTGAGTGCCTACCCGCTACTCGAGGGCCGCTACTGTATAGACCGTTTCCGCCTATTTCGGTCTGCGGAGCCGAGTCCGAATGCCAGCCAGTGATAAGTACACCTTTTAATTTAACCTGAGTTAATATACAAAACAGTTACAGTATTATTTTTTGAATTATACTGTGTTTTAATTACTTTTTTCTTTCTTGCAAATAAATATGCGCTTCATAAGAAGCGGATTAACTTTAATCTTTGAGATCGGTATGCCGTCTGCGATTGCGGCTGTCGCTAGGCTGCTGGCTGCCGTCGATTGTGCGCAGACCGTAACGCGATTCAGCCGGTTCATTGAACCGTGGTCGCTCGCGCTAGTCTGCTCCGCGGCTCCAACGGTTAACGCTTGTTTTGCAAGCATCAAGATCAGCAAGCTGCTGCTGCTGCACTTGTGACTTGGCGACGTACCTTCAGTAGTTTTCTCTTTAACCAGGGCCTTGAGGCAGTTGTGGAATGCAGTCTGATTTCGATTTCTCCGATAAAATTATTATTGTTTCTGCTTGCATTTCATTCTTCCGATCCGCATGATTTTGCTCGGCATTCTTCTGAAGATCGCGTGTGTGTCGACTGTCGAGTAGTCTCAGTGTTTGCATTGCTTTCGGCGACGCACACAGACCATGTCGAAGATAAACTTCAAAATGCCCGTTCCTCCGCTGCATGCCAAGGGCTCCATCATATGCAGTCGCAATAGCAGCGGCACCAAGCTTGTTAGCCAGCCCACGGATGCCATGCAGGCCGCGGAGATCGCTCGACAGCGCATCCAAGCCCGCTCCCTGTCCATGGCCGTGCCTGCCTACCGACCCTCCACCTCCAATCTGTACACGGCCCGCGCTGCCTCTCCGCCGCGGGCACGCGAACGGGAGACCTACGCTGCACCAGGTAAGGAGGAGGGGGTGCAAGAGCTCTTGAAGATTCTCAGTTCTCAGGTGGCATCGATGTGGGATGTCAGCGCGCAGCGTTTGCAACCTCTGCATGGAATTGGAAAGTCTGCGATGGAGTTTTGCAGTTTATTTTTCTTGCCATATGCAGAGGCTTTATTCTTTCGCAAGTGTTATTTCGATTTTTTAAAAATTATTTTATTGAATTTCAGTGTTGAAGCATTTTGAAATATGCATAGAGCGCATGACAGTCGTCTTTTTTAGGTTTAATCACTTTAATGATGATTTTATAATTTTTATTTAATGATTTATCATTAGAGTGATTAGACATTATGATTACTCCGGTAGTCTGTGTTTTGCTTCCAGCAGCTTTGAATTTTGGCGCACCACCAGAAGCTTGATGTTATTGTATGCTTTCAGTCTTTTTTTTCTGTTATCGCGTGGCATAGATTTAGGTTTTTCGAAACTAGTTTAATTTGGCAAAGCCTTAAGGTTCGTTATGTGAATGTGAACAGCTTGATCAGCTTGAAATCTAATTTTTGTCCTGAGTGAATCACGATAAATAATAAGATATATAAGCGCCCCTTTGTTTTTTGTTGATTTGTCAGGTTTGCGTAGTAAATTTTTTCCTAAACTCTTCGATACTTTTCTGCATTCAGTTGGAGCGCTGAACCGAAACAGCAGAAAATGTGGAATGTACTTGAACATTTTGTTGCTGGTCTAATCTGTGTTTACCTAGTTTTGGTCTGTTTGTGCTGGCAGCTGGAGGTTTGCTGCTTTCCGTGCTTTGTATTTTATCACAGGATGTGGTTAAGGGTTACTGCACAGTGCAGTCAGACATTTGTGTGTCGACTGCCGATGCTGTCGTGTGGCCTACTTTTCTTTTCTGCGTGCATTTGACGGTATCGCACCGTGAATGTGGGCGCCCGAGTGATGCTGATTGTGCGTTTTTGCTCTCTTGTGGCTGCGGGCACAATTAGGGTGCGCCGGCTGTTGCCAGGAAGACAAATACCTTCAGGATCAGAATAAAACCGGCAAAATATTATTGTGCTATCGTATTAGTTTAGGCGTGGTTTGGTGGAGATGCAATTTTTTCACCGCAATCTTTATTGCCATTTTGATGACAAACTGAAAACATACAAGCGTCTAAGTACTTAGCCGGTAGTATATACGATTAGAACCATTAAAGCTAATTGGAAAGGTGTGTTTTTGCAGTGCCACCTCAGTTGACAAGCACGGTGAACCAGATATGGAACGCCATCAATCTGATGTTGCCCAAGGGCAGCGAGGACGATGTCCTGCGTGCCCTCATGGAACAGATTGCCGAGCGTCTGCATGTCAATCTAGACCTGGATCTCAGCGGACCCCAGTGCTCCGGCAGCTCCTCATCCGATGAAATCCCGCTGCCGCACCGTCTGTTGGTGGGGAATCGCACAGGTCAGTGCCCGCTTCGTTGCACAAGAGAATTGTTAAATCGACGGCGTTTTTGCTTGTAGAAGTCAACGGATATTACGATCATGATCAGAGTCCACCGCGCAATCGCATTTCCGACACGCTGGGTGCTGTGGGTGTGCAGCCGCGGATTCGCCTGCTGGACAGTGTTCCCAAACCACGTACGTTTCACGGTTGTCGAATGCCGCAGCACAATACGACTATTTTGTAACGAGTTATTGTATTCCAAAGCTGTGCATCAGCGCGCTCGCTGTAAATATAACAACTGTTAGGACAATAATTTATTGAATTTATTCACAGGCGCTGCTGTTCAGACGAATCACTGGCGACAGCCTTTCCGTCGTGAACCGTCGGAGGACAGTGACTACGTTCCGGGCCGTCCGCATCGCTTCACGGCGCCAAAACAGCGCAAACGCATGCAGGTGAACCATCGTCAGTCGGCGGCGCGCGGCATCACCTTGGCCGTACCCAGCCAGTTGCATCGCGCCCCACCCATCCGTCGCCGCAGTGTCAAGCAGGAGGGCAATCTCAACGAGCCCATCCAGCTGCGGGATGCCGAAAACCGTATTTCCGGGTATCAGTGCCCTCGGTGTCCGCAGAGTAAGAAGCTGCGGAAGGATGTGGTGACGCATATTCCCGGGCATGGCGCGATGGGCAAGTTTAGCTGCAATGAATGCGATTTTGCCACGGATTCCAAACAGATTTTCAACTGGCACTTCAAGGCCCATTTGAAACTGTCGCAGGAACCCACACCAGAGCGTCAGTGGAACGGGCGTCCATCGCTGCCCACAAATCGAGCCGCTGCGCGCAATTTATCTGCTGCAGGTAAGGGTGATCAACAGCTACGTTATTTTACAGTGTAAACAGAGTTCCAGTTCATGCACGGCATCAAATTGTTTCCACAGTAAATCGTTGGTTTGAGGCTCTGTTAATAACGCGTATTTTGTGTCTAACAGACGACATATTTTCCAATCCGGGCAGTCCCGCTCCAGCCGCCGCCGCCGCTTCCACGGGTTTGGCCTGCGTGATCTCCAGTTGTCATTTCCGTGGCACTGACTGCAAAGCCATCGCGGAGCATATGAGTCGTGAGCACCACTTTTACAGTGACCGGACGGCAGTGCCGAAGAGAATCCCACTCAAGTCCACACGCCACCTGCTGGGACGCGCCCGCACGACCCTGGGCCCGGAAGGCCTCCAGACCCAAGAGTTCCAGTGCCCCGAATGCCCGGAGGCGTTCGCGTTCAAGACCCACTTGGTGTTGCACCGTCGCCACCGCCACCCGCAGCCCAACCGCCGGGGCGGACGGCGACCGGCGGCCCACCGGGTAGACGTGGACGCAGCCGTGGCCCCGGCGCCCACGGTGGGCATCGTTAAGAAGGTTGTTAAGCGTAAATTGCCAAAGGCTTCATCGCGTCGTAAACGCCGTGCGGCCGCCCGCAAAGCCGTGCAGACACGTAGTGCGAAAACCACGCCGAAGCGCGCCGGGGCGGAGGGGGGTGAGGTCCCGGAGGAGGGCGTAGAGGAGGCCGAGGATACGACCCCGTCGGGACCGTGGCAGCGCGCGTCGGTCATTGTCTCCATGCCGGAATATGTGGAGAACCAGGTGTCGGCAGCGTCGTCCACATCCAGCCTACCGAATGGGAACCCTGTGACGGTGCAGCAAGGGACGCCGAAGAACCGCGGGGGCCGTAAGCGCAAGATCCCGGCAGAAGTGGAGGGCGATTTCCCGCCGCCGTTAGATATGGCTGCGTTGGAGCAGAATGGAAATGGATGGGCGGGTCATGAGCGAACGTCAGTGGCGCCGGTTGACGTAGAATACGAATCGGCGCCTGGCTTCGAGTATGTACAGGAAAACATTTTTTACTTAATTTCTTATTACTGTAACCTTAAAAATTTTGAAGATGCTCTTATATGTATTTCATGCAGCTTGTGTCAATACAATTAGCATTACACTAATAGTTAATGCGTTTGCAGGGTTCCCGTTACCGTTTAAGCCGTTTAAACTCATACCGGAAACGACGACTCAAGTCCGTGGATGTTTTGTTAACACTTTAAGGAAGCCACCTTCCTCGTTGTACAGTATTGGTTTGTTTCCTTGTTTTCTCACTCTGCGTTTTTCTGCCCTAGCTAATGCAGTTCTTCGTTCTGGCATGAATTCCGTTTCCCTTTATTTTGTTGTTTTGATTTCTCGTCTCCAAATTAACTCAGGCTGCCGATATGTATGCTGATTGCCCCCTCATCAGCGCTTTGGCAGGGATTCTCACAGCTTTAACTTATTATTTATTCTTCGCTGGTGGGAAATAGTTCTTCCTGTTTATGATTACTTAGCGTTTACAATGGTTTCCTGTTTTGAGAGCTTGAAGAAAGGGAATGAATGTGTAAGTTTACTTTCGGGTCTCTGTTTTATGCACCGCTGCAGTCTGCACTAATGTACTTATTTTTATATGCCTCGTATTATCCCAGTAAACTCACTATTGCAAGATGGATGATTATCCTGTGCCCGATATTTAGCCATGATATGATACTCAAGACGTCGTTTGTTTTTGGCTCCACTAGGCCATCAGATCATCATGCAAGAGCTCGCCGTAAATAAAAACTCGAATTTTCGAAACCTGAATTGCCCTGCCGCGACAGCCTGTAAATCTGGATAATTTATATTGATGAAAAAGCATTCCTGCAGTAGAGCGATCAATAACTGATCATGCTGCTGTAGGTGTGCAGTCGTGGTGTCAAGATTCACAAGGGTCACAATTAATCCATTCGTAATCCTATACTCAAAAATTTGCGGCCTGCAGACTTCCGGTGAGGAAGTTGATGGCGCATCTTGTCTGGGTGCTTAGCTATAGGTAACTTGTCCAAATTTATAATGTTCAATGTTCACTCGCTTTAGTCGCGAGTCATGACACCTTGAATTACAGCTACGGTTACCACATTCACTTCAGTGCTCGACTGCTCGTATTAATAATTGGCATATTATTATAACTTTTTTTGGTCTAATCAAATTAATTGTAGGTAAATTGTGAAGTAGAAAATCGCGGAATTAATTACGAGCGGGTATTACGTACGGACCGGCGCCGTTATCAATAATTTTGTGGGTATTACAACAGAGTGTTAATTTTTTACAAGTACTTACTTTTTAGCAGTCTTACCGGCTAAATCTGCTATCTACATAGAAATCTAGTAGAACTATACAGTACCTCGCAAAGCCATTTTATTCCGTAGCAACAAGATCTTTTCTATACTTCCAATATTAAATATTCAGATTAACACGGCAAAGTTGTTGTAATTGAATTATTCACATTAACATAGGTTAAAGCAAAATTAAGCAATTCATCACATACACTTCGTCCAGTCTCTTACCGATACAAAACGTTTCCGAAACACAAGCAGCGTTACCTCGCATTTAAGCAACACTGATTCTCTGCTTCAGAAACTGAGTTGACCGTTTCTCCTGTGCCCTCTCAAAAAGCATGTTACCGAGGGTAGACATCTTAGTAATCTTACATTTCGACTCTTTACTCCGCACACCAATTGTCTCAAAAACCAAAGCAGAGAAACTGAAATTGTCGCGTAAATATCCGGCTAGTAGGCACCTTATTAAATTGTACTGACGAAGGTGCCGGTTGAAGTTGCATCGGCGCACAGTCAACCCCCCTCAGTAAGCGACTGCCATAATGTGCGACACTTCCGGTCCGCCGCGTCTATTGGGCTTTACGCTTGAGCGACTTTTTGTATGCAAATTTGGTGCGCTGGCATAAGTTGGCAACTTGGCAGGTGGCGGTGCCACTCACCACGACACCAAAAAATTTCTCTTGAAAACTGAAAATATCACGATATCTGCGTCTTCCGCATTTCGTAGTTTTCCATTTTCGCTCTTCTGTACCGTTACTTGTTTTAGTTTAACGAAAGTTTTTTGTATGTGATAAACATTTCAATTTGGTTTGGTCGTTTGGTGTGATATCGCTCTTTCTGTGACATTTTTAGCTTTATTACGATTCCTCAAGATTTTACGACGGATCATCGAGAAACGCTGCAACCTGATCGCTAGCATCCCGATTGCTTATCATTTCTAGGTACTCCGTAGACATTAGATGTGAAGTTAAGGAGTTATCTTTTTGTGTTAGTTTAAGAGGTGTTTTTTGTTTTAAAACTTAAAACTTAAAGTGATATTGCTTGACGCTCGTCAGAGTGAGTTGGTGCGTAGCATACTGCGTGTTTTCACTGTTTTGCATAAGAAACGAACAGTAAGCTTGTAATCAGTAATCATTAAATCATATTTAAATCAGTTAATGCCTTAAATAGCTAAATGACAACCGGGAACCTAAATTGGCAACTGTTGCTAATGCGTTGGATCCCAGTGCTAGTGGAGCAAACGAAATGTGTGAAATTATAAACAGTTGTGGTTTCTCGTGCTGACTGGCTTCCAGCTTGTGCAGATATCGCAAAAATTGTGTGGTTCTGTAATACTTACTTTCCTGACTCCTGTTTTACACATTTTCAGTATTTTCTCTGTCAGTATTTTTTATTTTCAAATATTTTTATTTTTAATTACCTCTGCGGTGCCAGTGTAATCGTAGCATTTCATAGTAGAATATCGGCCAAGGATCGCTTCTCCAGTACAGTCACACGAGTACGTAATAAATACATATCAAATTTTATAATTTACGAGAAAGTCTGGATGTGTCTGTGTGTTGTTTTGTTGGCTCCTGCTGATCGAAGATCGAGATAATCCTGATCCGCGTGAGTTTTCTACTATCATTATTATTATTGTAAATAATAGATTATAGTCGAAAATGAAATTGTGGCTACGACGGTGAGCTGAGTATTAAAAATTTTATGTTCGCCCAATATCCAAATATTCACGCAATGCTTACATTATCTATAACTCTAGCAGAAATAATGTAGTTAATAGTAGCGTTAATTAAAACAATATTATAATATTTTGTAATTCCATCAGTTGATATTGAAAATTTGCTTAACCAATTTGATCTTGAGAGCATTTACTGTATCAGTTCTTAAAGCATGTGCCGTTTTGTTGATGTTATGAAAAATTGTAGTGTGTAGTTTATTTTGTTAGTCAGTGCTTTTGCTGCCGGAACAGCATTGTGCTTTATTGTTTATTTCTCGGTTTCCGCTGATGTTTCTCTAACTACGTATTATTTATGTAAATAAAAAATATTGCAGCGGCTATCAGATGTGTAAAGCGTACAGTGTACGCTTACACATTAAATTTTCTTGTCATTTTTAATTTCGACGGTGTGGCTCGAATAAATTATTTTTCTCCTGTCTTCAGACTTCTGTTATGTATGGGGTATAACTGTATAAAGTTATAAGTGTATTTACCAGAAATTTTCATTGTGTACAAGAACTACTTGTACTGCACTGTAATTTCGTAAGTTTTGACTTGTCTCTGCCTTCTGCAACAGGTTTCCATGATGGTGTGGTGGGAAAACGCATACGCACTGCATTGTGTACTTTTGTGCACTTCCGCATTGCGTCTGTTTGCCAGTTGCGGTAACATTTTGGCCAGACTAACCGGTCTACTTTTCAGTACCAGTTCAAATCTGGGCTACCAAAGAACAAAACTCACTGGTCAAAGTAATAAGCGAAAACCGGAGAAAGTGCTCATAATTTCGGCTTTTCCGACGTTTATCAGCCAGTTACATCGATCGTGAACTTTTTCGGTCAGGTTAAATCGGTCTTGCAGAGGCAGTTCATGCTTTTTGCGTAAACGTTAACTGGATTAGTGAACTTTTGTTTCATAAGAGAGCGGAAATTCTTGGTAGCACACTGAGCGGTACTTTGGAACTTTTCACCTTGACATTTCTGATTTTCCCATGTTTTTATAATGGACAGATTTTTTAATGATCCCGCGCTGTATGATCTTCCACCCACTTTCAGACGGTATTCATTCTCAAAGGAACTGCATAAAAATAAAATTATCCATAATGATTTCAAACGGGTATCGTCGTCGGGATCGGATATGGATGGAACCGATTGGTATGAATTGAATGAAAATGCGAGTGAAATTCTTTATTTTTACTGTTGAATAATTCTACTGCAGACTACTTATAAGCCGACACGATTTAATGATTTGCATATTGGATAGATAATGCTAATTTTGCATTTAATACAGTGATGCATATTTTTGTAATTTGGTAATATTTTATAGATATCGAATAAATATTCCCATTTTACAGAGGAACAAATTAGTATGTTTCAGATATTAAATTTGAAAACATATTTCAACGGTTCTGATAAAATAAAATTTAGAAACAAGAATCTGAAGCATTCGTCGAATATTGGGAGCTTATGCCGTTTGTTTTTATCTTGTATTCTTTAGAGATTTAAAATGCTGGATCACCTGAAAAAACACTCGTGGTTACTGTTGCTTTTTTCTTTGTTGGAAGCCGTATCAAAAAGCAAAAAAAGCGCTGAATCGATCGGATAGTGTTTTTGTTGCAAATGAATTAGCGAAAATGAATAGGATTTGTTGGTCCTGAAAAATCAGAAAAACTGCAACACCCACAGTTTGCCTTGTTCCACTTGTGCGAGTCCGCTAATTTCACGTACAAAACGAGAGTGCTCTCGTAGTGCTTTTTCCACTTCGTTAAACCGGGAGAATCGCGCGTTTCCCGTGTTCTTCCTGGGTTGCGTTTGCCGGTGCGGTGATGCCTGTAAATGATTTGCGGGCATGAAATGTGATTTCTGAGTGGTGTACGCCCTCCGCTAATGAAGCGGAAGTGCAGTATTTTGCCCCGCGGTTTTTATCTTATCTCCCACATTAAAATTTCCATATTTCCCCTTGCATAACCGGTGATAAAATTCAAGGTTTCCGGTGAATGAATGTTGCGAAGTGAATGCGCTGTTGATTGGCGCACACGTTTTTGACTCAGCACACCGTGCCTGTGGAACCGTGGGATACCTAATTTGTTTGAAAAAACGGTTGACAAAATTGCCCATAAATATTGATCTCTGTTTTCTTGAACGGCGGTTAATTTTAATCGAAATGCCGGCAACTGCAGCATTTGTTTAACTTGAAACTCGGGAGTAGTTTGTATTGGATTATAAATTGATTGGCTTGTAGCGGACAGTAAGCATATTGATTAAGCAGTTTGATGCGGGACGGCAAAAAAACACGGCTGCCGCATCCATGAATCGTGATCGACGCATAAGTGCTGCCAGTGCAGCAGCTGGCAGGCGGAAGAGTTCCGTTTCCGACTACTGGTGGGTATTTTTGGCATGGAATATTATTGTCTCAGTGTGTGTAAAATCTTTTGGCATTCCATGTTGATATGCGGGCCTTGTTTGCTTAATTTGCCCAAGTGGGATGTGGGGTTTGTAATAATGCAGGAGCTGGAGGATTTTGCTTTTTCATCTTTGTTATTGCTGTTAACTCCTGCTCTCCAGATTTTGGCGTGAATTTCCGCAGGTTGTGATGACTGATTAATACTGTTTTGTTTCGTTCTACCGTATTTAGTGAGTATACGAAATAGAAATTTACCTCAAAGGCAATTCTGGATTTATGATTCGTTTGGTTTTTTTGGAACTGCTTGATTTTGTATGCATATTGCGTGCAAGTTCTTCTGCGCTCCATTCACTTTTTCGGTACTTGTTTTTGTGGTAATAAAATTCGTAGTGGTTTGGAATAGGTATAAAGCACTGAATATGTAAATTCCTGTGGGTTTGCAATCAGTTCACTTTGCAATCAGTAAGTAAGTTTACGTAGTGATTATGAAATCTGTATATTGGTATGTGAGTGCTAATACTGTGTATCCATCTGCTTGCCTTACCGCAGGACGTGTGATTTAAGCGCAATTTTCTTTACGTCACCTCATTAGCGTAATGGCAGCATTTTAATCACAGCAATTGCGACCAGCAGTGATTACCATGTTTCCTGTTTACAGGCAGTATTTTGACGATTTCCCCTTTGTGAACCGTACACGACAGCAGAGTATGGACAGTACCGGCTTAACGCATCCCACGGGCTCCATGGCGGCTGGTGCGGAGAATAATACTGCGACGTTGGCCACCACGAACGGTCTGGATGTGCCTCACAAATACTACCGGGAAGCCGAACATCGGTAAGCACACACACCGGGCGATGCTTATCGGTTTGTTATTGTCGTGGTACATCGCTGCCGGGTACCATTGCTTTATGGGCGATGAAAGTGCGCTGTGTGGTCGTTATTATGCTTTCGGGCACGCGTTGGACAATTTTTGTGCTTTGCTGGCTGCTCCAATTACTTCTACTGAAGCAGATTGCTAAAATACTTTGTTAGGTTTTCGGAATTGCGGTTTTTGCGACATAAAGTGTTGCAGAGGATTTTTGTGAGTGTTGCGAGTTTTTATTTCTTTTGGAAACATGTTGTGTCGACATCGCAGCCATTGTGAGACGTCGTGGAATTCGTAAGCTACTATTTTCTCATAGGCAAAATCGATTGTAAACATAACTCTTGAGTACCGTTTATTTTTGATATTGAAAATTTCCAGTATGCATAATTTATTATTGGATGACATTTCGTTGTTGGCTCGAGTTTCGCTGTAGTGGAATGTTTCTTGATGTCTTCCTTAACGGGATAGTATTTCGTTTAAAATCTGTTGCTTCCCATAACCAGTAATGCTTTACATCCGAAGTCCAGATTGATCGAAATCTGGCTTCCCGTCTACATAAAATAAATGTTTTGGATAATAAAGTAGGACGTTTCTCGTACAAGCACTTGATCAGGCGCGTTTCCATGAAATGCTTGCTAATTCTCGCAAAAATTCAATAATTATTGAATTTTTGACTGAACATGGCTACAGCTGACGCAGACGCGAGTTTTCACATCATGCGTTTATTACCTGCTTGTTTACACTGCTGCGCATGTTGTTGTCAGCTCATATGTTGGACAAGGTGTGCGTGATTACCGACATGCACCGGATAATGTTTGCCATTTTACAGAATATTCGTCAACCGTAGCCTACGTCTGGGACAGATTAAATTCTATGGATTCGACATGGATTATACGCTGGCAGGTAAAATATTGACAGGCCGTGATGGCGGGACCAAATAGGTCTGGTTTATGATGGAAAATTGATGGCGGCGGTTGATTGCAGTGTACAAATCCCCGGCTTACGAAACTATGGCCTTCGAGGAAATCATCGCGCGCTTAATTGATGTTGGCTATCCTCAGGCCTTAGGGGATTTTGAATACGACCCTTCTTTTCCGATTCGGTGAGGATAGTCGTGGGAATAAGAAAACATAAAATCATTATAATGTGAACAATATTGTAGTGCTTTTTTTATAACGACGCTTTCTGCAGTATGTGATGTTACTCTGAAAATGTCAAAGATTTTATTGTTACTCGTACCGACGTTAACATTATGGTTATTTTTTCTTCGCATTCTTTTTCTAACACACCGGGTTTTCATAATTCAGTTTGCTGTTTTCCTTGCACTGTATGGCCTGGCAGTTTTTTATCCGATGATGTTTCCTCCAGTTATAGTATTCTACTAATTTCTTGATTTTAGCGGCGTGTGGTTTGATTGTCTGTATGGGAAATATTTTAAAAGTGGATCCATTCGGATTTATTATGGTGGCTTATCATGGTATGTGAAATGGGGTTTCAAATCAGTACGAAATTGATAATTTTTTAAACTACAGTTATGTTTCGTAACTTTTCGTTAATTGCATTTGAACGAATTAGTGATACAGTGGAAATTATTTATCTTGTGAACTTCTTTATCATCAAGTACGAGTATCATCCTTTTACGAGTATTTAAAAAACGTAGAAGATTGGCTGAGTGTGCCAATGCTTGAATGGTTGAGTGTGTTCTGCCAGCTCTTGTAAACCGTTCTGTTGAACAGTTATTAATCGTAAATATCTTTACAAGTTTTACAACTATGGTAATTCTGAAATATTTTTTCAGCATCGATCATTTTTGACAAAATTTGGCTGAAGAGGCAATTGTCGCAATTTTGCAGTTTGGTATCATTGTATGGTAGCGATTTTATTTGACGAAAGACATTGAAGGGCGACCTTATATAATTTCTGATACTAAGTTGCCATTATACAGTTTTTGGTGCGATAACATTCCTAATAATAAAGTTTTATTTGATTTCGTTTGTCTGCTTTTCCAGGCTTCGAGGTGTTAAAAGGGTAAGTCAGCAACCTTGACAGCTTTTCTTTCGCAACGAAGCACATTGCTGTAAATTGTAATGTGCTGTATCATTTCTCACAATGCAGGAGCGAGGTGGAGGATTTGTATCCGAATAAGTTTGTGGTGTTGGATGAGCGGCGGATGTACGTGATGAATACACTGTTCAATCTGCCGGAAGTGTACATTTTGGCCTGTCTGATCGATTTCTTCTGCAAATCCCCCGATCATCCCGAAGTGACAGTGTAAGACGCGCGGTCAGTTCTGTGCAACACACCATGACAGACGGTGTTACGCTCTAATGGAGCGCTGTTTTGACTGTGTGCGGATGTTAATAGGCAGAAGACCGGTGTCAAGCGCGGGGATGTCATTATGAGCTACAAGTCCATCTTCCAGGATGTGCGGGGCGCGGTTGACTGGGTGCACATGCAGGTAAAAGTGGTGTGGCGGAAGTAGCGTATATTGCGACTGGTTTGATATCCTTGGAGGGCAGGACTGTTGCTGTTGTAATTTCACGAAACTGAAGCTTATTTTTCTCTTCGCATTATGAATTGCACTGAGAGGTTATAGCTTGTTGTTTTTTAATCACAGGATTTAGTATACTTCTATTTATTGAATATTCTAAATTTTGAAATGCTCAACATCGAACAAGTTCCAATTTGCTACAACATTTAATATATTTTGATTATATTAGTGGGTTTTAGAATATCGTAGATAGATGGCTGTGTAGGAGTCCATCGAATTTTCCCTTAAAGCTGTTAGCACTAAACCAACCAGCTGTGCATTACATTGATCTGAACAAAACAGAGAATTTGGAATGTCTTTTAAAAAAATTATGTGGTTTATAGGAAATAATTCAAATTGTCGGTTATAAGTAGGTTTGGCTGCGATACTTGTGTAGTCTCTGGTTATGACTATCCATGCAATTACGGCGAATGGATAAATCTAAGAATGCTTTGTGTTGATACCTTTTGCTGTATCCAGCTTCTGAAAACTTGCCATTTATGTCAGTTTTAACGTACATCTGATTTTTTTAATCGGGATTGCAACGGTCTTAACTACTACAGGGATCGCTTAAACAACGAACCGTCGATAATCCATCCGAGTACGTGGAACAGGATAGCCGTCTCCCGACCTTGCTGGATCATTTGCGGAAGAACGGTGCAAAAGTGTTCCTGCTGACTAACAGTGAATACGCGTATACGGAGGTGAGTTTTAGTAGCGCATTGAAATCCTTTCCAATTACAAAAATTAATATTGTTTTGTTGCACAATGGCAGTTTTTACTACTCTAGTTGGTGTGCTTTATCAGTTCGCTGCAGATCAGTATTCGTTAAAGCCGTGTTCATGATGCGCTGCGTTTAGTCGGTGTGTCTCACAACATCACATCGAGTGTAAATTTGTCAAAATAATTACGAGTATCATAAGACTTTTCTATGCGGCAAAAAATAACTTAAATGTATAAAACAGAAATTTTTCAAACGTATGATTAGGCTCGTTTTGTAGGCCGTGATAACGCATTTTAATTTAACTGCCGTTACATTAGTTAAGCGTTTCGATTACATTGGCATAAGCTGTTTATGCTGTCCAATTCACTGTGTTGATTGCTTTGGTAGAAAATTATGGCCTACCTGTTCAGCTTCGAAGGTGCCGACACGTCCCGTAATTGGCGCTCTTACTTCGATTACATCGTGGTGGATGCACGCAAGCCGTTGTTTTTCGGCGAAGGAACCACACTGCGCGAAGTGGATCAGGTAAAGTGGTTAAGCGATGTTGGAGAAAAGTGTTCTTGTTCTAAGAGATCCACTACTTTAAATGCCGAAATTTATTTTCTTTTGTCCTAAACGCTTTGTAGAATTCCTTTTATCATGGGAATGGGTTTTGAAATAGGGTTCCGGGATATCAGTTTTGAAAAGTGAATAACGATGACGGTAAATCTAAGTTAGAGGGGGGTGGAGGTGCTTGGTACAGTACTTCGTTTTGCTGCACGGCAGAAATTTGTTATTGCGTTTACGTTATTAAATTCGAGATTTGTCCCCTTTACGATCCTTTTTGGCGATTTTCCAGTTCTGTGGTGTACTAATGTTTCCGTTTTTTTAATCGTTCGCTGATTATATTTTGAAAAAATAACTTACGAAAAATCAAGCATTCGACATACTTTTCTTAAATTTTGTTACTGGATATTTAGAAAACTGGCAGATTGTGCCTGGGAACGACAACCGGACCGTTGCGGTCGGATCGCGTGTACAACGGAGGCTCGTGTGATGTGTTCACTCAGCTGATTGGCGCCAAAGGCAAGGATGTCCTGTACGTGGGAGATCACATTTTTGGAGACATTTTAAAATCGAAAAAGACCCGCGGATGGCGCACCTTCCTGGTCGTACGGGAGTTGGAGAATGAATTGCACGTGTGGAGTGACAAGCGGGATTTGTTCATGGGATTGGAGAAGCTGGACGTGGCGCTCAGCAATATGTACAAGTACGTGCATTATGACAGCAGTTGTCGTAGTACATGGGCTAGACTCGACTGTGCCAACATTTGGGCTTTGTCAGATTAATTTCGAAATTTGTTGTGTATCTTGTATTTTTTTAGCATTTGAAATTTGACAGAAATGCGACGTTTAGATAATTAGCATTATTGTTTTAATAGCTGTTACTTTATTTCCAAGTATTATATTTTTCTGTATGTCAGTGCTGTCATGTTGTGACTATCCGTCTTTAAATATAAACGATATTTTGCAGAGATATGGATAGCAGCTCCATGGAACGTCCGAATATCAAGCACATCCAACAAGAAATGAAGGTTTGTCAATTTGTTCTAGTATGGTGTATAGCCAATACAGGTGAGCGCTCATATCAGTGGTTTCGGCTGTAGAATGTTATCCATGAGATGGACATGTCGTATGGTCTGCTGGGCAGTCTATTCCGCAGCGGCTCCTTCCAGACATTCTTCGCTAGTCAGGTGTGCCGCTATGCCGATCTGTATGCCGCGACCTTCCTCAATCTGCTCTACTATCCCATGTGCTACATGTTCCGGGCGCCGGCGCAACTGGTAAGCTTGTTTGTTTGATACCGCCTGTCGTTTTGTCCCGTTTCCTTGGTGTTATTGGCGCGAAATGTGCGTAATAATGCAGCAGGGAGGATATCTAGCACATGTTGGATCTGCTACAGTATAACGTCGGACAGTTTTAAATGTTGTGCTTCGAAATGTGTAGGCTTATAGTAATTTAAACAGGAAATGCCAGACATATGCTACAGTAGTGCCATGTTAATTGGTTATGGTTGCATCATCCGTTTCCGTTTTTTTTGGGTGTTATTTTTTGTTTCGCATTTTCTTTTTGTTTGAGATTACTATAATCCAAAACAGTTTTAGGTTTGTATACATTTTTTCGCAGGATAAAAGCTATCGCTAACTTTGCCTAATTGGGTGTGTACCGAATTCACCATTGCCAAATGATGTCCGGTGGTGTGGTTCCAGATTAATTTTTAACTTGAACTGCAAACGTTTTGCTGCTTTTTTACTTGTTTTTTATTCGCTTTCAAAATATGTTGCGTAAATAAGGCTATTCCGTACTTCTACTGGTGATAGGAATTATGTCAGTAATATAATATACCTAATTGTTAAATTATAAAAATCAGTACTACGTATACTGAAATTTTTAGTACTGTATTAAATGGAAACTACATGGTTTGTCCTTGTTTAGATGCCGCACGAGAGCACGGTGAAGCACGAGGAAGCCATCACCCCCATGCACATGGAGGACAGCTTCCACAGCACCCAGGGCCGGCGCAGTTCCTTCCACCAGCACGGCCGCACCAAGAGCATCACCGGCAGCATCACGGACGGGCCCACCCTGCCCAAGATCAGTCCACTGCCGTCCGGTCTGGCCAAGAGCCGCCCTCCACCGCCGGCAACGTCGCCGCCGACGTCCAAGCAGTAGCGGCGCCCACCGGCGCCAGTCCGCAGCAGTCGGGGGCGGTGCGGCGCGCCTATCCCGAGACACCGGCGGAATTCACCCAGACCATCGACGTGTACGACGACGAGGACGCCAGTGAGCCGCACAGTGGCGGACGTACGACGGGCGGCAGTGTGGAGGAGCTGGATGAGGGACAGCAGTCGCCGGTGTCGTCGGCCGGTGTGCCGTAACGGGGCCATGGCATTTTTGACGTGGTTGCTTTTGGCCTTTGGATTTCTTTCGACAGAATGTTTGTAACTGACACACACTTTCTTTGGATACTCTCTTTCGCGGTTTCTTTTACTGAAGGGTGATAGAGATGTTTTTGGGTCTTCTGTGAATAATACGTACGGTTTTCCATTGGTCTTCATGCAGTTACGGAGTGTTATATTTTCGACGCGTTGTCTTTAGTTTAAAGGTACCGAATAAAAAATGGACATTGTAATTTGAGGGACAAGAAAGGATTTCTGTTTTTATGCTGACACGTTTATAAAATATTTTTGACTGAATTATAATTGGTTAAATGAATGCAACACTGCAAAACCCATAAGCAGTTTGCTTAGTATTTCTGTTTTATTCTGGATCGTTTTTAAAATATCCTTGTTTTTAAAATTTGGGGTAAAATGAATACCGCGCCGCAAGACACAAAAGCTGCTCGTTGACGTTATTCTGTTCCGTATAATTTAACCGGCAGTTCAACTGCTTTGGTTGAATCTGGTGCTTATCATAGAACAGTTTAGATAAGTATGTACATAGTTCCTGCGAATCCGCAATAATTCCGCGAAATTAATATTATGTTCTAATTCTCTTACAAGTCGCACAATCTTGTGTTGATTCTGCACTTTTGGTTATCTGCCGCTGCTGATGAGTGTAAGAAACCACAAAACTACTGGTTGGTCGGGTTTTCATTAAATTCCAGTTTAACCGATATGTTGGTTAGCACTGTGACGATAATTTGTTCGCGTCCATTAAGGCCCTGCAGCGATTTATAATGGTTATCAAAATTGGACTTGAGATCACTGATTAATTATTTATCTCAGACAATGCCGACTATGCAGTTTATCGTCATGCTGACACCACTACACTTGTCGCTGTGTAAACTTCGGACTGCTTTACTGCAGTCTTTAAGATCGCTGAAAAGGTATACTTCAGGGGGAAAAGTGCCTGTTTTTCCATCTCACAGATATGTTTCTTGCGTAGCCACTGACCACCATGCAGTCGCTAATTCCATCGTTTATTCTGCTGGCCGTTGGAATTAATGTCGTCTGTTCCGCAAAACCACCCAATGTTGTTTTAATCGTAGCAGACGATCTGGTTAGTTACTGTGTATTTTCCATCGCGTTTATTATATTTAGAGGGACTGGTATTTAGGGCTGGAACGATGTCAGTTATCATGGTTACACCCAGATTCCCACGCCTAACCTTGACCGCCTGGCGGCAACCGGCATGGTGTTAAACAGCCACTATTCCCAATCGCTTTGTATGTCATTTGTACGGACATAAGCGTCATTCGTCCCATACGTATAGACCTGCTTAATTTTTTTAAGGCAGTCCATCCAGGACATCGTTGCTGACCGGAAAATACCCCATGCGATTTGGTACAGGAGATTCTGCATACAGTACTAGTATATGCATTGATATTTTGTGCAGGCAGTACTCCAAGCGTAACCGAAAATAAAACGCTGCAGCACATGATTTATGTGTACTGTACAGACTCATTATTCTTGTAATCGCATTATCAGCTGTCTGTGCGTCAGTTTTTTATGCTAATGTGTGTACGAGTACATAAGAAAATGTAAATACTGCAAGTCGTCATTATTTTGCTGTGAAATCACATTTTTGAGTTTCATATTACAGGTCTGCAGAGTGGAGTGTTAAGCCCGGGTAATCGGCGGGGGATACCGCTAAAGGAGAAACTGCTGCCGCAGTATTTTAAAGAACTCGGATATGCGACGCACATGATCGGAAAGGTGCGACAAATGTTGATTTTTGAAAATGGTCAAGATAGCGCGAAATGCTGTACCAGTTTTGCCTTGCAGTGGCATGTCGGCTACGCAGCTCCCGAACTGACACCCAGTACGTTGTCTCAAAACGCTGCACTCGTACGGTAGTTGCCGTTAAATGGTAACCTTTGCGAGATGTTAAGTTACTGTATGCCGGTATATTTTTACAGCACTTAGAGGGTTCGATTCGTTTCTGGGATATTACAACGGATACATCGATTACTTCACTCACAACATGAACACGGTATTCAATGACCTTTGATTTGCAACAAGGTACTTAATTACGGACACCTTAGTTTGACGATGTGACTGTAGTCAGCCGAACCGTTCTCCAATGGACACGATCTATGGAACGCTTTAACGCCCGCAACAAATTACACGGGACAATACCTAACGGATATATTCACCGACAGAGCTTTACAGCGGATTAACCAACACGACTTTGAAAAAGTATGGTGACCGTAACGGTTATCACGCACGTGTCCTACAGTCGTAAAATTAAATGGATGTTCTTCTATCTGGATTGATATAGCCGCTGTTTGTTTACCTGGCACATATGGCGCCTCACTGGGCAAACGAGCATGATCCTGTGCAGAGCACCGACGAATACACCAAACGATTCCCACATATAGACCATAAGGAAAAACGGAAATACGCCGGTTAGTTAAAGACTCGGTTGTAATGGGCTAAACGTATCAGTCGCTCCGTTCGTAGGGACGATTGCCGCACTGGATGATTCCGTAAAAAAAATCATGGATGCTCTGCACAATCACCAAGTGGAGAACAACACCATCGTGATATTCGTGGCAGATAACGGCGGTACCGGTCAGGAACGCCGCCTACAGGGCGGCGCACAGTTCACCCACGGCAGTAATTGGCCCTTGCGCGGTACGAAGAGCACGTGGTTTGAGGGCGGTGTCCGCACCGTTGGCATCGTGTGGAGCCGGTTGCTTCAACATCCGGGGACGGTGTGGAATGGACTGATGCATCTGACGGATTGGCTGCCGACGCTGATGGCGGCCGCTGGTGGGATGCCGGTACGGAATGTCGACGGTGTGGATCAGTGGAAAGCACTGGTGGAGGCAGCACCGTCGATGCGAACGGAGTTGCTGATTCAGGCGGATGCGATCCGGGATGATTATGCGCTGCGGTGGTATCAGTACAAGCTATTGGTGAAACAGAAGCCGGGCGTTGGTTACAACGCGGATCGATGGTGAGCAGTAGAAGTACCCATAGTCATACAATTCTCTTTCCGTCGAACAGCCACATTAATAAAAGACCTGTTTTGCAAAATTTCAATGAAAACCTACGTTTGATTCGGTCACAGGATGAAACCGGCTTAGCAACCTTCAATTTAAATTATAAAAGGGTATGCGCGCCACATACGTCGCTGTGACCTTTGCATGCGTACGTACGCTATGTAGTTTATATGTACATTGTACCAACGAAGGTTCTTTTCATTCCGCTTTCAGCATCAGTATATGATGGAAAGGGAAGATTGTTTGAAATTTTGTGTCTTAGTGCAGTAAACATGACATAAAAAAGCATTGCGATTATGTTAGGTACGAACCGGTGGACGGCATCATTCCGGAATACATTAATGGGTCGTCACCGGCGTCTGTGTACTGTGCTCCAGCGCACAGCACCGACAGACCGTGCAATTTGGGAATGAGTCCGTGCTTATTCGATCTATATGCGGATCCCTGTGAGCGGGATAACGTAGCGGCTGATTATCCAGACGTCGTCAAGCTCATGCTGGATAAACTGTGGGCCTACAACGCCACCGGACTACATGTGCCTTCGCAGCCCGAAGACCCGATGGGGCTTCCGTCGCTGCACGGAGGGCTTATTAAACCGTGGTTGACTCTGAACGATCTCCCTAAAACTTAATTTTGCTTCCTTTATGCGTTGTGTTCTTGTAGACTTCGTACGCTGTTTTTTGTATTTCTTGCGATGCTAGAGCGAAACGTCAGTGTGGTGCGGTGCGGTCACAGCTTCAGCAGGCATACGTTTTTATTCATTATTCATTAAAAACAATTCATGAATGCAAGATATCAGCATTTGAGCGCAGACATAAAAAAACGACAGATTTCCGCGGATCAAGACAAAAGGCCGAAATCAACGATGACTACCGCATGAGCTAGCGTTGCATACAATTATACAATATTATGGCTTTGATTTTGTCATGTGCAAGCGATACTGTGCGTCGCATATGGCTTAACAGCGGTCACTTTTACCATTCCCACGGTCGTAACAGCGCTGACATTCCGCTATTCGCTCCAGAACTCTTCCATCCACGCAGTGATACAAATCGTCCAACTCACTGTCCTTAATATCGGTGTATCCTATGAATTAGCAGTTCTCTTATGACCGGCTCGGTGGTAACGTTAGAATTAAGCACGTACAATACAATACACAGGACCAGCAACCGGCTTCTACAGTATATACAGTGCGGATGGATACTGCATATTACGAGCACTTTAGTGCATATAGCAGCTAATAAGGGCTTAACTTATCGCTGCGATCGGCAGAAAATATTAAACAATAATTCAGTGAAATGAAGATATTCAATCTCTTACCTCTTTTATTGCGTGCCGTGTGACCACAGTAGTCCAGACCTTTTTTGCATCCTGCTTCGGCAAATAAAACCAGGAACGAGCACAGAACGAAGGCTACAACAACGGGGATCTTTAAGGACGTCATGGTGCGCAGTTATGTTAAAATACTAAGAGAAATTTTCACGAAATAACTGGTTAAGGAAAGCGGACTTCTGAATTATTTGGGACATTACAGTCAGGTTTATATATGTATGTAATTACCCCTTAATTATACAACGCATTAAGCACGCGTTACGGACGATAAACAGGAACAGATGATGAGTCACTCGGAAGTGAGGCACACGACTGCGATTAATTTAGAACTGATAACTGCAGTCAAAATCCTTCATTTACAGTAATGCGGTAGCCAGATAACCATCAGTCGCCAATCAGTAGGTAGTGCCAAGGTACAAACGAGGCGGATGTTCACACAGCGTACCGAAAACTGTTGCTGGGACCTTCCTGCAGCGGACAAAAGCGCGCACTTTGGAGATATCAGTCATTCCAGCAACGGTACCAACATCTGTACTTTACTGGAAACACTTCCGTCACCCCGATCGACCCAGCAAGTTCGCGCAACATTTAACGTTCATTTTGTACGCGCGACTATAAAAAGGTGGCATTATACTCGTATGTACAAGGAGTACGAGTAGTATAAAGTAGCATATACAACGCCTTGTCAAGGTCACCAGTTCTGGCAAGTTAGCGTGCCTCCTTTTCAGTGTGTTGGTCTCCTGTTTTACTGTTAACTTCTGTATTAGCGAAACAGTTCCCAGCTAGCTTCACCATGAAATCATTTTTGTTGGTTCTCTTCCTTTGTTCCATTGTCGCCTGGTGCGCTGACGCCGCCACATGCAGCAAAGGACTGGATTATTGCGGCCGGGTTGCTCGCGATGAAAGAGGTATTTGGAGTACTAGTGACCATACGGTTTCATGAATGTTTTGTATCAGTAACAATAGTCATTTACTACGCCAACCAAATCCTCTGCAATTCGGTTTTGATGGCGTCCGTACTCACGACTTGTACAGTTGTACTGTACGACAAAATCTGTACTTGAAAGGCATTCGATCGTTTTCTCCATTATGAAATACATTCATCAAGTTGTCATCGGAGTGATCTAACCAGAGATACATAAGCTATATTCTGACAAAAGTCTACATTTTTTTCGCACTTTTTTGCAGGCTACAGTTTTGGAGGTGATGAGCTGGACTATCTGTATCACTGCGTCGATGGTCGCCGGTTAACCCGTATAGCCAAGTGTTCTAATTGCTACAACGGTGGTCGTGGGAAGAATGACTTTTGTTAAGTACACGAAGTTCAAGAGTGTGGTCTTGCTGGCAGAGATGCGGTTTGTACAAACAAAGGTCAAGACTGATTCTGTAACTGTCTTGTACTTACTGTGGCAGAGATAATGCCAATCGTCGTAACTTTATGCGCGAGCTGTATATCAAAGCGATTAATCATTTTACTTATTTTACTCCTTTATCTTTACAAATAAAACTATCTGTGCAACTGCATCCGCTCTTGTACGGAAATAAAGATGCGAAAATCCAACCACAGCTTTCACGGCGAAGTTTTCCGCAGTTGTAACAATTCTCGTATTTTTCGTATGTAAAGTTCTACAGCATTAACTCTGACTAAAGAGGTGCCCTTTGGTACTGCGTCATTCGCACACAGGAACGTTAATTCGACAATGATTATCAATCCGAACGCTTTCACGCTTCTATGGAAAAGCAGGCAAAAACCGTTACTGACATCGCAGCACGACGCTCATGTTTCTCTCGGTTTACAAGTACTGCAGTTCCATAAACTGGCATTTATGGTTGTCGTAGCACGAGTTTATATTATTGAGCCGGATATGTGAATGATGCATAAGTACGAGCTTTGTCACTCGAAAAAAAGACGAACTGTTCGCAGCTTGCAGCTATGGAGATTATAATCTGTCGCTTACCGACACCGGGATCTTACTGAGAACATAAAGGACCGCAAAAACGTCACTGTGATATTCATCGACTAGAAGTACCGTACAAACAGACATCTATATAGAACCGCAAAGTAGGCGGCTAAAGAAACGAAAAGCATATATCTGGCAACTCAGTTAATAGGGAAGGCTCAGTCTTGTACATGCATTAATATTTAGTTTTGGTGTTTGAAATAGTTAGAGGATTAATTTGACAAACTGCGCCATGAAACCATTCCTGGTTGCAGTGTTTCTTCGTACCTTTGTGACCTGTTGGTATACTGATGCAGCAACGTGCTTGAAAGGATTGAAATATTGCGGACGGACTGCTCGCGATGAACGAGGTATCTATTTATGTCGGTTCTATAATAATTTAGTATTCTTTTTTAGTTAGATAGTTATGCATATACACTAGTAGCGGATTTTTATTGATGACGTACAACATGGGCAGACGGTCTTTTTGATCGAGGACGGATGTCACGGGGAGTATGCGCGAAGCCGGTAGCATTTGGCCGCACTTTGGCCCCGCGTCCACATAAACATCTACTTTGTATTTCTTTCAAGCATCTTCCATTCAGGTGTAGATATCTTTTACAGGTTACAAAATGGGAGTTGCTGATCTGAACAGCTTATATCTGTGCGTTGATGGTCAGCTTTTGAAGCGCGTAGTCACATGCACCGGAAATTGCTTGAACGGCGGCAGCGGAAAAGGTGGTTATTGTTTTGATTATAATTATTTGCAACCTTAAATTTTGCATACTGGACAGTGAACACTGCTATCGAACTCATGCTTAAAACACCTCCTTTATTCACTTTACAGCAATACAACGTTTAATTTGTGATTTTCGTTTCTAATTTTACACATGCTACGTTATTCAGGCGTTAATAAGAATAATACAGATAAACTAAGACGTAGAAATTAACACTCTTTTGCAAGAATAATCGGAAGACGAAAGGGCGCCGCGGTCAGGTAAAAAGCGGTTATTTCACTAAGAATTAATCAAGTTAAATAATTATTATGATAACTACAATCTGTACTGTAAATAAATTAAATGTATAAAGAAACTCAACCCTAAATACTCGTACCGTAAAAATTTAAAAAAGCAACCATCTCCCTGTACAGTGTACTCCCTTTATATTTATGCACGAAAGAAACATTGCAAGTAACCTGAACCTCTTATGATAGCGTATTTGAGAAACGCCAATGTACGAAAGATAAGAAGTTCCAGGTCGCTGCGCGCTGGTTGGCAGCAAACATAAATCACTGCTACTAAAATGATTGCACTGCATAAAAGTACGAGTACTTGCTACTCTAGTATTCTGCAGGTACTTCATTCAGCACCAGTGAACGCGTTATGTTATGCTGATAGCAGCGCGCCAACACGAATGTAAGCTACAGCTAGAAAATTGTGGTATTAATTGGTAGTGCAAGGTTTTTTGTATTAACTTTTGTGTCTGCAATTACTGTATCATTGAGCAGATTTTCTTGCGCACGAAGCATTTCGTGGTGGCCTTACATGTCGCACCGGTATACTGTTGTCTGTTCGGGATATCTACTGTACCTCGTATACTTCTGTACTTGCATACTTAAGCCAAATTTGCAGTAATCCGAAGCTACTTCAACTACTGAATTTGCAATGGCCCGTATTTCCGCTGCCCTGGGTCACCTGTTTGTATTGACAACGTACAAATTTACCCACGCCACACCCCCAAATATTGTTCTCATTGTGGCGGACGACCTGGTGCGTCAGTACAATAAAGATATTCTTTACCCATGACTGTGTTGGAATAAGTGGGTCTGGAATGAGTATAGGGTTGGAACGACGTCAGCTATCATGGATACACGCAAATTCCCACCCCGCACATCGACCACCTAGCAGCAACCGGGATGATCCTCCACAGTCATTATTCGCAGGCCTCTTGTAAGGGCTAACGCTTTCTAGTCCACTATTATTGTGTATTCATCCACAACCTCGAAAAGAACATGGAAATGTCAATTGGCTGTTAAATCTATCTGTAGGTAGTCCCTCCAGAACGGCCCTTTTGACCGGAAAATATCCCATGCGATTTGGCACGTACACGTAACACTCGTAACTGCGCTTAAGGTTTCATAAGATTTGAATACGGTTGTCCGACGTACAAGTATTACATGCTAGTCCGTCGATCACTCGTATCTAAGGCAAATTTGAATGAAACAGATGGCTGCATTAATAGGTTTGCAAAGCGGCAATCTGGCTGTTGGTGAACGACGCGGAATACCGTTAACGGAAAAGCTGATGCCTCAGTATTTCAAGGAACTCGGATATTCAACGCACATGATTGGAAAGGTGACATAACAAGAAGTACAACTCTGCATATCCTGCAACTACAGTACTTATTGGATTTTACAGTGGCACGTTGGTTACGCAGCGCCCGAGATGACACCGAGTAGGTGGTCCCTTCTGGTGACCTTTGCCTAACTTTAGAATTTCTGTTGCGATGTGCACAAGAATCGGCTTCTCGTCTCGAAACCTAATCTACAGATTGTATTGTCTCTGATCTGTATTGGCTCTGATTTGTTAATGTAGCGTGAAAGCAATATTGCAGCTTTTCGAGGATTCGACTCGTTCTTCGGATACTATTCCGGATTTATCGATTACTTTACGCACAGGGCGTACACGGTGCGCGGAAATACAGCAAGTGCAGCGAAAGTGACATTATGTTCAAAGCGCTGCTTTTTTGCAGTCGAACAACAAATTCGGCAACGGCTTTGATTTATGGGACAATCTCACCGAGGCAAGGAACTACGCTGGCCAGTATTTAACAGACATTTTTACGGAGAAAACCGTACAGCGCATTATGGAACATGACTTTAATACGGTAAAGATTGTTTTCACTAACATTAAAAGTCATGTTGTATTATTATGCATGCTTTTATCGAAAAAAAGCAGCCCCTGTTTCTGTATATCGCCCACATGGCCCCGCATTGGGCAACCGAAAAAGACCCTGTACAAAGTCCGGAAGCGTATACCAACCGCTTTCCACATATTACTCATGAAGGCCGTAAGAAATACGCTGGTGAGTGCTGCACCATCAACAACCAGGCCAGATAATTCTGCGCCTTGACCAAAACTTCGTTCAGGAACAATTGCCGCTTTGGATGATTCCGTAGGCAAAATCCTGACGGCCTTACAGAACCGCAAGGTAGACGACAACACCATCGTTATATTCGTGTCTGACAACGGTGGGTGCGGCCCAGAAGGTGTACTACACAACAGTCCCGCTGTCACATACGGAAGTAATTGGCCGCTACGTGGTGCAAAGAGTACATGGTTCGAAGGCGGTGTCCGCACCGTTGGCATCGTGTGGAGCCGGTTGCTGCAGCATCCGGGAACGGTGTGGAATGGACTGATGCATCTGACGGATTGGTTGCCGACACTGATGACGGCCGTTGGCGGGATGCCGGTACGGAATGTGGACGGTGTGGATCAATGGAAAGCACTGGTGGATGATGCACCGTCGATGCGAACCGAATTGCTGGTTCAGGCAGATGCGCTCCGGGATGAGTACGCGATACGATGGTATCAGTATAAACTGATTTTGAAGGAACGAGCTGCTGCACAAAACGGAGCATATGAGTGGTAAGACTTGCTAAGCACCGCAAACGCTATTTCGAAATTCGTGACATACGCAATATGCATGTTTTTCTACAGGTTCGAGCCGGAGGATGGCCTGAATACGTCATATATTAACGCTGATTTACCGGCAGTGGTCAGGTGCGATCCACCGGAACCGTCCAACATTGACTGCAATCGGCACACTGCTCCATGTTTATTTGATTTGGAGAGAGATCCATGTGAGCGCAACAATATAGCAAAACATTACCCTGATGTGGTTAAGTTAATGCTGGATAAGCTGCATAAGTACAACGCAACGGGTGTACATCCGCTACCGCCACCGCAAGATCCGTTGGGTCTCCCTGCGCTACTGGGTGACGTGATTCGACCGTGGCTGACAGTAAGCGATTTGAATGGCGCACCAAACGGATTGATTTCAACACCAAAACCCGCCCATATGATCCTGCGCTTTGCTTAGTACAGATACCACTAATACGTAAAGGGTGAAACGGTTAAAATTGCTCAATAAAACTGAACAGGCTGTTTTTTAGGACCAGTTGTGTTGACAGATAACACAGAGCTGCATAGAGCAAGTCTCCAGTTTGCTCATTAAAACAAAAGGAATGACTGGCCGGTAAAAGACCAATAAGATGACTGACCAATAGGGTGCTTCTGGTGACTTCCACCACGAAAGATGGCCTTGTTGCTCAAAACTACGAGTCAACGAAGTGTTAAAACGCACCAAAGTTTGCGGCAGGATCGTCTCACCGGTTTGCATTATTACGGAATTTCAGTACAGTTTGTCTTCTGGGTGGTGCCACAGCTTGTACTGGACCGGCAAGATTTCACTGCTAAAGAATCTTTTCCATCGACAATTTTATTGAACCATGCTACCATTTTTATAAACGGGAAAAGTTCCTTACAGTTGTCATGATTGTGTGTTTGAACACGCACCGGCTAATACTGGATGCCAACAATCACAACATTAGCGCCAGTTTTCCATACTACTGCCATGCATTCAAACGAACCGTATTAGCGAAAACCAAACAGTTGAAACCTCCAACCAACATTAATTTTTACACGCACCACTGAAGCACACAACAAACCAGTTTCACGAACAAATTTGTACAAGATCTTCGGTTTTTTAGCACAAACTGGCACGATGTCCTGACAGTCACCGAAAGGAACTGGAAATTGGCCCAGTTAGGACTACAGTTGTACAACGTGGACGTTGGTGCCTCCCATAAAGAAACCACAACAAATAGTTATAGTTTAATTCCTCTTTATTGCTGGTTATAAAACGCTCTTTGAATGGTAGATCCTTAAGTAGAAATTGACGTTGCTACTGTGCTTCGTCGCTGTGCGAATCCGACTCGCAACCGGCTTCATCGCCATCTGGATAGGCCAACTTGTCGCTGCTGCGCCCAAGGGCATTCTCAGCCGACTGCTTCTTCCGGTGCTTGGTACGACGATTTTGGAACCATACCTGTAAAATACAATTCTAATCAAACGCTGCATTATGCATACGTAACTATAAGTGCCGTTTTTGCGCCCCTATCGGTTTGATTGAAAATTTAAGAAGGACGAGTCCAGAACTTTCCTAAAGACCGTATATCACCGGCTTTTAGTATATCGAACAGAAATCTGAATTAACGGATACCGTCTACGATACCACGATCAGGTGCACGCTTCCGTCGCTTTGTATTACGAATTTGCAATTTACTACGCTTCCTGAGTCTCAGAAATTTGGGAAGCAAATAGAAAATTTTCAAAAGATGATATGTGCATCTCTCAATACAAAATATGCAGCGCGAACGACAAGATGTGCGGCAGAACAGTTAACCCAGTAAATGGATGGATTTAACCTGACTTTGCTCTTGACTTATTAATCAGCCGCACAACGGACCGGCTAACTCACATGGAACGACACCGCGCTTCTGTACACACTCATCTAACACAGCACAATGCATTTCTCGGGTGAGAACGACAAAAAGACATTGTGCATTATCCAGTGTGTGGGGATAATCATCCCGATCATTGATATATCATAATACTAATCCGATCAATGCACACACACATGCTCCTTGTTGGTAGCCGCTGTGATTCCACAGCGTTGCACCTTAATAGCTCCGCTAGGTGATTCACACACCCGACACACCAAAGTCAAACGAACCGTTTTATCAATCAGCACTAAATTACTGAAAAGCCCTTTTGTTGTGGCCAGCGTTTTAATACCGCGCATCCATCATTCTCATTAAACCACCCGCGTTGTACATGAAGTGTTGATTATATAGCTACTTAATACTTTATTAGTTCGGTATGTTATTACAATTGTGGTACTTCTACATAATACAAATCACCACACAACTCAATTTAATTTTTTGAATTTAAAAAACCAATGATAACTTAAATAATAAAAGATGTACAGCAATAACCATTTAGGCAGATCCAATATATACTGTACAGATGTTGTTATATTACCAACGTTCACCCTTATTAAAATGCACAAGTCTACGATAATTGTATGCACTGTAATGCGCACAACCTAATAAAACTGCGTTGGCAATCATGCCAGTATTTTATAACGTAGTACACAAAGGCCAGGAAAAAATTTATTGACATGATAGCCATAAGCAGAATGTGATTGGCTTGCGATCCATTGTGATTATGTTGAAAAACTGAATTAATTCGCACCGATGTCAACTATAGCGCAAGACAGGCTGTTGCATTAAAATGACGGATAACCTCGCATTTCTGGTTGCGCCGATTGTTGGTCTGCAGAAAACGTTGCAGGAATAGAGACATTTATTTCCCGCGCATGGCCATTACTGGTACACTGCGAGCTAAAGACAAGAAAATGATGTAGGCCCAATGTTCTGGCAGCTGATGAGGCCATTGTATAAAGCGTGATGATTAAGCAATCATAAACCATTAATTATGATGGAAAATAGCCGTGAAAGTGAATTAATATCCAGGCTGCTGCTGTGTGCGTACAGCATTCCAATCCGATGGTTATAGCGAACGGGCCTGCGAATGTCATGTTTTTAGTGTGTGTGTGTGCCGGTAGCGCCGCGAGAGGAATATTTGCAATTAATGCAATGTCAAACGCGCATGAAAAGCAGCTCAATTCATTGTCAGGTCGTAATTCGCATCGTTAAGCACAAAAGACATAGTGAGCCTCTCCTTCGGATTCGGCACAACCCATTAGCATGATAATCAGTAGGCCCAATGATCATTTATGCCGGACACTGACAAATTCGCCACCTGGTCCGATCGATTAGCAGCCCGCCCCGGCCAATGGGAGGGGGCGGGGCCAGTGGACAGATATAACTGTATTTAAGCCATAATATGTCAGTCGTTAACAACGAGGAGGTAAGAAGTTTTCAAACGATGATATTGGCCAAAGTGTTTATCAAGGGCAATAAAAACGTTCCCCCAGCCTGCATTTAATTTGTCGTCCACTCATCGGCAGTCAAGGAGAGAGTGTGTATGTTTTCATTCACTCGTTAAAAAGACATCCTTCCATGGGGCATAATATTAGGACATTTTCATGACAGCTTGCGTATGATTAGAATTTTATCGGCTGCTGCGGCGCGGTTGGGCCGTTTTCGATGGGGAGAAATATACGAACAAATTAAAACTGAGCGCAAAGACTCATAAAAGCTTATGTGTATGTGACGAGAGCGTTTGAAAGCGGCCGTCAACGGTGCACAGGACCTTATCGGGCCACGGCCATCGGCGATACATCGATGCATAAATGCGGCCTTTCGATTCGCGTCAAATATGATCATATTCTCTTTCCGGCCAGTTCAAATTCATAAATTAACCATTAAAACCCTGTGCATACAACACTGGACAAACAATATTCCTATCGTAAAATCGTCAAGCAAATCTTTTATTTTCATCGCTTTCGCGCTGATGCGTTTAACGCCTCGTTACCATGTCCACTACGGATGTGTGTAATGCTATTGTGGCAGATATCGAGAGCTATCATCAACCTAAACGAAATCAACGCTTGAGCAACGAAACCTTGTTAAGCCTGTTTTGATTATTTTCAAAACATTGTTTTCTGATGTTTTTAAAGAACCCCTTAGCCGTTGAGGCTTTGTTGATTTAACAATTTAGCGTTTCATCATAGAGAACGAAAAATATTTACGCCCGTCCTTCTAAATATTTACGCCCGTCGTATATGTGCTTGTTTGGTTTACAACGGCAAATATTTTTATTGTGCGACTCATGCAGTAGAGTTCTAACGAATACTCGAAAAATTAAAGAGCAGGTGCAAGAAAACCCAAAAGTAAATAAATTGAAGCTAGGGTAACAAAGAAAAATTACAAGCCCGGACGATCAAAGAATAATTACAAGTCGGTAGCACTGTGGTTTCACTTTAGAGCAGCTACTCGAATGTTTTTCTTCTATCACAGTGCTTCTATAGTACTGTAACAGTGTAACTCAAAAAGTTAGCCCACTGCCCTCGCAGTATTATGCCGCTCACCTTGACTTGACTTTCGGACATTCCGAGTGCGTACGCCAACTTAGCCCTTTCGGGTCCAGCCAGATATTTGGTCTGCTCGAAGGTCTTCTCCAGGGCAAAGATCTGATGACCGGAAAATGTAGGCCGGGTATTCTTTTTTCCACGCCGACTATGGTTGTCGTCGTGAAGAGCAGCACCCGCGGAATTCTGCATACTTCCTGCAAAGCGAGTTTACGATACTTCCTCATATCTTGAATCAGGCCGGTTATAACAAAAATTTTAATAGTTAAAAAAAGGCCAGGTAAGCACTAAGCATACTTTATCATGATGTTTCCAAACCGATTCCACACAAAACAGTGTGCAACATAGGAAATATTCAAATGCTGCTGAAAACGCTAATGCACGATCGGTACTTTTATACGTAACTTATGTGAATATTATGCTGTACTTCGTTTGAAAAAAATTATGATACATACACAGATGCACTGTATAACCGATACGTAGCTTGACATAACCGACACGAGGACATACTCGTAAATAATGCAAGAAAATACTATACGTTCAGATTCCGGTTAGAATCAGCATAGGCGCATTATTACCGGTATGGAAATTGACTCCCTTGTGCATATTTCCCGCCAGCATTCCCGCAGCGGGCATCCAGGAACACAGGGAACGGAGATCCGGAACCATCGGTTTACCCGAGGACGCCGCCACAGCCGCCGCCGCCGCTGCAGCGGCTGCCGCACTGCCGGCCATCATGTTCATCCCCGCGATATTTACCGGGTTGTGGGGATTAAAAAACAGACGGGAATTGGCAGGTAAAGTGGCGGCCATCTGGGCGGCCCGTGCCGCATTCAGATTCCGACTGAGAATGTCGTTAATACCGTGCGGTGTACCGGGCGCCGATGATGACGAGGAGGACATGGAAGAAGAAGAAGCGGACACAGGTAACTGACGAGCCGGTATTAGACTGTTTTGCGACGAGTCAATTTTGCCTGTTCCCGTACGAATCGCATTCATCTCGGTCATCTGGTGCAGTGCAGCTAACGGTTGATTATTCCATAAAAACGCTCCGGATGACGGATTCTCCATTCTCAACATCTTAGCAGTGCGGTGGCGCGCATAGTAAAAAGGTCAACCGATTTATTAGAAATTTGCACGGAGATTTCTTGGAAGAAAATGACGCTGGAGAGGCTTTTGAGTAGGATGAAGTATGTGATCACAACTACCCACAAACGGCTGTGTATCTGTGTAGTCAATGGGGAAAGAACAGATAACAGTGGTGTGCTTTGGTTGGAAAATGTCCGAACAACAATCATCATAAGTGGTTTAGCTACTTTTGAATCACATCCAATTCATCGCCGTTTGTCACGTACTTGGCCGCAGCCGTTGCGCGTCAGCGGCTGCCTTGTAAGTGCTGTACCGGTCCACTGGCCAATCAGCAGCCAGATAGTGCCGTTGTGTGCCTGCAAGAAAACTTCTTGGCAGCGCGCTGATGTATGGCTCCATTAAATCTGTTTATCCCTTCCGGTTGTATAATGTGAGAGGTTTGCTGCCGACATTATTAAAATCAGTTGAACATAAAAATAAATCTGTCGATGTAAAATGCAGGATTGTCATTTATTTTGAGGGCAAACTAAACTTTAAATTTTCAGAATTACTGCATTTTATTATATAGGATTACTCCTCATCATTCCATGATGCCGAAACCAACTTCTACCATTATCAAAACGCATAAATATTTGTGTGCTTTGTTTAATGAGTTTCGACATGAAAAAAACTGCGTAATTAGACTGTTTTTTTGTTTTATTCTAAAATATTTAAAAACTGTAAAAGCAAAACTTTAATAATGTATCCTTACGTAAACAGTGCAGATTTAGCAGGTTTGCAAAGTACGTTATATGTTTTAAATTCTACCCGAGTCCTGAGAAAAAATTTTATGTACTCATGGTAATCTAGTAAAAAGGCAATTTATTATTGGGTAAACGGGCAAATAAGCATTGGAATACTCAATACAAAAGCATCTGTAACGGGAAATTTGTAGCGGATATGGGCAATAAAAGTGCTTTCAATCCGGAAACATCATTCACGCAGCATCAAACCCACAATAAGTGGTGACTGCCCGCGCCGGCGCAGTCGGTTTCAACATCTATGACGATGCTGCTCCTGATTTGGTAAGATTTGATGACTGCATAATGAAATTAAAGATTATTGATGCCGCCGTTTGGGGGGAAGCGGTCCCTGCTGGGAAATGGGAATATGGCCGCTGTGCACTTTGCTTGATCATTTGATTTGATGACATCGGTCTCCCTCTCTACGATGGCGTCAACTGATCAGCCCAGCTGATATCCTGACACATATTGTGTATTTCGCCATTTAATTTGCTTAGCCGATAAAAAGCGTCGCAGTGGTCGCGTACTGTACATATAGAGGCGGACGTTTAATATTATGACCACTGTGACTTATGTTAGGGAAAATCAACAAATTAATGGATAAAGCGTCGAGTGGCCGGTTTATGCTTTAATAAATCCATTGGTCGTTTGAAAAGCGCGGCATGTTATGTGAGCGAGTGTATATGTGTTTTCTCTCTCTGGTTTGCCAATTGAATGGATTCGCATCGATAAAAATCGTTCCACCAGCTTGTTAATCCGATCAAATATATGGCCATGTCGGCTGTATTAAATCGCCGGCTGTATTGTCGCTTCATCTCCAAATATTAGAACGGATTCCATTCTGGTGTCTCGTCGTTCCATTTCATGCCGGTGTAATGAAAATTTATGATCACGTTCACTGTTGTGCTTATTTCTGTCCAAGCTTCATTGACTTCAGCATAATAATCGTCTCATCATTGCTGTTTGGCGCTTGATTTGGAACATTTTACAACACAGCACGCATTTTTAATTTCCTAGAGTATTCGTTTTTTACGGCATTCTAGTGTCTGATGAACAAAAGAAATGGAATATTTTATTAATTTCCCAGGTCACGCCTAAGCGATGAAATTCCCATATCGCCTTTTTTGACAAAACTAAAGTGAATAGATACTGTTTTATGCAAGGAGAAAATTTTTAGCATGATCTTGGCGTTAGTGAGATGAATACTGAAATCGAAAATCAGATCGTTAAGTGTAAACAATGCAAATATTTGCGTGGTAAACCAATTCAAATAAAGGTCGTAGACTATTTGTGGTAAAATTCCCGCAGTCCTCAAGGGTACGTGTACACAAAATTACCAACTAAACCATATTAATGAATCTATAAACGCTTTCTGAAGCACTCATAGCGTTTAAAGAAATAATTCTTTGTATACTTCTATTCAAATCGCTTCACATACAGTGGCACAAATGAAGCATCAGCCACCAAATTTACAACTAAATGCAGTTTGCGCTTTGCAGAAACAACCATTCTACGTACCATCATGGGTATGCACTATCACTCGTTATTTGCCGGTGTTTTGCAGTTGGAATATGTAATTCACGTTGCCTTCATGGGATTGTACCAACTACATAGTCTATGTAAAACTTACAAACCAATGTACAACCTAAATATTTTGATCGTTTAGAGTAGATCAAAATAACTATGCAGTATGCTCGATGGCATGATGAACGCCATATGTCACCTTTGATGAAAAAGAGCGCTAAAACAAGGAAGGCGATATATATACACTACAAACACTTGATTGATTATACATGAAAGACACAAGGCTTTCGGCATGTTGCCGTCATCCGGTCAGTGCGATGGCTCTGGCCGGCACTGATCGCATTGTCTCCAACGGTGGATGATCTGCACCTTGATGTGGTGCGGCCATTTGTGATTATGCAAATGAAGATGTGCGGTATAATGAAAAAAGTCAAATGAATGATTAGATGGGAAACGATGCGAGCAGAAGGGGATGACGTGAAAAGAATTAATCTCTCCGTCCCCGTTGATGAGAGAATAGACGCCTCAATCGCCTTCCAATCCAGCTCATCAATAGCCAGATTAAAGACGGATCGATACGTTAAAAGTTCAGTCGGAACACAAAGGAAGACACCAATAGGCAATCCTCTAAAGTCATTAAAGTCACTTTTCCGGTCAGCGTCACCTTTAGACATTTGTGGAAAGCGCTGTAGCATCTACCAGTTTGGCGAGTAGCTATTATTGTAATAACTTTTAAGGAGCTATTAAAATACGCTTCAAAGAGATATAAGCCCGGCTGTGTTCTTGGTGTGTACCGAACGTGACTGCACAATTACGGAGATGCTTGTTACTTAAAATTGCTGTTAATAACCTTGTTGCGCATGGCCACGGCATTATCGTAGTTCTTTTCGTATATTATACTCTTATTAATATGTAATATTGGCATTTATTTTGCTGAAAATTATTCGTGCCTTCTTTCTGTGCTCTGTATAGCAAATTTTTCTCTTCCTTGGTTCATTACTCAGCATTTTGCTAACGAGTAATTATATGCATCTTAACATAGTCATACATTATAAATTTGTAATATTAATGAAGCACGTTGGAAGAAGACTCGCAAAAAATTTTGGAAACAATATAAAGAAAAAAACAAATGCAGCAGTAAATATTTAAAGATCTATCTGTACCTCTGTAATCAGCGCGTTTGTCACTTTTTAACTGGAGAGAAGACCTTACCCGTTGGCTGCTTTACATTTAAATTTTAACGATCACATAGCGCATGCAATTATTGTTAAGTGCATAGTGGTTATAATCACCGTCGATAAACTTTCTCAGCAACCACAAATCTAAAAACTATGCGGTTCCTGCCTACTGTTATTTTACGGCATTGCCGTACGCTTTTGAATTACGGACTACACATGACAATTGAACATATATTCAACGCATTTCTAAGTCGTGACCTTACTAGTACCTAAAACTGGAAGTACTTCGTGAACGAAATTACGAAGCTAATTCTCCAGTTGAATACACGAGTATTCGTACGTATGCAATAAGAGAATTTCTTTGCGGTTGCTGTTTAGTGATGAAAGTGGTGCATTCGAGCGGTTTTTATCCGGAATAATTAAATTTATTATTTATCGATAAGCAATCATGTGAACCTGCGTTGCACGTTATTGTTAGGGTATCCGAATAATGAAAACTGCGCAATAAAGTTGTAATATCAAGTCAATCCCAACGCTTTTTCCAATACGTGACACACACGTGCCTGTACGCGCGCTTACGCGCGGGCGAAATCGAGATTTGTGAGATACATGGCGTAGTTTCGCGAAGAGCTTTTGTGCATTCATTCGCACACAGAAAGCTTATGACCAAATGGTCTAAATAATAGTTCGTACCGTACAGCTGCAGCTGCAGCAAATCGACGGAAACGCGAAAAAAATAATTGTAGCGAGATTTCAGGAACGCACTAAGGGTAGTGCACGTAGCAGGCGAGTGCGCTCCGCGAGTGCAACCAGTGCGATCCGTGTTTGCTTCCATTTTGCATAAAGATTTACTGTGCAATGTATGCAGCCCTTGCATCGCTAATACCCTACGCTTATAACCGACCAGACGACCATGGCCAAAACGTCCGCGCGAGGTCTTGGTCGTCTGGAGGATTTGGAAATTGTGATGTTTCGTGTGGCAGTTTCGATACGTTGCTAATGTCGAAATGAACGTTTAAGGCTTCGTGCCGCAATGTTGTGTCAGATGACTAAAGAAACGCGCGGCATTACGGGCGCAATGCGCGTACCGGTCGGTTTGAGTCTTTGAGACGAAGCGAACTTAGGTTGCGATCGCACTTAGTTAGTGTAAACCATACGAAATCATGGAATGCAAGTACGGGAGATTCTTAGCCCGCAGAGGACGTCGCTACGAGAGCCGGCAACCGTCGCAGTTGGCAAGTCGTAGCGTATCAAGTGCCCAAGCGCAGCACAAACACGGTTTATTTTTTCATGTTTCGGATTTTTGTTGTGGTACGAAACTACGAATAATAGTATGACTCGTAATTAAACTTGATTGGCAAACATTGGTGATTTTTCAGAAGGTAAATTATCAGAAGTTTAAAAAATTTATTACAGTTGCAATTAATTACAAATTTATTCACCGTTGCTGCACAGTGCACATTAAAAAATTACATGTAACGGCAATTTAAATAGCGTTTAGTCGAGCGCCCTAGCCAGAAGAGCGGTACTCACCAAACCTTTAATAAGTATCACGGAACCAGTATAAACTTAGTACTAGAAAAAATCTATAACAGAAACACTTCTCAATGCCATCCTGATCGGGAATTGTACCCATTACACAAATCGCATTGTATCTGGATAAAGAGTCGCTGTCTAAAATCTCTTTCGCACGTTTTTGGCCTGTAGCTAGTGTCGGCGATACCGTTTCCAATCTTCTGCACAAGCTTTTTTGTTCCGTCTCCCCACGGTCCGTAAATTTCAAATGCTGCCGCCATAAAGTTATACCGTGGTGGTAGCCAGCTGTGTTTCGTCAGTTTCCTTCTTCCGGCGTGCTCCGCTGCGGCTCAAGAGTTAACGTTAACCGAGGTGCGATCGATGTATGAGGCGGCGAGGGTGTCCAAGCACGTCGCGTCGATAGCCAGTGGTTTTCCGCGTTCCCATGGCACGAGTGTGATCACATCCGGCCTTTTCTTATCTTTCCTTTAGAGGCCTTTTGGCTCCATTCAGGCTGGGACACCGGCTGTCTTCAGAAGAGCGGTGGTGTTAGAGCCGCGAGTGTGTGCGTCAGGGATGTGGGTGTGGTTTCGTGGATTCAGCTTCGCTGAATCGTCGATCGTGTCTGCCTTTGGCAGAGCCGGACAGTCTTCGTCGAGCAGTTGTCGTGTGCGCATGTCGATTGCCTCGGAATAATCCTCGTCAACGATGGATAGAGTGTTGTTCGCTGTTTTGTTCCTTTTTCTATTGTCATTGTCATTCCGATAGATTTTATGTTGTCATGTGCGATTATCAATAAAATTGAGCCAATTTTATTCGTTTTTGGTGTGAGCTTTCCGCCACGTTCCTGCGTAGCGCAGGCACAGCTCCAACAGTGGGTTTAAAATTTGTGTGACAGCAGCGAGCAAGCTTCATTAAACTATGATTAGTGCATTAGCGCTGCAACTTGTATGTGTACAAATCACGCATACATACAGACAACTAAGACGTTTTCGCAATTCCCATTGGCTGGCCCGGCCTACTTTTGCCTACTTGTATAGATGTGTGCGTGATTTGTACACATACAAGTAAGAAACGCAGATGCACTATTAACTATCCAAGCTATTGTGAGGAGGTGTGGCCTCCCGATTCACCCGCGCTCGGGCGGCTGTTGCTGCTGTGTTTTCTTACTTTTCTCCATCTACCAGATTTCTCAACCTGTTTCTAAATCTGAATCTCTGATCAGCATTCAGCACCACGAACATTCGAACAATAGCAAATTCCGGGTTGCCCACGGTTCTTCAAAAGTTTTTTTTTCATTGAACTTTCTGCAAAAGGAGAACAGACAAAACGGATGTAAAACGTTCAGAAGCAAGAAACGCAAGCTCAACAGGAAAATTTGTAAGTGCAGTAACTTTGCTACGGTAACTTTGCCAAAGTAGTGAATGTACTCAATGATCAATCAATACAGTACTCTGTACTCTGTAGTACTGTATGTATTGTACAGTGTACTCGCAACCTGGTAGTGACTAGTCGTCATTTTTTAACTTATCACGGACGTTAACAATGAAGCTTTTGAGGATTACCGAAGTTTCTTTGTGCTGATAAGCGTGTGTCTGATTCGAAGATCGTTAAGCCACTGTCAAATATGGATGCGAAGAGAAAGAAGAAGGTGTTGAGCATGTTTGACGCGGGCTGCACCGTACGGCAGATCAGGAAGGAGACGCGCATCAGCAGGGACGCACTGAGCAGCCTGCTGAAGGCATCCGATAGGAGCTTCCACCAGCGCGACAACTCTGCGATTCGTCCCATTACCGATGAGCAGCGCCGCCAGATTTTGGAGCTGTTCGACGCAGGATGCACCCGCCAGCAGATTATGGAGCAGGTGGGCGTCCATACTCAAGGAGTCCGGAGAGTTCTTGCGCAGGCAGGATTGAGCCTGACACAGCGCAACCGCAGTGCCTTCTGGCAGAGCAGCGCTACGCCGGAGCAACGCGAACGGATCTGCCAGATGTTTGATGAGGGTTGCAGCCGGGAGCAGATTGCGAAGAGCATCGGGATGGCAGAGGGCCAGTTGGATCGGGAACTGGCGCTGGCCGGGAAGATTGTCCATTCAGCCTCTCAACACGGTACGAATGGGTAGACTACTGGCTCTATTGATTTTTGAAAATTATAGTTTGCTTTTAGTACTTAGCCTAAAAAATTTCAAGCCTTTCTCCACATTAGGATGGAATTATGAAAACTTTATACTAATTAAAAAATAGTAAAATTATTGAATATTAAAATTATTCAAAAATATTTACGGCCGGAATTATAAAATATTTATAGTAAAATGGCTTTGTTTTAGGTCCCGGTCCGACAATTTTGAAAGAAAATTGTTTTAATAACAGTGCACGATTATTTGAAAATATTACGAATTCCTTCGAGATTAAAAGTGGAATCCCAAATAAAATCCTGTTGAGAGGCTTAATTAAAAGTTAGTCATAAACTTTGATTCAATAAAGTATTGAATTTATTGATTTTCAAGACGTTAGAAGAGGGATCCTTTGTACAGTAATGTGCTTATCTTATAGTTATGGAGAAATTTCTACGAGATAAACGAGCCGTGGAAAGCAAGGCTGGCCCGTCCTCCGGAAGTGGCGGCAGTTTGCCGAAGGATGCCGATCGAGAGTACAGCCCGCGTGTCACACGTCGACGAGCAAGCAACTGTGCAACGAACACAGTCCAGTCCACCTCTGTCACAGAAGACACAGCTCAGCCCGGCTCTGGCACCGAATCCCTGGAGGAAACAGAAGATGAGAAAATGGAAGAGGATTCTAATAAGGAAGAAAAGGGTACGCAAAATGCTGAAGATGAGAAAATGGAAGAGGATTCTGATAAGGAAGAAACAGGCACGCAAAACGAAGAAGATGGGAAAATGAAAGAAGATTCTAATACGGAAGAAAACGGTATGCAGAATGCGGAAGAGGGGAAGATGGAAGATTCTAATAAGGAAGAAAAAGCCACGACAAATGCAGAAGATGGGGAAATGAATGAGGATCCTGGTAAGGAAGAAAAAGGTGCGCAAAATCCAGAAGATGGGGAAACGGAAGAGGATTCTAATAAGGAAGAAAAAGGTATGCAAAGTGCAGTTATTATACTTATCGGCACAGTATAAAGGCAAGAATGTGTGCTCGCTTGCAGGTGCAGAATCTGATGCGGCACCGTCTGGCAAGTTGTCCACATTCGACGACTTCTTCGGAGGGGAGTTCCACTTAGAAGCCATGGCCACACGGGTCGGCGTTCCTGTACAGACTGTCCGCGAGACCCTTGTCAGCAGCACAAATGTTCCTGCATAATCTACTTATGCGATGTACAGTATTAATTTGTTAAATTTGTGGAATACTGGATTCGACGCTTTTTTGTTAAATGTTGTTTCAACAATATTGATCTGCTCTTCACGTGCGCAGGTGTACAGATACAATACAATATCGTTAGTAGTGCACTTTTCGTTAGATGCTGTGCATCAATCACCCGGATAGTCCAAATGTATTACAGATATTCGCTTAACATACTTTTGATGATGGAATAGTGCTAATTCTTGAACGGAATGAGCTGTTAAAGGCACAAACATAATGAAACCTATATCATACTTTCTTCCGCCTGAGAATTTATGCGAATTAATTACAAAATAAATGCATTTCCGTTACGTTCCAGTGGTACATTTACAAAACGTAAACTCATGGTAAGGCAAACCATAAAAGCGTCAACTACAGCATGTCACCGATGCCAGCTGAAAGTTAAGTAATATTCGCAAATCCCTGTTTCATAACGCGTGGATCAAAAGAGGAACAACTAGCAGCAACACCTATAACAAACCACTGCCAGACAGATTCGGCCATAGACTATTAATAAATTATTTAACGACAAAAATTTGCGGCCATTACTACTCATTGCACAGCCATCGGGAAGTATAATGTTAGAGGTTTGGCAAAAGCAGGGTGTAGGCATACCGTGTCGCACGAGTGCACAATAATATTGTGCAGAAGTGGCGTCTTACTTGATTTTATTCGTGATTTTACAGCCATTGCACCATCTGTGGACCCTCCAGTTGTTAAGTGACAACGTAGCAGAAGCACGCGTGCGGTGGCCCATGCCACAGGCTGTTTTAACGTAAATCTTTGAAAATTCATAACTTTGTTCATTCCTGCATTAAATTTTTATGTATAGTCTTGAAAAATGCAGAATAATACACAGCATTAGAAAAAATAAATGCTTCTCTGTTTCTTCTTCAGGGTAACGCACTAGGAGCCACTGCGGTTAACATAGCCGCCAATGACAAATCCTCCATAGGCGGCTATGCTAGCAGTACAGGCTAACAGTGCATAACCCTGAAAGAAAAACAAAAAAGAATTTATTTTGCCTAATACTGTGTATTATTCTGCATTTTTCAAGACTATACATAAAAATTTAATGCAGGAATGAACAAAGTTATGAATTTTCAAAGATTTACGTTAAAACAGCCTGTGGCATGGGCCACCGCACGCGTGCTTCTGTTACGTTGTCACTTAACAACTGGAGGGTCCACAGATGGTGCAATGGCTGTAAAATCACGAATAAAATCAAGTAAGACGCCACTTCTGCACAATATTATTATTGTGCACTCGTCGCGCACCTTCTTCGCCGTCTGCTCCCAAACCGGCAATTAGCGCAACAGCGGAACTTTTTGAGCCAGGCATTACTGATGGCCTTGGCCTTCAAAGGGGATCCAGCCGCTGTTCGGTATCCGACGGGAACTGACAGCAGTGCTGCACTTCTAGTTGCTATGCAACCTATACTTACTGCGAAGTAAAGCGAGTCTAATGGACAGTGGATATTGGACAGTGGACATTGGATAATGGACAGTGCACATTGGACACTGGATATTATGTCGTTGAGATGTCAGTGCCATACATTTCGGGTTACCCATAAGTAATACCGCCCGCATTACTGTCACAATTTGAGTAGATTACAACGTCATAAAAGTTAACAGCAATACATTCGTGTAAGCTATTCAAATGGTTCTCGATATCGATATCCATTGTTAATTTTTGTATTATCCTTTATCGATAGAGGATACAAAAATTAGCAATTAACTGTATTCAGTTACACGATACGAGATGCGATTTTTTTACTTTTGTCCCCTTTCTCATACTGTAGAATATTGCTTCTCAAACACATCAGCTATTTAAAACTTCAAACACGCTCCACGGAAAGCAAAGTCGATCATACGGTAACAGAAGCACATGCTCGAAGGTGGCACGTCATATTCTGGACAATAACCAATACGTTTCTGCCTTGCCCTTTCCCTGTGAAAGCAAAAAAACCGAATTTTAACCACAAAATGTAATATTGTCGTAACACTTTTAATTATTACAAATGCTAATAATTATTACATATTATTACAAATGATTCTTTTTGTAGTTTAAACCTTTACTTTCGATCGCAAGGATTGACGCATCGATGTTAACGACTACAACGAGCAAGTAACATACGTTATTGTTAACTGACCTTTATGTCAATGAAACCTCTCGACTCCATTCGGTAGCCACCAATGGTATCCAAAAGCCTTTGACTACTTTGACTGATGTGTATTTTCCCTCCTATGGTAAAACTCATAAAAGTATCGTACAATATATGAACACACTGTACAGACTATATAACATCAACGATTGACATTACTGGTTGGTAAATTCCATGTGTTTAAAGTTTATTACTGTATATTCAGCTGCCATCGCGCACGTAATTCGTTCAATGCGGTACTTATTATTGATTAGTGCCTTAAGAATTATCCCAAAATACAGACACCGAAACGGTAGCATGTGTTTGAATTACGAGTCTGCAAACAAGATAAATGGCGCGCGTGGTACGGGACAGTACTGTACTTTATGATTGTTATCTGTACCTTCGCCATGGCTTTCCATACGACTTGCGGTATTGATAGTGTCACCAAACCTAGACAAAATTTTCTGGCATTGTAGTCCTTCAGTAAAAGAGCTTGCACGCATTCCATTTACTTAACTACATACATGTAATCACATGCAAAATACCTACAAACAATAACGAGGCATCCGATTACCGACGACGCCGGCAGCACATGCTCCTAAAATTTCGGCAGATATTGTGTCAGTAGCTGTACTTCGTCAAAGATGCGTCGCAACCCGTCTCTATTCCGCCTATGCCATGTTACCAGTTCCCGGTTACCTGAGTGCATGCCCAGACGCATATGGAAGTCGACACCTGTGAGAACAACCGATACTATCGGTTGAATGGCTGCTAGCATCTTCAAGGCCAAACGTCCAATTTCACCGGCATGACGCAGGTTGCCATTGGACACTGGAACGCCGCTGACCACCTACAAGCAGATAATAATATAGGGGGAAAAATGTGTCTAGCCGAACCAATCCCTTGTACTTCTGATGTAAGCCAGCTGGTGGTTTACGTTGTGGCTTGACAGTGTTTTATGTAAAGCGCTGCTATTAAGATTGCAGGTACTGATAACAGGTAAGCTGCACTCGTACAACTGCAGGTAAACAGGCTAAAACTGTATTATAGCCCGGACCTGCCTGGTGCAGCTAATTCCACATGTACCGTCAATGCCGCACAGTCTTAATAGCAGCGCTTTACATAAAACGCTGTGCAGCCACAACGTAAACCACCAGCTGGCTTACATCAGAAGTACAAGGGATTGGTTCGGCTAGACACATTTTTCCCCCTATATTAGCATCGGTGTGAACGTATGACGAGAGTTTCAGGCATGTAGTTACGTACGGTACTAAAAAAATGTAGACCGAATCTGAGTAACTGTTGAATGTTCACATTTACTACTGGGTAGTAATCGATACATATCTATATTCCATGTTCACATTAATAATAAGCGGCGTGCAAGCGCTGAACGTTTAATTAAGGAATATGTACTTTCAAATACTAATCCGTTATACCATGCAGTACCATGTACGAATCTCCGATCGTTTCCACTTTGTACACTCCTGGCTGTTCCTCGATAATGCCATCCAACAACAAGTAGATTTGATGAAGCAGACGAATAATGAATAACGGTTGACAGCGCGAGCATACCAGCGCAAACTCCGGGAAATGAGTAAACAGAACGCTAGTATCTTGGAAGTGTTCAGGTATCATCGGTAATTTATTGCGTAGTTTTCGCACGATGCTCCTGCAAATACAGTTAGGTTTGGGTACCGTAAGGTTTGGATTTGGGTTTGGATAAATTCACAAATCGATCGATTATCCGTAAGTGCAGCTTACTCAGGCAAGATATCTCGGAGTAACTCGTTGACCTTTTCTTCCTCTTTAATTAGCTCCATGGTCCGCTCAGTGATCCGCCTTTCCAGCTCGACTGCATAGCACGCTAATCGAGAAATAACACAGTCCACAACACCGGCCGAGGATGAACCGGCAACCACTTTATGAACATTTTTAATTTGTGGTCGGTGATCCGAATTGTCCAGCAAACACTGACGTAATAAATTGGCAACTTGCGGAGGAATATCTTCTTTTGTGTAATCGATGCGCTGGATGCTCGGTGATTTTTTCAGCAAATATATACAATCTAAAACAACCAGGTCATTCAAGTCATGTAGATAATTAACTGGATTCGATATTGATTGCGCTGCGAACATATAGTTGAGCGATTTTACAAAAAGTCGACCACCTTGAATACGGGATTGATCAGAAAGGACGGCGTCCAGCGGAAGTTTTCTGGTAAAGACTTCGGCAATGATCACGCCCAGACTGTATATATCACTGCTCCTGCTGCCCGAGTATTCCTCGTCTGTTACTACTTCCGGCGCCATCCACAGCTGCAGACAGTCGTTTTTGTCGGCCAAATGGAAACCTGTCAAACTGGAGACGATATTGGTCATCCCGTAATCCGACAGTTTGATCCCGAAACGATCATCGACCATAATCGTCAGACTGGAAAGAGCGCCGTGAAATGTCAACGGACTGGAGTGAATGTATTTTACACCCTACGAACAGCAGAGACATTAGCATATTGACGCTAGTATTAAATTATTGGGTCACCAGTACGCAACATAATTTATGTGCATTACCAATATCCGTACCATACGTAATACGTAAATCGTAATCATTAAGTTTTGTATTATGAACAAGTAAGAACGAGTCTTGCATAATTTCTAGTATCAAATTAAACTGTACATGTATTACTGCTCACATTATTATGACCTAAAAATTTATTGTTACATATAAAAACTTACCGCTGATATCTCTCGAATTAGAGCCATTTGCAGGTCGATATCCAGCGGAATGTTTTCATCGCTAAGTAGTAACCGTAAATTTCCTCTGGAACCATACTCGTACAATAAGCACGTGTTTATCCCGTCTCGAGTAGCTCCATAAAAACTCCCGATGTTTGGATGTTGAGAGTTTCTGATCTGTGGAAGCATGACGCTTTCACGGATATTGATTGCAGAAAACGAGAATTAGCGTCTAATGAGAGGAAGACAAATACCCAATTGAAAGTTTGCCTAGCCAATCGGACGGCATAAATCTGACTAGCCGACAGTGCACAAGGAAAGCGTTCGGTCCACATAATCTCGTTGTTATACAAGGACAGCTTTGCCTTGATGGCGCTGATATGATTGTGGCGCGTGGAAAATTCGGTATAATACTCAAGCGCATTCCCGTCTGGTTTGTCGAAATGCAGATACCACCAGGGACTGTTAGCTTCTTTCTTGTTCATGTAACTTCTATAGATCGTCATAAAACTTTATTTTACTGCAGCAAGTAGTGCAATACAACACTTTCCTGTATGCCAGAAAGGTCATTGCTATCAGGAAGATGAGGGACACGGACACAACAATTGCGATGACCGCCGTGCGGGCCGAGTCTGTATGAATGCACGACTGACTGTTAATTGTCGTATTTAGCTGGCAAACACGGTCCTTAGATAAAGATCTACAATGTGCTCAATGGGAAGAAGATTTGTGGCTGTTACCGGATTGGTCGCACAAATTGTTGAGATATCCACACACAGGCATATTGGTAGGCGGCCCCAGTGCACTGCGCCATTCATCTGCCAGTGGGGATACGTTGACCAAGAGGCCAGTTGCTGCGTAAAAATGCCAGGCTTCCTAACAAAACGCGATGAAATTGGCAAAACGCAAGAAAATTTGCCAGGATATAATGGTATCACCAAGGTTTTTAATTAGGTAAGTACTGCGGTAGGATAACTGGGAGTTTTTTGTGACCTTTAGTAATTCTCGTACCTCCATGGCACCGCTAGTCTGGTTTAGACGGTAAAAGCATACGTCTCCTTGTCGCATCCCGTTTGGACTAATCGTTATATTACGCCATGGAAAGCTAAATGTTCTGTTCCAGAATTTCTTGGCGAACTGCCTACCATCCAGCAGCTCTTCGTCCGGCAATGTGTAGCTTTCGTTTAACACCTGGACAACAACAATCAAATCTGCGAATATCACTTAGTATCTGTAGTTTGCGGAAAGTAATGTAACCGTTTCCAGTACTGTACATGTACAATAGTGCACAACTACCGGTAGGGGAGAACGAAGAAAAGGTTACTCTAAGCCAGTTTATTGGAAGTATCCAGCAAAGCTAACATGGAATACGAACCGTTGCCAGTGCCGAAGTGATTTCATAAGCCGTAACCGAATAGTCGTTGTACTAAAACAAAGATTTGCGATGTAGGTTAACGTATTAATCTGTTAGTGAATAATGCATTTACGAAGTTGGCCATAATTATGCAGTTTATGCACCTTATCGTCCTCAGTAAGGGAAAGGTTGAAATTGGCCTGTGCATAACGAGCAACGTCGTCCATCACATCCATTACTTTGTCCCATTGAGCAGCTGGATGCTCCCAGTATATCAGACTTCTAAAAGCCTCGAATGCAGTCTGCGAAGAGTTTTGTTCGTTCGTTGAATTATCGGGCGAAGCAAATCGCCGGCAGGGAAGTTTAAGTAGAAGTATACCGTACGGGATCGTCACTATCGTTATATTTCCACGTTTGTTTTCCTTCGCCAGGAGCCCGCGCCATTCTGGATGACAAAAAAATCTGCAAAACCGATCTTCAATAGGTTGGAGAAAGTAGTATTGTAGATTGCCATTGACCAGCTATGTAAAATCAACATCGCAACTTTGCTTACGTAATCGCCGTTTGTCATGTTCAATCGATACGCCGTAACCTGCAGTTAAAGCGGTCAGAATTACACAAAACATTCTTACATCTCATTTCATTCTTATATTTTATTTCATTTCAGAGCATTTCGGTTGTACCAGAATTTGGCGAACAACTTTTGGGAGGCTGAAGATAATTACCACTGCAAGCAAACAGATTGTGAACCACTACCACATGCAGTTGCATTAATAACCAAATTAGAATGAATATGAATATTACATGAATGAATGAATGATTAGAATAATTATGGATCCTGGATTAGATGCACCAGTGGTGTCCATAGCGTTAGCTTACCTCTGGCGCGGCTCTGCACGGACGTTAAAATTCCCGTAAAATCGGTAAAGTTTGGTGTATCGAAAGGATACATGTAAATATTGAACCGGCCTAATTGAGTCTCCATGAGTCTCTTCACGTTGCGGCACGAAAGGTAGAAGAATGTGCCTAAGCCGGGATACTCGCTGAGGTCATCGCAGAAAAACGCTACGGTCTGCCATTTGTAGCGTTGAAGAAACGTCTGGGCTGCCAGGGAGATGGCGGGATGGTCAGGAGGAGCACATGTCACCACCGTTGGATAGCGTGCTTTATTGGCCAATGCTTGGTCACCGGCGGTGCTACGGTCGGTTGTATTGTGAGTTGTATGCATACCCTCATGTTAAGGCAGGTGAAGGGGCGTGTCGCTCATTAGCAAGTGCAGCTGCGCTTAAAATTTTACTGAATCCGAAATTTTACTGAATTTTACTTTATGCGCTTAAAAATCATTTCTCTCTTTTATGAACCTTGCATTTCTTTTTATCTATTTCCGTTATACTGCACTGAGATATTGTGATACTTTACTTTACAGTATCTCTTTTTTACAATCCACGTAAACAGTACGGGTGTACGATTAGTTATCACATCTTTCCGGTGTTGTTAAATTTAAGCAGTGTGTACAGGACACTTGACATTTTCTGCTGCCACGTGGGTCACGTAATTTCATGTAACAAGGAGCTATGACGATATCAATAACACTTGCTGTATTTCCGGTTATTTAACAACATCTGGAGCAGCAGCTGTATTGATTGCATACGGCTAACTAATCGCTGCTTGAATAAACGAAAAGGCACTTGGCAAAGATATTCAAAGAACCGAGCCGTAAAATTTTAAAAATTTACGGTAATCGATTAATCGAAGGCTGGGCAGCATTGTTTGGCTGCATTGTTGTGTACGGCTGTGTTCTCAAAAACTGTATTTTCATATTTCTTGGACTTCTTGTTTTGACCAGAACCGCTGGAGTTGTCTGTCTTGCAAAACGCATACGAATTTAAAATCGTGCTATAGATTAGCTGATAGATTCGTCCTAGCTACGTGCAGAATGCCAAAAGTGTTCCGTCATAAAAATCGATTGAGTGGATGTGGCCCAAGTACGCATTGAGGGCCCAATGAGGGGTGCTACGTAAACAATTACGCAAAGATCTTACACATCGAGTGAATCTGCGCTAATTTCCAAAATTTAAGCTAAATGTGCAAGCTCGCTTAAACCCTCTGGTCTTACCTGGATAAGAACAAGACATTCCACTCTGTTGTAAAATAAACACCAGAAAAAGTAAAATTTTGCTGTTAGCATGAAAACAGATTTACGAGTACGAGTATCCTGTATCAGTTAAAATATGCAGATAAAGTCTGCAGTATGCACCATCGTACGGCCATATCCATCAAGTACACTAAATGGGTTCATAATAATCCGTAATTTATTTCATAAAACATAAATACATTTGAAAATCAAAAATTACATATACTCGTATGGAGTATCGAGTTGATAATTAAAATCCGGTAGGTCTGCAATTTTGGAACCTAATTCTGCAGCCAGACTAGCCGCTTAATTTCGTTTTATACACTTCTGCACTGTACGTACCTCGAGCAAAGTCGCCCAGTACCATTACTTCCGCACTACAGCCTGCAAAGCAAAGAGCGGAGAACAACGCTACAAATAAGCAAATACCATAAGGTCAAGTTGCAACATAAGCTAATGTTCCCATAACGCACCTGGAGTCATTATGACAGTAAGTCCGGTAAGTCGGATGAGGATTTGCTGTATCTCCCCCGCTAAAGGGATCATCGCATCCGCAGCCGCGGCACAAGTGAATGCGCCTGGCAAATATACGGTATGTATGGATATATTATTAAGAACATTTGGAAACTGCGGGCGCAAGTGGTCAAGCGCGACATAGTAAACCGGCAAAGTTGTCGCGTAACCGTAAGCTGGATTCTGTCCAATGGCCACCAGTATGACGTTTAATGTTTTGGCGGTCTCAGCAATCACTATATAATTAACCATCAGCATAACACCGAAAATCAGCATGACCTCGGCGAGTATCCTGTCCCTGTGAAGGCAATTATGGATAGGACGGAATGAAAAGTAATACCGCTCCGATCGAAAATATGGCAATGAAAAGAAGCCGGTTATTTTTGTAAAACAGCACCTGCTGGATGTCGGCAACACGACCCTTTGAGTCAATCGCACGAAATTGATAAATCGATATTCAATGCTTGTTCTTCGACAATGAACACATACTACCGGCAATGCTTGTACCTTTTGTAGCAAAATCAAGGACTGCAAAGCAGCATGTTAGTTTGTGTTGTTGCACTGCTTGACTTCGTCAACGTTTACAAAGCATTAATTATAAAGTACAGATATGAGCGCTCAGAAAGTACACTCGCATTACGATGAAACTGACACGCGACTTCATCAAAAACGTGCTGTACTACGGGTAGTTAAAAAACGAACAGGAACGGATTGGTGAGATAGTCCTATTAAAAATTTTTAAAAATCCCAATAGATCCAACAGCGGTAACAACAGATACTTGGTTTTGCAATTCAAGCAGTGACACCGGAAAAATAACTTTTGCACCTTATAAATGAAATTTGAATCTGTCTCCAAGAATCGGCCAATCGATTTCCGGGCATTTTTAAGAGGCTTGCAGAATGTTCAACGCACTCGAAAAGGTAACAGATATCACCGTACATTCGGAGCATAACGCTTGGATAACCTAAAGGACCTGTTGCATAATCGTTATCCAAAAAGTACTTGGTCATGAAAGGTGTCAACACAGACAGTTACAGAATTATTAGCGGAATTTCGACGGCCTTTTCTGTGGTGTTAAATATAGTGCAGTTGGTTGAAAATCATCTCTCGATGCTAGGAAATTCTGTAAGGAAAAATAACTGGATCTTTTGCTTAATCAATACTTGTCTCGCGGTATTATTAGCAATATAATTAACTGATTTGTCGTACCGGATGTACGTAATAACAGTGCCGCATGTACGTAATAACAGTGTTCAGTCCGTATTATAATCTATTGCCAAGATTTGATGCTGATGTTTTCATGCGTGTTTGATGCTGATTTGGTGCTGATGTTGTTTTTTATTTTGACCTTCTCCCGAATCAGGAAGAATGAATGCCTCAGTACCCTTCTCGGCTTCTCCCAGTCCGGATCTTGACGAATCGTTGGACTTCAGGTAATAATAGAAGCGAGCGATAGAATAGTAGAAATGTCCTAATCACACTGCAGCGTACAAAAGGGCAACGCAAGCAAGTTACTTTTTCCACTATTTCCACTATTTCCATGATCGAAGGTCAGCTGTTTTCGGTCTGGACAGTTTTCCGATTTGCAAACGTTGGGCACTGACGGTAAGGTTCCGAAACCGGTAAGATCAAACGAGTAGATAATGGAAACCCGACATGAAAATCTACTGTACATTGCTAGTTTTAAGCGGTCGGTCCGAGAGCGACACACTGCGCATAATGGCCCAGGCCCTTTGGTATGTAATCACAATTTACACGTTTTGCAGTCTCTCGTAATAATTCGGTTGCTTTCGGCTTTTTACATTGCTAGTGTGACTGCTTTATCTAGCAGTAATTAATCCAAAACGTCGATATAGGTAAGGATGTAAACCTAAACATGATTTATACTGCTTCTCGTTATGCTGTGTTTATTGCATGCTCAACGGAGGACAGGTATACATAAGTACTTTTAGTTCAATGTGGTTTTTATTAATACCGACAACTGGAATGGGTGAATGTCCCCGCCAACCAACAGGTTGCACTAGGATAGCTACTAACTACACCTCCCGACTTCCGTAGCAAAATGACAGACTTTTACGTAATTACGGAAGCACGAAAAAGTTAGTTCCTTTCTGGGTTATATAGATATATCGAGAATGTATCTAAGTTTCCAACCTCTGCAATATTTATACGAGTAATTTGCAAATGTGCTTTCATCGTAGACAGCCATAGGACGAGACATGAGTCTTATAGGTGCAAGGTGCACTAACGTCATGGGAAAAAATTCTGTTCCAATCTAGCAATATGAACATCATAGTAATGCAAGCGAAAACATTTCGAATTGCCAATACGGAAACCAAGTTTTTTCTTTTTCGCAAAGAAAAAGAACTGAGAGTTTACCCATTCTTAAAAGGTACACTGTGGAAAAGGAAAATATGATTTTGGAAATTCGGGCAAGCTTAGATGAACAACTTTGGAACTTTGTCCTTATAAATCTTTATAAATCTGGCCTCTGTCACAAGTTACAGACTGTTACCATTACCTGTTTACATATCTAGCTGCTGCGTTACAAGCAGCACAACCGCAACAGCAAAAGCAAGTAGCACTGAACTACTGAGCAAGTTATGGTTTTTGACAACATAATAACAATTACAGCATCGTGGAGCACAAAAACTGCTATGAAAAGTAATAAGATACTAGTAAGTCATAAATTCAATCTCGCACCGTCACACGTAAGCGCGTAGGCCGACTATCGGTGCAGAAACTGCGTAATGAGATCCATAGGAATGGGGAAGATAATGGTGGAGTTCTTCTCGGCGGAGATGGTGTTCAGGGTCTGCAGATAGCGCAGTTGAAGTGCACCCGGTGACTCGGCAATGATGTCAGCGGCTTCCTTCAGAGCACGTGCTGCTTTCTGCTCGCCCTCAGCGGCGATGACCTTAAAGAGATCAAGGTGTTTTCGAGTTACGGTAGCCAAGCGCATGTACGTCACAGATACACATGACTGGGAAGTTTGTATTTTACCTTGGCTCGGGCTTCGCGAGCGGCTTCCGCCTCGGCAGCCATAGCGCGCTGAAGCTGGACCGGAAGTCGGACATCCTTTCTGCAACATAAACAAAAGATCAGCAATCACATCTTGGATGTGCTGCTTATTAAACTTCTAAAATTAGTATCGGTTTTCAACGCTGGCAACACTGCCGCTGACAAAATGAATTGTACGAGTGCAGTTTCACGATTCATTTTATATACTTACACGTTACAGCAGTTTCATTTTAACTCATGTGGGATACACTTACACTTCAACTCGTTCCACTTTGATCCCCCAGGCTTCAGTAGACTCATCTAAACTGACCTGAACAGTGTTGCTGATAATTTCACTGGAATAAAAAGCAAGGTGCTATGTACATGCGATTGCCTCAAATCGCAGCGTTACATAACAATGCCGAAATTACGGATCACAGCAAGTTCACATTTGTAGCGTCCATTCAAATGTCAACAATCAGCGATATTTTACCGGTCTCCCAATAAATCATGCAGTGCTTTTGTTCCCAGGACGTTTCGCAGTGTTGTCTAAAATTTCGATCAAATTTGAGCCGCGGATTTTAATACTGTAATTACGTCAGTTCGATCTTTTCTCCAACCTGAGCCAATAAGCGCGTGGAATGATGGACGTTTTCCACATTGGCAACCTAAAGTTCAGTTCGTATGTTTACGAGTTATATGCTGGCAGAAATTTAGTGGCACGAGATCGCATTATGCAGCAGTTTAATCAAGTCATGAAATGCTTACCGACAAATTAGCATTGAAGATGCGATAGTATACAACTGCAATGCAATAATTATTATTACGTTGGTCGTAATGCACTGTGAGTTTATTGTAATTGTCACTAAGGTCATTTCCCTTTATAAGGCACGGTACTCGTACTAACTGCAACATGTTTTGCCGAGTGCGACTAAAATGACAATTAAATTCGTAAGACTTCACTTGCCTGCATCGACAGACACGGTCACCTGCAACCACACAAGCCTTTCGTCAGATCAAAGCCTTATTTGTGTGCCCTTTGAGCTCCATGACACTTTTTGTCAACAGCAAGTTTGATACGCAAACGATTTCAAACACGCCTGCTACTGGCTGTAGCAATAACTATTTAGCCAATATGTTTTGCATTCAGTAAACTCTGACCTTGCGCTCAATCAACTGGACACATAACTCATACATCACAATTATTTACAAACCATATGCTCTGTATGTGGTTATTTTGCTGATGCATGAGTACAGACACCTTACCGAGTCCTTCGTCAAAATTTCCTGCAAAGAGTCGGATATTAGATGTCATAAAATTAATCCAAACAAAATGCAAATGCGGATGACAGTTTTTAATGGCTGGTATGTACCTGTGGGGGAATATCAAATAAGGTGCTCCTGCAAAATAACTTCCATTAATGTCGAGATACATCATACTTCGAGCTAGAAGAGGATGCAAATTAGTGCTCTCATTTGTTAGAACACCAATGGGGATAACTGCATTTCCGTTGACTTCGCTGCTATGTTAATGTGATCATTTAACCCATCTCGAAGTAACACTTTTACAGTATGGTATCGCTTAAAAGTTAAAAGCAAACCCGCCGCTTGATTATAACATTTTACCTCATATCCACTTTGGTATAATTCTCTGAAAATTTACAACAACTGTCAGAAAGCAAATCACGTAAATGCTTCTTCTACCAGCTGCCAAGTACAAATAGAGTATGTAGGCCCAAGCTGAAGTGTACAAATAACGACTCACCTATACATGGTAAAACGAAGAAAATTCCTGGGCCTATATAAAAACGACTTGTTACAGGCGGAAAATAAGAATCGCGATCTACCGGGTGGCTGAACAAAATGGCCGTCTGTTTTATCATGGTGCGCTGGATCCGTCCAACACTTAATTGACGTTATCTGATTTTCATTCGATAGAGCATTGCTTTTAACATAAAAAAGTTAAGTGAAGTCAAACTTACCATAAGGCCGAAATTTTTTATAAATTGTTTTGTAGAACTGGCTGGGTTTGGACGATGTCCTGGAAGCGAAAATCTAAAATTATCCGTTTCTAAATTAAAAATTCTTGCTCTCCAACTAATGGCATTAATGCAGCTTATTTTACTGTTTTTGGTAGAGGGGTTGTTTCTCGTTTTTTTTTATTGTAAGGAACTGCAGTATTCTAGCAACCGTGCTTGGCCAGTGCGCTGAATAGCAAAGACGTTGCACGAGTAATTCTCGTGAAACCGGCAAACCAAGTTTTTGAAAGCAAATTTCTAACCAGCGCTCTTAAAGCTTAAATGGTTTAATATTTTTTCTGAAAGGCAATGTGTTAGCTACATTCTGAATTTAAACCTGCATTTTTTGGTGCAACCTGTCATGCAGCCAAAAATTTTAACCGAAATTACTCGAAAATACCAAATAAAAAATCGACATTTTTTGGAAAAGTCACAATGTGTCATGAGTGCATAACTCGTTCAGCGTTTGCAGCATGTCCGCAACTTTTTTCGCTGTTGAAAGAAAACTTGTTTTGCTAAAGGAAACAGTTAAAAATGTTTAAAAAGTCCGTAACGGGAAGAAATGGCACAAGATTTTATGTTTGGTGAGCTGGGACACGAAAAATTTCAGACGGTTTCATTTGGCACCATTGCAAAAGAAGACGGCTTAATTTTTTCGAAAACTTTTTTTCAAGTTTTGTAGCTAATAAAATTCTCTATCGAACAAGCTTAAACAGTTTATGGTGCGACAAACGGTCTGCGAGATACAAACGAAAGCAGGAGACTGCCATTTTGTTCAGCCACCCGGTAGTTACTTTTGGTTAGTGCAGCACTGAACTGCATTACCAACAATATTCATCGGTTAATGATTCGGACTTTGTGGTACATTCCGTTACCTTTTGAGCCGGGATCCAAACGACCCAAACGGAAAATGACGGCTCTCTCGTATTCCTGGACCACCTGTACACAGCGGTCAAACGGTAAAATGAGTATATGTGTCAGTGGTGGATTAAGGGATAATCATGGTTTGTTGAAATATTTGCACTGCCGTAGTGGAAGCTTGCAAAAAGCGTTTACCTTAAAACAAATGCAAAGGGAGAACGGCAGTGTGGCTAGCACTAACACCCATGAAAGCAGCCACAGGACGATGGCACAGAATCCCGGTCCGGAGTTAGTGCTCTCACCTAAGAAGTACAACCGTTTCCAGTTACGTTGGGTGGCGATATTCCCATTTCTCCCTGAACTATACAATTAGGATCTGTTAGCCGTGCGTAAGTTGATTTCACTAGAAAACCATCTAGCACGATATTGCGCGCTAGTTGGGTTAATTTCAGCAATGCAACATCTTCATTTCTACAGGACGGGTTTCTTACAGACTAAGATTAATTTCCAGCAATTGCGAACAATCTTCCTGCATTAGTAGTCATCACACGTCAACTTAAATCAACAAGATTATCACCACAACGGTTCACATGCAACAGGGAACAAAGCAGCTATTTGCGTATGCCTGGTTTTGGGTTTAAATCTGCTCACTGACCGCCAATGGCAAAGCAATGCATATTAAGTGCCAAGCAGAAAAAAAACGGTTTTAATGCACTGTGAAGTAACTAACACCTAGCTGGTTAGTAATTGATCAGTGTACTAATCGATAAATCCTCTCAGCTTTCGACGGACAAATCTCTGTTTACTACTGTGTATACAGTATACACTTCGGGAAGAATAGCGGAAACCGGAAACCGACCACCTGCTCAAACAATATTATGAGATACAGTACATAGTACATACATATCTGCTAAGCGTAGTAATTACTGAATTTTCTTCCGCTCTTTAGCATTTTTTTCTTTTGTGAATTAATCGCTACCGAATTTTCGATCAAAATTTTCACATAATCTGACACAATTTGACTTAAATTTTCAAACGAAACCAATTCCATAGAAACTGTCATTAAGTGATACTTTCTTCGCCGTTGTCCTGTACATGCACGTACGTTTTTATACCGTTCAACTGGAAATTATTGCAACAAAAAAAATCATGTTAAGCCGAGCGTTATGCTATCTGCACTAGCGTGTATAAGAATTATCGTACTACAAAGTGTATTTAATTTTAAAAGAGTGTTCTTAATTTTAACTACGAGTATCTTTGCTGTACCTAGACACAATGCAAAACCGAAATATTCTCACAATAACATAAGGCGCTTAACATTAGCCTAATAAACGAAATCAGCGGAAATTGTGTTAACGTGACTGCATAATGATGCTGCACAGTTAGGCGTGCCATGCAGAAAATAAATTTCTCAGCTTGATCACGAAGACGATTTTCTGGTCAATCACGGGTGCAATAAATATTTTCCAGCCCGTCACACCGAATCACAATCTACCCATTTCCGGCCACGTAACTTACTCTGTCTTTGTCCATTGTAGTCGTTGTTGTAAACGCCCGGCGTCCCGGCAGCCCGATACGGCGGATGTAGCTCCATGCGTTCCTCTCGTCCTTCCCGCATGTGCACTTCCTGCATACTGCGCCCGAAACTCAACTGATTCTCTTGGTTGACGATATCCTCGCTATCGTACTGCACCTGCACCGGACTGGGACGGTGATGATGATGATGATGATTAAAACTACGCGGTGAACTGGCACCCGGTCGGGAAGAAGCGGCCGTGGCGCGCTGTTGCAACAAATGCTGTTGATGGCGCAGATGCTCGGTTATATAAGCTGGTTCGGGATACTGCGCATGCCGCAGTTCATGCTCACTCGCCGAGGCAGCAGCTGCTGATGTTGTGCCCTGGCGCGGATTTTGCGCTGACTGGATATCGTAAGATGAGGAGGCCGTTGCACTTCCGCTGGCATAGTCAACAGCAGTGCCTGCGGCCGGATTGTGCGGTGTTGTTGATATGTGGCTGTGTTGTGGTATATGCGTGGTATACGACGGTGGATATGCGGGAGAATGGGCTCGATTGGAGCCAGTGCCGTGGATTTCCTTTCGGCTCATCATATGCCGCAACACACAGAGATACACACACACAGTGAACAGATGCGATGCGCATACACAGAAGATCCAGTGAAAGCCTAAAACAACGTACACACTGTTGTGTACGAGGATGGCACTGTTTACTCTATCGAGAAAATTGAATGCGGCCGCCGTTCCCCAGTCAAAGTGAACTCATAGAAATGGAAACTGTTATCCAGGTCAATTTTTTCCACTGAGAAATCGATCGTCTGTAAACGGCTTTCGGGGAGTCTGATAAGGGCTACGTGCCACGATTACTCTGCCAGCAAGAATAATGTCTTGTGAACAATTATGGCTGATGTGCGTAGGAGGAAAAAAAGATCCCACATGTACAAACGCACGCGCATAAAACACTGGATCGATACCGGCGCAAGTGAGTACGCAGCGAGCGTTTAACATAAAACTATCTCACTGGCACGGGCCAGCAGCATCGCGCGGATGCATTTATAAAACCTCGTCGTAAAGCAGCAAAATCCTATATGCTGAACGCTGCAGCGGATGCAATCCTTTGGAAGCACTTTGTGCGGTGGATGCTTGCAATTACACACCATCGATATGTACCGGCAACCAGGGCTCACGCTCATTTCCCTCCTTATCCGCAGCTATTTTTGGGTCTGGAATGTGTGTGCAGTGATCTCCGTTCTCTTCCGGCAGCAGTTGAGCAGTCGCTGCACTGATGAATTGCACAATTCTGGTCACGGTGCATGATGAATGTTATAATAACCACGGTACATATCCGAATACAACGGCCAGAGTGCCATTGGGAATGTTTACAATGGCCCACGCCGTACCCGAAACCGTGTTATTCTTGTGGTGATGACATATGGTGTAATTTGTACAATGTCAGTGTGGAAAAAAGCGTTTTCCATGTCTTATACCCGTACGTACAGTCCGACGTGTCTTTTGTGGAGGATGAATGGGTGTCGGATAGCATGCCGGCATGTATACCGCATCGCATATCCAGATTGGTTGTGGACTGAGGCAGACAAGTGTCAAACGTCTTTACTCCAGGCATCCAACCATCTAAAGCAGAAGTCTGGCTTTTTGTGTTATAGTGTTGATTTGGTCTCATCGGACAAAGTTCTGACGAGTGAAGACTCGAGTCCACTTTGCGAATCAAAAAAACTGTATTTTTTTTACCTTAAGTTTGTATCACTCGGGTTTTTATGCGTTAATTGCAAAGGTCGTACAAGGATCCAACGGTTCTTATTGTATGCGGCTAAAACATATGATGCATTCCTATTACGTAGCATGCAAGTTTTTTGCTTGATTAGGGCGGATCCCCCGAGTTCGGGGATGCCTGTGCAAAGGATTCATCCGTGATCAGGTGGAAAACCTGATTACTCCTAGCGAAGAGGCATGGTGGTGATTACGAGGCACCGTCATGAGCAGTTTTTTTTAAAATCATACACATCCGATAATTGGCATGCAATGTCACTATCAATCATCACGCTAGTGCCACTCTTCATATCTCAGGGAAAAAAGCCAAATATGACCTTAAAATGACGGAACTAACAGAAAAATAAACTTTCAAACGTGGCGTCCGTGAACGGTCGGCGAGATTTAAACCGGCAACAGAATGTGATATGACTAACAGTTATACAACAAACTACGAGTAAATACCATCAGATAGGTTAATAACTAATCATAACGGCAATAAAAGTAATCCAAAGGTACTTTCACCATTAGAACTAAAACACCCGGACTAACAAACTCTTGCTCACATCAATTTCTATTTGATTAGCACTGCTCGAACCCTTAGATGGAAGCATGAACACAAGGAACAAACGAGACACTTACAAGTACAAGCTATTCAGGGATTAATCCTCCGCACTCACACTTCCTGATGTTGTCTAACTTGTCTTTAATTATACCTTTTTGACCCACCGCCATTCTGGTCAACAACGCATCCTCTCCGCACAGTTTCCCATAAATGTCCACCGCTTCCTCGGACCAACTGTACGCGTCCAGTATCAACGGCAATATCGCTGAGCGGAGACCGACGTTCACGCGAAAAATCGCATGCAGACCGTTTGCGGAGTACACTGCTGCGTTTGTCAAGCAGTGCGCCCGCCAAATGTGATATCGCGGAAATATGGCACTGAAACGCAGCACCACATTAAAACAAAGAACACCGGATATGTAACATATATTTTTGTGTGAATACAGTCAACACAATTTCATATCATTGACTTCCTACCGAACACATGGAACCAGATCATGAACAAATTTCCAGTCTTTCTCGGCTTGTCCGTTCTTTACAACTTGCTGAAATCCGCATACAAAGAGCATATGAGCATCACCGTGCAGAATTCCGGCGGTGTCGATTGTCCGTAGCAGTTGAAATTTGGCAGCGTCAGCATCGTTCCCATCGGGAGCGTTTTTCCATATAAGGTCATATTTGTGCATAAAGTCGCAAAACTTGCTCAAGTGCTCGGAATTAATAACCCCGCAGTGTGCACACGGCTTAAGAGCCCGGCTATCAGCAGGAATCCGCCCAGAACATCCGACTGTGATACATTTTAACGGATTTATATCCGCCTCCTAAAAAGAGTAGATCAAGCCATCCACGCTTAACTAAAGCACTCCAGCACCGTATAAGATCGTATGTACTGAAAAGATCACACATTATTATATGGGCCAGTGGTGTAAAAAGTTTTGGTTTTAATAGCAATCTGCGAACGTTCAAAAAATGAAGCTCAGTACTTAAACGATATATACGTCGCACATCCATTCTGTGCACTTACAAATGTTGCTGTGCATTTACCGCAGTTACAAGTACGATTTCCGTTGGTTCGTGCAAAAACTTCCCGGCGCTGCGCTGCTGTATATTGGAAATAACGAATCATCTGGTCCGTGTATGTTAGCTACAATAAAGGCAAAGCAAATTAATCATAGCCTTGCCAACCATTATGCTTTCAAATGGATTTGCTGTACATCTTGAAGTCCGGTATAGTCAGGAAGGTCAGCAGTTGCCCAGAGGTACAGTCGTCTGCCTCGAAAGTACGGGATCACGTTGCTATTCCAGCATACCGCTTTCATGTTTTGTAGAGGAACGTGCGGAAATAGTGCATTGCCGAATAAGAATTCTCTTGGACCCTGACCATGGATATGAAAGTTGTTGTTGTGCAGCATGCCCAGACACTCATACACGTTGGGAAATAACGGCGGAACGAACTGCGCTACCAACTGTATAAACGCCGGACACATCTCGCGAAATCTAAATAGAGCTACGTAATGCATACGAGTTGTGTTCATTTCACGTATTACAAGAGTTGTATTCATTTCAAATTGCAAATCATGCGAAAATTGCGAATCCACAACATCAATACACGCTAACCATATAGATATAGCGTACGTTGTACTACGTACACGTCACTCAGCACAGCAAGTTTGGGGTGCTTCGGGAACGATTCGAATATCTCCAGTGGGGACTTGCCTTCCAGTCCAGGAAGCTCATCCACCCCGTTTAACTGTAACAAATGCCCGTTTGCGAAAGATTCTGCTGTGGCGAAAGAGACAAGTTTGCATCTACCTTGACCTTTGTCATAATCTTGGCCATCAGGATGGCACTCGCGCTGCCAGATATCAGCGGACCATCGGTAAGGATTAGTTTGTGACACGAGTCGCACGTATGTGATCGCAGCACCTCTCTGATTTGATGGGCTACCACTTTGAGAGCACAGCACTCTCGTTTGTGCTCTGTTTTCCAGTCGGCAACCTGCGGAACAAAGCTTGGAGGTTGCCCAAAACAGCAGTTGTCTGCTATGTTAATATATTTTTTGCGACACGTACCTGGCACTTTTCTCCGCAGTAACGATGCAGTTTACATCCTGCACACTTGAACAGTTTCTGCGGTTCACTGCCGCAGTACGCACAGGTCGTGTCGTAGCGCTCCCACTGCAAACACCACACCCAGGGATCACATGCCAGGATCAGGTCGCCGGTTTTAATCAAGGAGCGCGTGGCTGGCAGTGCCACGACTGGCTCCGACTGGACTGACTCTGCTGCCGTTCCAGAAGCCATTTCGTTGCTTGCTACGGGTAACGGGTGTTGCTGAACGGTGAGATGCTCAATCAGCATTCATCGCCAATTTCCCTCGCAATTACAGGCAAGCTGTCAGATTTTCGAAAACTAAAGTACCCGGTAGACTGCACAGACTGCATTCGTTACTTACAATTTTCTCCGAACATTCGAAACGGCAGCACCGTGAGTCCGTGACTCCGTGAGGCGTGAGCAGACGGCTGTATTTGAGAAACTGCCATACGAGGGAGGTTGAGTTTGGAGCCGCGTAAACACCACTGGCCGAAAAAGAAAGCCGAAGTTGCAAAGTTGAGCAAACTGCATTTTCTGCAAAGCAGTCAAACATCAAACAAACCTGCAGCGAATTCATTCGAGCGCGAGCAGGTTTTAGGAGCACTAGCTAGGCTAATTTTTTAGCTGTTTCTTTCTATTTTGTTACCTTTATTATTTCGGTCGCAGGAGCTGCACATTGCGCTCTTCCCTTGGCCATTAATAACTATAACTATTTATTACTGAGAACCGTTTATTGCCTGTCGTTTCACGGTTCCAGTGTTTGGTCGTTAGAATTGATTGGCATTTCACTGCATTTGTGACTGACGTTGTCGTTTGAGGATGGCAGCAGACGGGAATGGTGAGGAGCACCAGAAATGTGGAACGGACAGTTCGACGCGTGTATCGGTGGCCATCGTGGATTTTCGTCGCGAACTGCAGAACCTGCGAACATCGGATATATTGTGCGATGTGGTGCTGAAGGGTGCAGAAGACGGCTGTTTAGGGATCCCTTGTCACCGCAACATCCTCAGTCTCCACAGCTCATATTTTCGATCCATGTTTTTATCGGGAATGAAGGAATCCACAGAGAAAGTCATACAGATGCGCAACATCTCCACCAGTGATCTGTCCGAGTGAGTTTTGTAATTAGTTGTACAACGTATAAGAACTTGCATGATTTCTGAATTTCCTGGTTAGCGAGCGCCGCGCTATACAATTATTACGCACACTGTTCACAGTGTACACAGGGGCTAGAGCGAACAGACTACATTTTTTATCTGGACAAACGTCTCGCGCATCGGGAAAGTGTTTCTTTTACATGAAATACTATAATTTTTTTCTAGTACTAAGTTTGTACTTGTTCCGTAATTCTTATTAAAGGTATCAATTCTACGTTTCGCGATTTCTGGCAAAATTAGTAGGCGGTTGTGTTCCGTTTGGTAGATCCAGTCTAGTACAGTACCTTCCTGTGTATTCCGCAGATTAGTCGACTACTGTTACATGGCCGACCTTCTTATCACTGAAAGCAACGTGCAGTCCTTGCTGATCGCTGCTTCGTTTCTGGACATTCCTGCCGTCGTGAAGGCCTGCTGGAAATTTATGGAAGATCATATGCACATCAAGAACTGTCTCATGCTCTATTGTTTCGCCAGTGCCGAGGCGCCCAAGAATCCTGCGATGGCCGACGCAGCCAAGGCTTTTGTTGTCAAACACTTTGTCGGCATTTCAGGGGAACCAGAATTCTTAGAACTGCCAAAAAATACGGTATGATGTGCTGTTTACTCTATTTTTTCGCTGTAGTTAAGTACACGCTATGCCTATCAAAAACGGACACAATATTATTATACATGAATTTTATACTTCGTATATGAAATTAACATATTTAATTATGTTGATAACATGCATGATACATACGATTATATTGGTGCTTATATTTCGTGGTTTACTGGTAGATTATCGACCTGATTCGCTCCGATGATTTGTATGTGACGCGCGAAGATGATGTATTGCTCGCTGTACTTCGGTGGCTGCATCACGATTTAGGGCAGCGACGAAAGGAGTTTTGGGAGATTTTGCGGTACATTCGGTCGTCGTATCTCGGCCCCCAGGGCAGCGACGATTACTTGCTGGCCTGCATTAACGCTTTCATTGATTATTCTGGCGCGGAAAGACGTGTGCATCCGTCAGAATACATCAACGCTTTGCCGGGATGTATCAACGAGACATTCTCCCGGCACGCCGCAAGAAAATATTATGGTGAGGACCGTGGGGTTGCCGTAATGTGCCTTTCTACCGCATCCTGAAAAGCATCCAGGGATGACAAATTTTACAGACATTCGTACTTTAATGTTTTTGACATTGGGAACGATTTGGGTGTGGTGTCTCGTTTGTAAAGTCATATGAAAGCGTATCAAATGCCTAAACCGTCGAAGTATACGATTCTGATGGTTGTTTTAGGCGTCGAGAACATTATCATTTGTGCCGGCGGTCATCGTGATGGGACCTGGACATCCCTGCTGGACAGCGTGGAATGCTTCAACCCACGAACGTCAAGATGGAAACAACTGGCACCATTACCGTTCAGCGTCGCCAAAGGAAGCTTGGTGATCATTAAGAACGACGTGTTCCTGTGCGGCGGAATTATCGGTCAGAACGACACGGATGTGACGCCGCGGACGATTCGCTGTAGTCTTAACAATGCCCTTGCTAGCTGGAGTGATGTGGCACCGATGCAGACCGGTCGAGGCGATGTCGGATGTGCCTCGGTTGGTGATCGTATTTATGCCATTGGTGGTCATGGCAGGGATAGCCACACGCTAGCCACCGTGGAACGCTACGACGTGGTCGCCAACCGGTGGACGTACGTGGCATCTTTACCGACGCCCTTGGAAAAGTGCGCAGTCGTTAGTTTTGACGGGCGGCTGTACACCTTTGGAGGTTGTAAGTCGAACACCAGTAGCGCAATTGATTCTGCATTCTGTTACGACCCGAAAGCCAATATCTGGAGTGAACTGCCCAAGATACCGACGGCACGGTATCGCGCTTCGGTTTGCGTTGGATCCGACCAATGGATTTACGTTATTGGTACAAGATATCAGTAACATGTTCATTTTATTGAACCGGCAAAGGAAATTTCGCTTGCTTCTCAGGTGGACGCGGCTCCTGGGGCGGTTTAAGCTGTGTAGAGGCTTTTAATCCGAGGACTAACCAGTGGATCAAGAAACGTAAGTTTATGTGTCAGATTGCGTGCGACCTTCACTAGATTGTAATACTACAGTATATCAGGAGTTTTCACTTGCAGGTGACATGAGTCGTAAACTGAGTTCCGTCGGAACTTGTTGCATCGGCGACAAACTGTATGCTCTGGGTGGCTTCAACGCATCTGGTGAAACGTCCGTCGAAGTGTACGACGTATTTTTGGACACATGGACGACCATTGAAAGTCGGTTGCCGAATGGAAAATGGGCTTTTGGCTGTGGTGTAATCGAAATCGCCAAAGATCGCATACAAGAGTTTTATGTGTAAGATGACCAACTGTTGAGCCAGACCAATGTTTTGCCGCTCCCGAAAGCGTATGGTTTTTCTTATATAGTTATTTTTTAAAGTTTTTCTGTACGGAGAGGTGGAAATGCGACTTTTAAACGTTCGTGCCTCAATTTATTATGCTCACCTTTTGGTGGCTAGAATTATTGCTGTACTGCTTGCCTTTCAATGCCACGTTTTTCCATTTTAGGGAAGCTTAGTACTGAATAAAAATTGAGGCGTGGTTGATGTAAGCATTCCCGAGATGCTGGTGGGTTTATAGAGGATTGCAGTGCCATGCTGAGTATAATCTGGCAATCTGTGCTATTTACTGCCATTAATGTACACATCGGGCTAGACGGCGCAATCTTTTCTTAATGTGATTTGATTTCTGCCGCACAGATTGTTTATCCAAACACGTTAAGACAATATGTTGAAATAGTGAGCTGAAGGGTGCATACTATGTAGTTGGACGTGCACCCTGCACATTAAAAATCCGCGAGTGTTATAATGCGCTAGATGGTATAATGCGCTGGTCTTTACTCGGAATTTTAAGCAATTTCATCGAATTGACAGAGTTTTGCAAAGTCGTTAGCCGAAGTTCCTCCTGGCGCCAGTGCCGCGTCCATCTCATTTTTCCAACGGGTGGCCGCGTTACCATACCGATTTCCCGCGTTGCTAGCATCATTAAACCCAGCCACCTTGGCTATGGTGTCCGCAATCTCATCGGCCGGTACAATACGCTTCGGTTGCGATCCAGTTCCTTCCACCAATTCCGCCATGCCGGCTTGTACTAGCCAGCGTCCGTTAATCAGTTGATCAGCAAACATGGGCCACGACACAACGGGAATTCCGTTGGACACCGTTTCTAGCAAACTGTTCCAGCCACAGTGGCTAATGATAACCGCCGTTGCCGGATGGGCCAGGATGACCTTTTGCGGTGCCCATGGCAGAATCAGAAACTGACCACCGTCGTTGTCCAACTGCGCTGCAATTTTTGATCGGATCTTCTCAGGCAGGCAGTGATGTTTTCTATCTCGAAGCGACCAGATGAACGGTTTGTTCAGTTTAAGCAGAGCTTGCGCCAATTCTGTAATTTGCTCATCAGCCGGTATCGCCACGCTCCCAAAGGTGATGTACACAACCGAACGCTGTTCTTTTCCGCTCAGCCAATCATGCACTTTTTTCGTTAATACTAAATTTTCTCCGGAAACCTTTCCGCTCGTCTGCGGCACCAACGGGCCCACCAGAAAATGGGGAAAATGTTTCGTAACTGGATGCTGCTGTAGCAGTTGTAAATCCGCTTTATCCACCGTTTCACAGCTGTTGTGGATCATTCCCAAGGTGTAAGGAAATATCTTGCGAATCGGACCGAATAACATTGCAAAGGGCATCGAGACTTCCACCGGCGGGTCACCCGGTTCGGGAATGATATGGAAGGGGTCCATCTTGTCGAACGGAACAATTGTTGACTCATCGGTGATTAGATCAAAATACCGGATCAACCATAACGCGGAAGTGTTGAAGATATAAAACGGAATGGCGCGTTCCCGGCAGATCTGCAACGGTTCGGCTAAGAAGATTTCCGAAATGATGACATCCACGGGTTCACAGTTAACAGCGTTACGATCGCCAGTTCCATCGGGAAGTGGAACTTTCAGCAATAGATTTTTCACGGCCGGTAGCACGCTCTCGAAGATCAACGCAAATGCTTTTTGGTCGTCTATGGGATTGTCGGTTTCGCCGAAAGCGATGGGCTCGTCATCGATCGGCAGAAGCTTGATGTTCTCCGCTGATTCATCACCGAAAAGCTCTTTCTTAATCATTTCCTCCATTTTGGATCGAGAAACGGCAAACGTTACCGTATGGTGTTTGGCTACTTTCCGAGCAAATTCCAGCAGAGGGATAATGTGTCCAAAAGCCGGGAAACTGAGGAATAGTACATGCTTTTTGGCTGACATTTTTACCGGTATTATTGGAAAGACTTTCCCCGTACGCGTTATCCTGACAAAGCAGCAAACAATGTGTGTACCAAATTCTGTTAGAATCCTTTAACAACTGTTGGTCTGCTGGTTTATTTAAAGAACGGTTAACCGAAACGGTCGTCTAGCTGTGCTATCGGAAAGCGGCGTAACTGTTATCTGGTAAACGCATTCACAGAAGTGAAACCTAATAACTGAAGTCTGTAATAGCATAATACAGTAAATTATCACACACGTTAAAGAATTTTAAACTGATGCCGGCTGCATTTCTTTTCATCAGAAACGTTTCTTGGCTACATGCACGAACTAGGCCATCCTGCTGATAACGTCTTCTCGTGATTACACGTGCCGGTAATACGTTTAGCATCTCGAGGTTGCCACGTTTCGTACTGGGTATAAATTATATACGTACTAATAAAACAACGACACTGCTGTACTGAAAAGAATGCCGATAAACATGTCGCGCTAATTTATTAAAACCTGCTCATACTAAATTTGTTTTAAGCAAAATGGTTCACAGTCACATTTTATAATTCTATATAACGATCAAGCAGAACGCTGATGTATAGTTCGTCAAAACAGTACTGTTTAACATTCATATTAGTGACAAAATATCGGTAAAATGACATCTCTTATCTTTATACTGGACGAAACGTAACTCGTGATCATTTGTATTGGTTCAAAATTATTGTAAGAGCAACGTAAACTCTTGCATAGGTGTCAACAAAAAGAGGAAACAATAACATCCACAAACGCATCAATCCTTTATACCAACAACTCTGATGTTATCCTTGATCACGGCTGTGCGAGCAGCAGTAGTTTTAGTCAGCAGCGAGTCTTCCCCGCACAGTTTCCCGTAAATGTCCAACGCCTCCTCAGCCCAACTGAACATGTCGCGGGCCAATGACAGTATCTCCGAGCGGGGACGGAGATTTTTGCGGAAAACCACAAAAAGACCATTCTCAGAGAATGTCGCAGCGCTGATCAAGCAGTGCGCCCGCCAAATGTGGTAACGCGGGAAAATTGTACTGCAATGTGTATACCTTATAAGCTCATTATACCAAACTAAAGCAAACGGATGTTGGATGGGTAATTTATACTTGAAACAACATTCGTACAACTTGATACATATGCAACTGATATACTACATACTTATTATTTATACTTGATACAACATTTACATTCGTTAGCTTTCTTACCGCACGCACGGAATCATCCCATGAAGAAGTTCCCAGTCTTTCTCATACTGTTGTTTCTTTATAATCTGCTGAAATCCACATACAAAGCGCAGATGAGCGTCCGCATGCAAAATCCCGGCGTCGTCAATCGCCCGCAATAGCAACCACCTGGCATTGTCGGCTGCGGTTTCAGCAGTATATGGGATACTTTGCCAGAAGAAGTCATACTTTTCCATGCAGTAGCGGAACTTCTTTAACTGATTAGCATTAACGGCACCACATTGTTCACAGGGCTCAAGAGCGCGGGAATTGCTGGGGATCCGCGCAACACACCCTGCTGTGATGCATTTTAACGGATTTATTTCCGCTTCCTGAAACAAAACAAACTGTAAGCAGTACAGTCTCCCCTATACCTGTATTGAGTAACACGTCAGTTTATAAAGGTTGTAACATGTAACAGGTCCTTTTCTGTTCAGTCCCATCTAGTAGCATTGTTAAAGTAAACGGAAGGTGCTAAAAAACCAAGAGAACATCGTGGCAAGCATGGTCTAACAACATTATTTTTACTTACAAATGCTGCTGTACATTTGCGACACTTGCATGGGCGACTTCCGTTATTCATTTGAAAGAGTGCTCGGCGTTCGGTTTTTGTGTAGTGGAAATAGCGATGCAATTGCTCCGAGTATCGCAGCTGCAATAACAGTCTTGATGTGGAAAAATTCACACCCTCGCCAATCGTTACATTATACTTGCGTAACAGCTCATAATACTGTACATCTTGAAGTCCGGTATAGTCAGCAATGTCAGCAGTGGCCCAGAGAAACAGTCGCCTGCCTTGAAAGTGCGGGGTCACGTTGCTATCCCAGCATACCGCCTCCATGCTCTTCAGTGAAACGTGCGGGAATAACGCTCGTCCAATCTGGTATTCCATCACACCTTGTCCGGGAACACGATAGCCTTGGTCATGGAGAATGGCAATGCAGTCGTACACGTTGGGAAATAAGGGCGGAATGTACTGCGCCACCAGCTGCGTATACACTGGGCACAATTCGCGAAATCTAGAGTACGCAAAAACCACTACAGTTATTGCTAGAACATACGATTTTGTTCGATAAATTTTTATTATAGTACAAAAACGCACGCATCGCTCAGTGCATCCAACGCGTGCGGCTCCGGGAAGGAACCGAATATCTCATGCGGTGATTTATTTTCCAGTCCAGGTAGCGTTTCCGCCACGCCGAGCTGTTAAAAGCAAACCATCCGTAGCACGCCGTATGTAAAAGGCTCTTCGGTTGCAAGAAAAAGCTTGACAGACCTTGACCTTTGTCATAATCTTGGCCATCAGAATGGCACTCGAACTGGCAGATATCAACGGACCATCAGTAGCTACTCGTTCGACACAAGTCTCGCACTTATGCGTATGCATCAAGTCTTTAATCCGATGGGCTACATCTTTCAGGACGCTACACTCTCGCTTGTGTTCTTTCTTCCAATCCACATTCTAACCAGAAAATGAAATTACTTGCAAGGTGCCGTGATTATTCATATTAGAGAAAGTGAGAAACCACCTCATGAGTACCCTTTGCGAGACGTACCTGGCACTTTTTTCCGCAATAGCGATGCAATTTGCAGCCGGTGCAGGTGAACAATTCCTTCGGTTCACTCCAGCAATAAGCACAGGTCATTTCGTAATGCTGCCATTGTAGACACCACACCCAGGGATCACAAGTCAGGATTAGATCGCCGGTCTTAATTAGAGAACGCGGGGTTGAATGGGCCACGGCTTGCTCCGAGTGGTTCGAATTTGCTGACGTGCCAGACGGCATTTTACCACTTGGTGACCTTTTTCGATGATTGTCGGTGGCAGTCGTAGCAAAGATTTCTGAGCTTACCTACGCAAAACAAACACAGCTAACTAACGTACCAAGAAATGCTAGCGGTTAAAAGCTTGCATGAATACGTGTTAACTATGCACGTCAGCTTTCCTACGCTGAGTTTTTGAAATCTAATGCAACGCACAATTGATCTAGCTGGGAAGCCGGGTGCAAGAAGACGCAGTTACATAATTCATAGATCATGGTCCTATTGTTACCGCGCAAATACAATCAATATTGATACGATATACCGGACTTGAAATCCTGGCTCGCAATTAGTGGCCGCACCTATGACGAGCGCATTATTGATACTTATGTAATCGTACTCTGTGTGTTAATAACTTAATAGTTAATAGGATTTCATTGCAAACAGTCCATTCCTTGTATGTATTATGTATATAAGGACTTGAAGAAGAGTATTATAGATCATATTTATGGCTCACAGTTTAATTATAAAAAGTATGTAAATATTTAAGTGTCTCAGACATACGGCGTCATACGTTACAGAGAAGCTCGATTAGAAATTCGTCTCGCATTTGCGTAATGTCAGTTGGTCACAGAAACACCAAAGCCAACTCGTTCCCGGTATATTACTCATACGCTTTAATATAAGTGCATACTTCTTTGAAAACAAATAGATTTATGAAGTATTTAAGCATCCTTCCCCTCGGACATGCTACGCTCGAGCAGCATTTCTATTACTGTAAAATCCCTTTGAATTTCGCTGGCTACATATTCACTTGATGAGCCGATGCAAGTTTGTTTACCGATGGTATAAACACACAGCTAATACAGTTACTGAAGCAATGGAGGTTTTTCCTTATATGTATTTTCATTGTATAAATTGTCAGTAGCAATTATGCGTTTCCCAAGATAGAACCGAACTACATATATAACAGCATTATACGCGACCTTACTATTTTCCAGTACCTTTTAGCACTTTGGCGTAATAATCATTTCCGATCAGCCGAGCGGATGACCTCACTACGGCGCGCCATGCAGGCAGGATGTAATCGCGCCGGTATTGTGAAGCAGCTCCTTTGCAACTCTCGGCGCCTGCGCTATTTTAAGTTCAAATCTAATTAACTCCTTTCACACCACACCATATGACGTTTACCGCATGCATGGCGGTAATGAATGCGGTCGCGGTCAAGACATTTAGGTCGACGGGTATTAACATCGATCCTCCTCCAACGGCTAAACAAAACCGTGTCGTAGGACCTAAATCTGCATAATTAACTGACGCACCTATAGGAAGCGCTTAACCAACTTATTTTCTCGTCCTTTGCCTTCCATTTTACGCAACCGGCATGCACTGCGCGAGGGGACGTCACACTACTGTATACAAACAAACGCTCGTAAATTGTTACACTGGCGATTACGGCACACGCCTGTGTATAAATAAAACAAAACCGCTGAATCAGGTCATCAGTGGTTTTGTGGTGAATACGCTCGGACTGCTCCCAGCCCTTCTTCCCTACTGTGCGCCGTTCGCTCACGTGAATATCCCGCACGCCCACCACCTAATACCCCCCGAACACCGTACGCCGTTGTTACCGGAATTCGCGCCATTCAGCGACGCGAGAACAAAAGTATACCACTAGTTTTATTCCCAGAAGGATCATCACGTACCGCGCTTCCTGCCCGACAACAAGAGGCCAAAAGGGAATAAAACGCGGGATCACGTTGCAGTTGTATGAATACATATATACATCGCTCTCTCCCAGTGTGTGTGCTTGACTGGATTGACTTTGACGCATTCAACCGGAGCCGGCTAATTTGATTTTGCGACAGAGTATATAATTGACGGGGTTTTGTCAGCAATCGGCTGTGTGGCCGTTGAACACCTATGTAAGCCGGTATTAATAATACGCCTGTTGTGCTGTTTTCCCTCTGCCGCCCCATTACATCCACTGACGTACGTTGTACGCCTGCAGCGAGTGAAAGTGCCCGTTGTGGTTACAAATATTAAACCAATCCGCTTTTCTTCGCCGGGTCACAGTTGTCTCCTGTTTTCGCTCCCAAGGTTCATCGCACTGTAGTTATTCCACTGTGTTATTATCTGCAAAGGATTTGATCATGCTTATCATAACCTCGCGTTTGTTGCTCGTGGCTGTGGTTATTGCATTACTGGAGGTTTTTGGCGGACATTGTGCACCAGTGTTGGATCTGTAAGGTCACTTAAGACTGGACGAAGTTATGGATAAAGGTCAAAGTTGTTGTTTTATTGTTTCATTGTTTTATTAGGATCTCGAAGAAGGATGCTTTCTCGGATGATGCCGTCCAGCAAAAAGAAGCCTTGGCGGCGATGTTGGGGGATGACGGGAATCAGGCCGAATTGATCAGCGATCGTTCGCTACTGCAGTCAATTTTGTCGCAGATGCGCGGCACGGGGTCGGCGGCGGACGGCAGCGGGATAAGCTCGTTGACCAGGTGTGCTCTCAAAAGCTTCAGGTTTCGACACTTTTAATATTTTCCAACTATGCAGAGAAACGTTCTCTGGTTGGGCGATTATTGTCAGTTGATCGTGACTAGCTATATAGTTTCGAATTCCGTCTCGCCGGGATCAGATATGCGTTGTACACACGACTACTTATGAAAGCATGAATAACTGAACTTTTAAAAACTTAAGACAGCGGAAAAAAGTTTTAGGCTTAGAAGCAGTTACCGTTTTTCGAATGAATAGTATCAAATAATTAATATTTTGTAAAAGAATTTTTTCAACTGCTACTCTAGGAAAGCAACGAGCAAAAAGAGTTCGGTAAGCGTTTAAGCAGGCACATATCGATCGTGTATCTATAGGCTATAGTAAGTGACCTGCTGATCCATCCGACGAGCAAAAATCTAATAAGCCAAAATAGCTCTACTGGCGTAAGAGCATTATCGTAAAATATAGTGCTTTCTTATAAGAGGGAGGTGCGCCCTCCGTCCAACGCCTTTCTTATTCTTTGTAACGAAGCTGTTACAAGAAAATAAGGCCGGATTGATAATTAACCACGGGCGGGGTTGTCTGAAGCAGCATACCTGCCAGACGCTTTGATTAAAAGAAGCTCTACGAAACCGGGCCAGTCTGTTGGCAGACCGATTTATTTTTCCAGTGCCGCGGCCACAAACGGGCATAACATATCGTCCCGCATATTATATTATCACCACATGCAAATATGTTCCTACGTAGTAAAGAATACTTACATAGCATAAATTACCATTTTATCATAGTTCGGAATCACAATAACTAATTAAAAGAACCACAGGAAGTGCCGGTGACAAAGGTCATCGGCACTGCGATCGAACAACAGGATGCTGTTGTTCCGCAATCAAATTATGCCGTGAGGGAAACGTTTCCAAGATGACCTTAATAGTGATGTTCTTAATTTGTCATATGTATTAACCTTCTATAACAGTGAATATTTTACGTGCTTTACAGTGGTCTGAACGGCGGAGGCAACCTATGGGGTGGCGATCCGACACTGGATCTGGGATTGGGCCGAGCCGGATCCGGCAAATGGATCGCACGCTACACCGCTGCTCTCCATGATTCCCTTTCACCATCGGGTAAAAATGGCCAATAACGGCATATATATATTTATAAGACTATTAAGCCGCCCATTGTCTAAGCGCCCCACGGCACATGCTTTTTACGCAATCCGTGTTTACAGCTACCAGACAAAAAAGCTGCCATTAGCCGTGATGATCTCCGGCCCATAACAATATCGTTTATTTTAAATACCCTTTCGGCAGTGATATAACATCAATCATGCAAGGGTTTCTCACCGTTACGTGCGATCGTTAATTGCACATTATGTTTTTATGTAGGTCCGGGCTGACATCGATATAATGGGATACATCCGGGCAGACCACCGAAACTTCAAATTGATTAGGAAGTTTCCAGTTTGGAGCCGGTTGGTAGATTTCATCCGCCAGCGGCGGCCAGTTGGCAGTTGCATAATAATCTTCGGCAATTATTGGGCTGTTTTGGATGTTGGCATTGACTCCCGAATCCCACACCGTATTTACCCTTTTGTCACCGTTCGCTTCGATGTGCAATTTTTTCATTTCCGGCCGGATTGTAAATCGCGTTATGGCGTCACGAGATCGCTGTGGGTGTGATACACTCTGCTTATTTCCTGCATACTGTAATGTACACAAGTGCGTCATCTAATACAGCAATAAACCAATAAAGTCCTACACGTCCTTTGAAACATAATAGCTGTTACATAAGCAGTTTAATTTGATAGTTTTTTTTATTTTCGAAAACTATTAGCAAAATACGAAATCCAGCCTGAATATGATGAGCAAGCAGATACTAATGCATTAAACTTGATACGACTATCTTATGTCACTAAACGTAGAGTAATGAATGCGTAAAATAAAATAAAAGCACTTGCAACACTTGTTGCCTGTTTCGCAAATCTACCGCTTCTTCCTCAGGACCATGTAAAGTTGCTGATTGCAAACTGCGTTTTTCCAATTGCTTTACTTGTAATTTTACCGATAACTCCATGTTTCCATAAAATATCTGTTGTTACAGTAAAAAGCACTACACGTTCTATAATTAATATAATCAAGCTCTTTATTTTTGAAACGGTCCAAATTACCTCTTTACAATTAAACCTTATAAGCAAAGTGCAAGCAAACCGCTGCAATTGACATAAATACTGCGCAAATTAACCCAGGCTATTCTTATAAAAAATTGGAAAAGATCGAATGCTACAAGAACAACAACGACCATACCACAATTTATAACAAAGAGATAAAAAACTCTTCAGCGCGTTCCCACAGCGGTACGCATGCGTGAGATTTCAAAGGGAGGTCCGTCAAAATCATAAAAAAGCAATCATCAACTTAAAATTATACAAGTACTGTATTACGCTTTCCCTGGCTTCGGTGTGGATAAACTCCTTCTTAAAAGTGATTTAGCGGTGGCCACATCCACATCGTCCAGTTCGTTTGACACCGTCACCGAGGCTGCATCTGAAAACATTCAAAATAATATAATAATAATTAATTACTTTAAGCAAAATTATTTTTACACCAAATTCTATCAGAATTAGCAAATAAACCGTACACACCTGATTTATCCATAACGTTTCGTTCTAACTCGAGCTTTTTCTGGCCCAGTTCAAAGATCTGCTCTTCAATGGTATCTTTGGAAACCAAGCGAAATATGGCAACTTCCCTGAAAAAAGAAACAATTTCTTACCGCGACACCAATAAGCATTTTGAGGACGAAGAACCCACTTTTTCTGTCCAAGGCGATGACAACGGTTTTCCGCTTGCTTATCATTGTAGGGATTGAAATCTGAAAAATACCGTTGACCTCGAAGGACGCTTGATGCCATATCCAGTAGTACACATTAACATTACTAGTACCAATGTCATGAATGATAACCGTATCAGCTCCCGTCAGGTTTATACCTGCAATACAATCAGTATGACAGGAAATAATAAAAACCACACACAGACAGTAATAAAACTGTCACAAGCACATAATCATAGGAAATTTTAAGACAGGTGTAAGCTATCACATTCAGAATACATTAAATCTGATGATAAGCAAATTAAAGAAATCAAGAAAAAGCATAATAATTATGTAATTCAATACAAGAAGTTTATTTAGAAAGAAAATATAATAGCGAAGAATGTTTTCAAGGCGCAAACAGCGATTTCTTGGAATAGAAGTACATACCGAGGCCACCGGCACGTGTGGAAAGCAGCATAATAAAGATTTTATCGTCCGTATTAAATCGATCCACAATATCTTGCCTATATTACACAATAGTTAGAGTAATGTTTGCTCTGTGATTAAATCCCAGTGGATAAGTTGTTTACGCACCGTTCGGCCACCGGTGTCTGACCGTCAATCCGTGCAAATTTGTGTTTTCGAATTTCCAAATAGGACTGCAAAAAGAAGCCAGTTTTAATTAAGGTAAAGTCGACGAAAACAACTATGTGATACACTAAATACGTCATCAAAGAGATAAATCGGTTATTTGCAAGAACATTACCTCGACAATATCCAAAACCTGCACATACTGGGAAAATAACAAAATTCGATGACCCTAAAACAACGAAATACTTGAACCAAATAATAATTTCGAATAAAAGTCTCGGCCCGAATTTTGACGTCCGAATACGCACATGCAGTCGATATCTTACCTCTTCTTTTAGCAGCGGAAGATATGTATCAAAATATTCAAATTTCCCAGAATCCAGAATCGGCTCCGAGCCTAGCCGGTATTTCTTCAAATTCCGATCAATACAGCAGAGTTTATGCAGCTGGAAATCACTCATAAACTCCAGATCACGGGATAAATGCTCGGCGGTATCGTTTTTGTAAGCAGGATGGAACTATGAAAAAAAAACGAATTATTTCAACACAAATTTTTAAAAAAATTCCCAATGGCAATTCGCCCGCATCGCGGTTCATACTTCTAACATACGCAGCAAAATGTTGTGAAAAAAACAAGAAAGCAATAAATAATCAGCTGCTTCTAGTACTACGAGTATGTATTTTCACGAATTATCCAAATTTACTACAGTACAAGAGTTTTCGCCGACTGGTCGTGCCTCCGTAAAACTTTCGTCAACTTCTCTTTAGTTTCTATAGTTTCTTACAAAAAGTTACAAGCACAAGCACAAACGACAGCACTTTAGGAATCAACCGTACCCGGACAAGATCAGCGGCCAGGGTGGGAAGACGATCATCGGAGAAGATACTGCGACTCAATAAAGGATGATTGGCCAGCTTCCGCATCTGGTGCAGCGCCGCCAAGCCCCCTTCACCGTACTCTTCTTCACCGTTATCACCGACGACGATCTCTTTGGAATAACGCCGCACCATTTTTTCATATAGGGCTTTCTGGGATGCTGACATGGGCACTCTTTCTACGGTGGCAGTGCGGCCCGGCAGTTCCAAAGCCACCTAAATATGTTTATTGTAATTTATCATTGGCAGCACAACCAACCAAACACATATGATACAACAATTGAAACCAATTCAGTAACATACTGGTTCATAACCTAAAAACTCATATTCTCCAATAATGTTTACGTTTATCATTCTATGGTTTACAGTTTACACATCGAAATTTACATCTTCTTTTGTCCGCCGCAGGATGAAAGGCTTCAGAATGGCTTTCGCCTCCACGATCTGCTGCGCTTCGTATGGCGAGTTACCTTCTTTCTGCAAACAAAATTCAGAAAATTGATGAATACAACAAGATATTCAACAAACTAAAAACCAACTAACCGTAATATAGGTAAACGCATGCTCCAGGGAGCCCATGTCACGGGCAAGCAGCTGTGGCATCGCAAAAACCAGCAGCGAGAGGAGTTCCGTTAGATTGTTTTGCACCTATTACGTAATAAAATAACCCTTCAAAATTCCTCAATAACAGTTTATCATGTAGTAATCTTTATACCGGGGTTCCTGTTAGCAGGAGTCGCCCATCCGTCCGGACAGTGTTCATAAGAGTTTTGTATTTATTGGTCGCCATGTTCTTCAGTAAATGAGCTTCATCAAAAATGGCAAACTTGAAATGTAACCGCTTAAAGGCCACTTTGTCAATGGGGTTTCTGGTGGCTCCATCGTACGTGGTAATGATGACTTCCACCTTCTGGAGACCTTTTACGCTAAAATATTCGTCGCGTAGAAAAGCCCGGTCTTCCAGGGATCCATGATACACTACCGTCCGCACCGATGGGGTCCAGCGTCGGAACTAGGAAGGATAATGGTATAAACTAAGAATTCTATGTAAATACCAGATTTGTCTACCGCAACCGAAATTCACTCAACCAAAGCCAATAAAGATGTCAAGGCTAAGCGGAAATCACAGCGGATAAACCAAATACAAACCAAAACCATTTAAGTATACTGAACTATATTCAAGATGAACGTAATGAAATTTCGAAAAACCGCACCAATTATTTCACCGAATGTTTGAAATCTCATTGCTGAAGTTTCAGTTAAATACGAGCACATTAGCCTCTAACAGGAATTACATACAAGCTTTCAAACACTAATTTTCTACTACACTACGTTTTCAGAAAAATACTACAGTAACCACTACATTCCCACAAAATATTTCGTCAGAACCCTTTCAAAATTATACTTACTTCGTCGTCCCAGTTGTCAATGGTACTGGCCGGAGCTACGATCAGAAATGGCCCCCGAATTCCGCTCTCGATCAGACTGGCAAGAAAGGCAATAGACTGTATGGTCTTCCCCAGTCCCATTTCGTCAGCAAGAATGCCGTTCATCTTGAATTTATGTAACAAAGTCAGCCACTGCAATGCTTCCAGTTGATAACCTTGTAATTTCATTCTGCAATGAACAAAATACCTAGTGAAACATTGCCACATTGGATAAAGTTAACAATCAGAAAAACACATCCATCCTAAAAATTAAAATGTCACTTAATTAAAACGTATATACACTCCATGTCTCCATCAGAAAACAAAATAATTATTAATATGTTTTTAATAATGCCCCACTACCAACAGTTCACAACAAAAAAATGCGAGTATGCAGAACACCATACGAAAACAGCCAAAACGTATGTCAAAGTCAGTACTAATACACGTTAAGAAGAATAATGTAAGAAAAGTAAACTTGTCCATAAAACACGCTAGAATTCATCAGAATCATGCGTACAGATTTAAAATTCACAATTTCAATATCCACAGTACCCGTACCCCTTAGCGAGCATTTTAGGCGGTCCACAAACATCATCATCGTAGGACTGATGATTCAAGCCGTCTTCAACCTTGGCCGACAATTTCTGACAGCGATGAATGATTTTACTGACAGTGGTACGTGAATTAAGATAATCCGTAGCCGCGTCAATAATATCGTCCAGGCTTAAATACTTCGCTCCACGCAGATTGTGAATCTGAAAACAGTAGAAAAAATAAAATGCAATGAATTTCACGACATGACTATAACTACCAGTAAAGTCGTAGAAATAAATAAACATTTTAAAGTCTCGCTGTGGCTACAGAATTATCGTTTTGTTTTTATGGTTAATCCTGCAACTGTTATCTTTAAAAATCTGTATTTTTACCAATCCTTTCGTAGTTTATCAATACAAAAAAATCACGAATTACAGTTATTAATTACAGCGTAACGCAGTCATTAAACGAATTACCATAACAGACAATTTCGCTGCTAAACAACGATAATTACTTCGCCATATAATGGTAGCGCATGTGTTAATAATTTTATTATCAAAGCTGGAAAAAATAACAATAAAATAACTACACAGCGGGAAATTAATCGCGATGGAATCAGAAATTACCGTCTGTTTCCAAGTGAGGAATGGGCGTGCTTGAATGAGGAACTTGGCTTTGCGCTCACTGAGTCCGCGCAGCTTGATGAGATCGGGCAAACTGGCTTCCTGGAGGAAGGTAACAATCTGCTTGCGGTCGTCCGTTTCATCTTCATAATCACTGTCGTCACTATCGTACACATTGTCCCGGATCAGTTGATACTGTTTTTCATCCTCGCTTTCTGAAAACAATGGTACTATATTATAAAATCCATTCCACCCGACGGCATTCAAATACTGTTCCAGTACAATTAATTTAATTGTAAGCATCATTTATGCACTGTATTGTACAGGTTTAAGCAGTGCGTGAATATAAAAAGACGTTGATCAAGAAGTACATAACGCACTGCGAATAAAAAGTAGTCCTACCTAAATTAATCGATAAACTGTTCTACTGCGCTCACATCGACAGGTCGGAATTGCTTAACGTAATCAAAACAATTATGTATTTACGATTTAATACTCATCAGCTGATCACTATCATTATGCACATCGCCTGTCCGAAATTTCGCGAACGAGTTAGCAATAATTACAACGTATAACTTCATACGCAGAATCCTTCATGAATTTTCATTCCGTTCATGAATCTTTCTCAAATTACGAGCAGCATTTCACAAAATAAAGCAGGGAATTAAATACATGTCCAGGTCTGCCATAAAATCTCACCTTCGTCCTCGACTGTCTTTGGTTTCGTGGGCGGTTTCTTGGAGGAATCTTGGAGCATTTCGATGATTTCCTCATCCGAATCACCCGCAATTCCAGCTGCTTTGCGTAGCTGGCTTTGGGCTTTCACCAGGGAAACATCATTCTGGATTAGAGCATCCTGCACGGCCTACACCGAAACATTTGTACGTGTTTGACGTTTGTATATTCAATAAACTTAATTCCTACAGACAATCAGCCCTCAAAACTTTATCCATCTCCTTTATTCAAAAATTAAAAAAAGGTAAACTGAGTACAGTAAATACGCACTTCCATTCCATTAAATTTTGTCAATATAATCAATCTCGCGAATTCTCAAAGATCAGATTTTCCATATTAAATTAAGCATTAAAACCGTAATCTTAAAGTTAGGCATTTAGTTAACACTCAACTTTCTTCAATAAGGGCTCCCGTCGAGTAAATACAAAACTCCGAGTGCTAACTGACAACTGACAAAGTAGTAAAGTGTCGCACAATTAACTTTTACTTAGTTTTTTATTAAAAAAACAACTGACAAAGTTTAACTGACGAAGTAGTAAAGTGACAAAGTAAACTGACAAAGTTTAACTGACAAAGTAGTAAAGTGTCGTACAATTAACTTTTACTTAGTTTTTTATTAAAAAAACAACTGACAAAGTTTAACTGACGAAGTAGTAAAGTGACAAAGTGAACTGACAAAGTTTAACTGACAAAGTAGTAAAGTGTCGTACAATTAACTTTTACTTAGTTTTTTATTAAAAAAACATAAAAATAATATTTTATAAAATCTTACTTACTCCGTTTTCTGTTAGAGTAATGCAAAAAGCTTCGACTTCGGTCCAAGAAAATAATTATCTGTCTGCTTATTAGTGAATAGTGACGTACCAATGGATCCATATCGGGGAACTGTGCAGCCAGCAGCGCCGAATACTCTTCCAACCGCGACCAGGGATCCTCTTCCACCGGTTTTGACGTGCTCCCGATAATCTGCACATCATTATCGCTTTTCGGCTCAGCGGGATCCGATCGTGTCCCATTGGCAGCGTGGGGACGCGTCGAGGAACCCGCCTGCTCCAGCACCTGCACATCATCGTCGGAGCTGCTGTCGAAATGATGACGTTTGCTGGTGCTGGGATGGTGCTTGCGCTGGGGTGCGTCGGGACTCGAACCGTTGGAGATCAAACGTTTACGGTTGCGACTCGTGGCGTGGAATTTCAGATCTTCCGATTCGGTGGATGACAGCTCCGTCGACATGGCGAGTGTGTGTCAAAACACTGAGAACAGAAGGCAAAAATGCGTGGTACACAAGGGAAACTCAAAAGCGAGTCTGTATTTCGATACAGAGTTGATCGGCATTCAAAGATTAGCAACATGCGTTTGGCTGAAATATGTGGATGTCTTTAAAAAAACAACATTTAGAAACTTAAAAAGAAAGAAAACAACGAGCAAAAGTAACCTCCTGATCGCAGTCTGGTATGGTGAAAATCCGGAATCCAAAAATCGGGAAATCGCTAAAAAGTAAAAATATTGGACTCACGTCACTCACTCAGGAGAGCAGAGCGCGCTGAGCGTATCCGTCGGTGAAGGCGGAGCGCGCTGAGCGTCTAAAATCCCCTCATCCTATACAAACAATGCGGTCAATGCCGGATGTACAGACAATGCGGTCAATGCCGGAGCCTTGTTGACTTCTGGAACTCTCATTGCGCGTTGGATCGTTTCATTTCATTGTTCATGTTGTTGGGGTATCGTGGAACGAACGTGGATCTCCCAGGCTCTGGAGACGGATGGAGGAAGCGCGGATGTTTGCGGTCGGATTTTTCTGTTGTTACGCCCGAATCAATCTGGGGGGCTTACCCTTACAACGCTCTGCGTTTGGCCCTTAACCAGCGAGCTCGTTGGTGTGGCACCTGTGGATTCTGGCTGCTTGTTTCTGTAGTTTTTTCTGTCGGTCTCTGTGTTTGCTAGGTTCGCGAATGTCGTAAAATCATCTTAATCGTCAGTTGTTTTCGCTTATGTTGGTTTGAACATTTTCATGTATAATTTTAGATTAAAATTACATACACGATGTACAGAGTATTGTACTGTACATCTGTACTGTACATTGTTGAAATGCTAAAAAATTATTATCGATTACTTATTTGAAGCCTCTTCGTAATTATTTAAACATTTAAGACTGTTAATAGTATAACTTACAATAAAACTCGATTGTTGGCTTGTTCATGTCTGTGTGTTTAAACATGTAGCCAGTACGAACTACTAACCGCATAAAGTAAATCATCGCATATCGCATTTAAAAATAACATTAGTTTAATTTAGTAAAACGTGATATGGAAAATGTGTGAATTACTTCAGTCTAGGTTGACTTACTTGTACATAAGTACTGTACTTACCTGGCTTTTTATACTCATATCAATATCGGTTTTATTACACTTGTATAGATAAATATTCGTAAGGATCGTATCGTGGCCTGTATTGGTTAGTTTAAGAGCGCGATCAAACATGTTTTAACATGCATTTTGTGCCGACCCACTGCGGTACAACAGAAATTATGGCATCAACCGCCGACAATAATTTTTAAGCACAATTCACAGAATATTAATTTCTAATGCAGTTGGATATGTACTAGGAGTTCTTACTTTGCGCATTATTTTGAAACTGACACCTCGCATTAAATTTTAATAAGCCATTTTTAATAAGCTAATAATCAATAACGCATTGACGGCATTGAGTATTCGTTTACCATCGATATATCGATATATCCACGATCACGACTGGAGTCATACTATATATTGAACGTTCAATATAAAGAAGAAGCCGAAAAAGTAAAAACTCGTGTTTTATGAGAGTGCGGCACTGATATTGTACCTTATAAGAGTAAATTGTATGTACGGTGCAATTCCTGTTGTGTACGCTGGTGTAGCAAAAATATGTTTTAAGCAGTTAATGCAACCCCTTTTGTTGTAGCAATTTTTGTGGCAATTCTCGAATGTATGAACGCGACAAGTCGTCAGAAAATGTTTTACGACGAAAAATTTGCTGTAGATCGATGCTGTACATGTAGGAGGGAGTAACTACATTTATGATGTAATGGATTCTGGATATGACATGCCACCATGATTGGTATACGGTATTTGTGTAGTACGTTTTCGCATGTTATTATAAAATGAATAAAAAAAATGTTGCTTCCGCTTGTTAATAAGAATTAGCGGGAATCTCGGCCCGTCGCGTTTCTGCAGAGTAGGCTCAAACTTCAGATGTGGCCAAAGTATGGCCGGGAAGTTGCAGAAAATATAAATTGTATGACATTGCTACAACATCCTCGAAGCTACAATTATTGTAATCTAACTTCCCCGCGATTTGCCGTATAAATTCCTATTACGATTGAAGTATGGACTATATTGGACGTAGCACAAGCATGAAGCATCTACAATTTTACTCGTAGGTAAGATTTGTCGCTCGCTTTGGCCGGAAGTTTAAGGCGCAGCCGTGCAGGTACATTGAGTTGATTGCTTTCGGAGATTTATCTGTGCGAGTATACAAAAGAACAGATATGAAATACAATAATTTTACTGAGATTTCATTGTCAGCAACACCGATTTATTTAATTAGGTCAGTTGTCGCTGAGCTCTGTAAACGCCACCTGACATTGGTATAGTAATACGTGCACTAATTAAATACCACACCTTTATTCGAAATCAGTTTTATTGGCACTTATATTGCAGTTGTCAGGTTATATGCATTGTATCAGCATGTAGAACGGTAATTGTGCGGGCCAAATAACTGATTAGACTAATAAAAGTTTAATTCGACGGAAACGTATTTGTTGTCCATCCCAAGTCATTATAATGGTGAGCCGGTTCCTTCCGCCTGGCATATTGGCCTCTACAATCAAACCGAAACAAAGCGAAGATCCTTAATACGTTCGGGAAGACTTTTTTTTGACTTTTTTGCGGTAATATGTCGGTTACATTACCGTATGAACAAACGACACGTTACCGTTTACACAAATTTTCTATCAAAGGCACAAAACGACCGAAGTTCACAGATGCAGCTTATATACAAATTGTTACTTTTTGGTCTCGGCAGTTTGCACAAAGTTTACATTCTGGGTAGGAAATGCGTAGTACGTCTGTTATCAGCTACGACTATGTACTTTACTTATTTGTGTGCAAATAAATATTATCGGTTCAACTAACTTGCAGTATTGACCATGCTTGCAGTTGCAACTGAAGACCGATTTCTCGGTTTTGCACCCGAACCAGTTGTAATGAAATCATGAACGTAGGCCGGATTAAAGTGCAAAATTGTGCATTATAAATATATAATTACTTTAGTAGTAGTACGTAAACTGGTATCAGCAGCAGGGACCATGCAATATGATAGATAACGGAGACACCTAAAAGGCAGCCCTAAAAGCAAAGACAGCGCACTGGAAAATATGTAGTTGAAAGTACCGTTTGTTAAACTTTTGTTTACTGTGTTAACAATTATGCAAATAGTTTGTGGTTGATCGGGTCGCTGTCGAACCCGATAATTTTTGCACATACTAAAGTCCGCAACCGCTTAATATGGACTGAAGATACGTAACAAATACGGTACTTCTACGAAATGCCCAAAACCGCTACTCAGGTAGATGCAGCGTTGCACATCCCGGCTTTAATTCAACTGCGATGTATTATTTGTTTGAGGAAATTACCAACGGTTTACAAAAGCCGCTGAAATGTTCGTCCACTTTCATCGCATATGTACTGTGTGGGAAATCTGACGAATCCACCGTAAAACATCGCTGACTATTAGCCCAAAAAATGGAGATTGCGTTTCTGTTGTCCAGGGAAGCATCGGTCTGGATTATATGCCTTGCGATGATTATCACGCTTGCTGAATGCCACAAACTTGAAGCAGAAACCATGGACAACAAGATAGCGGAAATGTTTGTCCGAGAAGGGGAACCCTTTACGTTGACCACTCGCGGCTTCATTCACCCGGTACAATGGTATATACATGGAAAGGAATTAAGCCTATGGCGGCAATCGAACCAACAGGAGTATCTGGCGCTGAATGTGAGCACAAAGTGGAATAGCGCAACTGGTGAAAATTTCTTGCATGTTGTAAATGCGATTCCGAAAATACATAGCGGCAATTACTCCTGTAACCGACCAAATCATTACCCGGATGGAGTTGCTAAGCGAATCTCCGTAATTGTGAAAGTGCGTTCAGTAAAGGAAGAAGCAATGGCGAAAAACACCAGAATGGCAGCATTCGCCGCGTCGGCTATTTGGTCAACCAAGCGTCCTGCTTCACTAAGCTTTATTTCTATGGATTCAGTTGGAGAGATATCGTACGGTCAGTGGTTCGCTCAAACTGTTCGATTTGTTACAGAATTTACTGTGTTTAGGCAACAAGGGCAGCATAAGTCACTGTTGTTGATTTAAGTACGTTCTCATTAGTGCCCAATCGTGCAGCTAGTGAGCTTGCATGGTAATTAACGAATAGGCACGCTTATGACGAAATGTCTCCAAAAAGCAGTAAAGCTGCTCAACTTGCTTAATGGCGACACTATTGCACAAGTTGTATTGTACGAGAACAGATACGACAAATACGTCAGTATCTGTCGCATTAATATTAAATCAGCTGATTATTATACCGAATTGCTCGGCTGGTTATGCAGAACCAGGATGGTAAATAGTACAAAACGGAGTACCACATAGTACCACATAGTACTCCGTAGTATGAACAATAAGCCGACATATAGTTACAGCTGTAAATTTCTGTCTAGAAATAATAATTATTGTTATTGTGACCTGCATCCTGTATCAAGCACATACAGATAGGTGCGTATGATTGATCTGTCTCTACCTACTGGAGCTGCACTTCAACAGAAGACAGAGTTTTTTAACTCTGTCAATAGTTAATGGCGGTAAAACTAGGCACGCCAAACAATCAAGGCTAATTATGATTAAGCGAACTATAGCTAGTTTTCTACCTGAAGACGTTTTGTTCTATTTTGAGAACGATAATACGACAATCGCATTGTGTACGGCAACTTCTATTTTCTGGATAGATCGACACAAATTTTCGCAAGGTCACCTCAGACAAACTCTATCTGGGACATGTGCGCATTGGCGGCAAATAAGCAGTGTGAGACTAATGGTCGAACTTTTGTGTGTTCAGTTGGCAGATTCTCCTTTCTCCAGTGTCTTACAACATTTTCTTTGCCAATATTTCTTTCTGGTTATTAATACGCCCTTATTTTTACTTGTCAGATTACTACTCGAATTCAATTGTGCCACGCCCGCAGTCGGCGCCGAGAGGCACAAGATTTACCATGTCTTGCGCGCCCGAGGGTCACCCTCAGTATCCATCGGTACACTGGGACAAAGATGGCAGAAATCTGCGCGAATGGAAAAACGTAAGCTTTTCATTCAGCACTTTTTATCAGTACTGAATAAAACACTGGAAGACCCGAGAAAATTTTCGACACCGAAAAACCCGGCTTACGTTTTTAAGTAGCGCAATTTAAAGTTCTCAATATAATAACCGCATATGCGCCAGTGTATGCCTAGTGACTTCGATTTTTACTTCTAAAACAGGCGAGAGTGCACCTATCTGACAAGGATTCGCTTCTATCCATTGATAATGTTACCTGCTCCGACATGGGGAATTATACCTGCAAGGTGAACACGTCACGCGGATTTCTTTACGAGACACGACAGCTCACCGTTCTGTTAGGTACGATGTTTACGTTCTGGTTTTCATATAAGATGTAACGGAATTTCAGCAAGTGCTCCTTTTTGGTAGGCTTTAGCAGAGAGACGGAGATAGACCAGCATCCAACGTGCGAAAAGGATCCTAGCGTAAACAGCAGCACATACGTCGTAGTCGGCCGCAACGGTCAGCTGCGGTGCAGCCAAATGGCAGGGCACGCTGATTTTTACACAAAGCGAAAATGGGAAAAGCGTACAGTTAACCCTTCTCCAAACTGTACCCATCCAGGACCGATCTATCACACTGTTCAGGTAAGTATTCAAACGAACTGCAATTACGTTTGTTTTTGGAAGTATTTTACTGCTCATTAAAGTGAGTGAACAATATCAGAAAGAAAGAAAAACTTAATCTGTTTAATAACACAAATTATCTCTGCCTTATACATGTAAAACTAAACAGCGCCGCCCGCTTGCCCTAAAGGTGTATAAGGCCTTATCCTATTAATTTCAGTATCTGAATTATACGGCTACGAGTGAGTAATGAACTAAAGTAAGTCAGCTAGTAATGTGCAGTTGTAAAGGAGTTGCAATGATCTTCTTTGTGGCCAAGTGCCAACCAAGAGAGATGGCCTAATGTTTTCATTTTTACGATTCTGCTCTCATAAGTTATGACTATCGTGAGCAATATTCATGGTGGTGCAACAGAATATGGATAAGTTGAGCGTTCCTCAATAGGACTGGAGATTCGGCATGTCCGGTGAATTTTTCGACATCCAAGACGCTACTCCGGAGCATGCTGGCGTATACCGCTGTGTGGCTAATGAAACGGGCCAAACATCGTCACCGGTCAGATTGCCCCACGAATTACTGTATTGTCTTATTGTGCTCCCAGCAACGGAGAGTGCGTCGGCATGGACGCTTCCAGTAATATTCGCTTTACTGACTGTGCTGGTAGTCGTCTTGGGGGCCTTCTTGGTACGCTTTGTATATCGTCGCATCAAGCGCTCTCCCAGACAGCATGTGGTGGTTGGTCCAGTGCGAACGATGGTAGAGAACAGAGACTACCTACCTGTGTGTCCAGATACGCCAGTTTCCATACGGGTCTCCGAGGAGACTTCCGAGACTTCAAAAGAGTCAGACAGCGATTCTGACCAATCACACGAAAAAGAGGAACTCTTGTCTGAGCAGACGAATCCAACTACACGTGTCCGTGTAAAGTATGGCCGCTTCAATAGTCAGGTAGACGTGCATCCCGGCACCGACTTGTGGATCGCACCAGAAGATGTACTACTTACCCAAAAACAGCTCGGCAGAGGAGCTCATAGTGTTGTTTGGGAAGCGATAGTGAAGTCAGCTGGTCACCAAGCAGTGGAAGCTGCCGCAAAGCATCTGAAAGGCAAGTTCCGGTTGCTACATTATTTGAAGGAATTATCATTTCCCACTTTGTGCAATTTTAGATATGAGTTATAATTGCGTAGTGCTATAGCTTGACACTTCATGCTTTTAATTTCGGAAAAGCAGTATTTCGTAGCTCCGTGCTAGTCTAACCTTAATGGGAATCACCCGGTACATGGCATTAAATTCGTGCACATACACAAAAACTTACGCTTTCGCGTACTTCAAAACACTTTTTTGCATTGTTTTATGGATTGTTAGCCGAATGGTTTGTATCTTCAAACTATCTGTAATGGGCACTTTTAATATGGTAAACTTGAAGAAGATCGGTCCATAAGAAGACTTATGCATAAGTCCATATGGTACATCGGAATGCGTTTAAAAGTTTTGGAATTTTTTAGCAGCCATAACTTCCCAAGCTTATGTTTTCGTGCACAAACAGTTTTCACGCCATTGTATTTGTATACGAATCATTCAGCCCTACAATGCCACAAAACAATGCAAAAAGTGCACTGGAGCGCGCGAAACCTTTTCGCTGGATGAGTGCGTTTTCGATGTACTTCGCAGTACTTACACAAATTTGTTACCAAGTACCGGTTTTCCTCTTTAACCGGTACATGAGCTTCCCAGGTGTCGAATAATCTACATAGGTATTAATGTTCTTGTACGATACTGACAGATAATGAAGCCGAAGAACAAGATCTGCTGGATATAATAAAGGAGTGCCGCTTAATGCAGACCATCAATTCACACGAAAACATCTTAAAATACCTTGGATTCACTATCATTCGCAAGAAATTTTGCTTGTTAACGGAATACGCATCAAACGGAAACCTTAAAAGCTATCTTCGACAACACCAGAACGATGTTAACCTTTGGAATTACGAGAAACCGTTGAATCAGGATTCAATATCAGCAGATGACCTTTTAAATTTCTCATGGCAGATAGCAAAGGGAATGAATTATCTCTCTGAAATAAAAAGGGTTAGTGTTAATAATTATCGGGCTGCGATTGGTGTTCACTTAAGATGCTTTATAAAGCGTAGTGCAGAAAAGATGGATAAAACTGCGAACTGGAACAAGTCCAGCATTTCTGTAAGCGATAATGTACTTTCAGGTCGTACATCGTGATTTGGCTGCGCGCAATGTCCTGGTCAACGGCCAGAAGATTTTGAAAATCTCAGATTTCGGACTGTCCCGACCTGTTGTTGAAAGGGATTATTATCGCTGGCAGCACCAGGTAATTACGATCAAAACTCTTGCACAAAATCATCACTAACAGTTTATCTGTGCTTCACAGCGTAAGCTACCGGTCAAATGGATGGCTCCGGAATCGTTGAGCCAACCAATTTACACTTTTAAAAGCGATGTGTAAGTCAGTATCTTATTGTTAACCACCAATCCCGGATTTTCGCTGCATTATAATGTCGTCAAAGCTGCAGACGCTCTTGGTTTGTTTAGTTCGCTAATCTTGTAAAGCTGATGAATCTGACCGAATAGATCGAGTATAATCGCAAATTTGTATAGCTGCATCATGTATGCCTCATGATACTAGCGTCGTAACGGCATCCTCCACACAAAACTCTATACGGATTAGGTGGTCGTTTGGGATTGTTCTTTGGGAAATTGCAACATTTGGAGAGGAACCATATCTTAGTTTATTTTCCGAAGGGAATATTGTGGCAGAGAGCGGTGCAGATATGGTTAACATTCTAAGCAACCACACTCGGTTACCACAACCTCCGCATTGTTCTCCCGAAATGTAATCCGGAAACGCTTCTTTGCTTTTATATATTTAAATTTGCAGTCTTGCAAAAGGGACTTGGCACTTTTTAGGTACAGTGTAATGCAGTCCTGTTGGCTATATGATGCATCAATGCGGCCGACCTTTACTGAATTGGAACAGCAGTTTCATACCCTGTGCAATAAAGTATGTACGAATACATGCAGTAAGTGCGAGCATAGTGTACTGTAGTGCGAGCATTGTACATTTATTATAATTTATACATAATTATGTACTTACAATATTATTAGTAGAGTAGATACCGGGTAGAAATGCACCTGAATAAGTATTTTTGATATTGTAATGGAGGTGCCGTGAGGTGAACCGACCATAATAAAAATTTAAAATATATGTATTATACATATTGGATTGGTTTTCGAAAGTGAGAGCTATCTTTTATTTATATGAAGTAAGTTCATGCAACATGTTAATATTGTAATCTGAAAAATTCAGGTGTTGTTTTGTTTTTTGTAGGATTCACACGGTCATGCTTACGCTTTGCTCAACGGTGAAGCCGCGGGTAGGAGTGCCACAAGCAACCAGGAATACGTCGAGATCGTTCGCACAAGTTAGCCCGCCCGGACAAAAAAGAGGCGTTCTTCATGATAACATTACTGTGTATATTATTATTGAAGTTTGTACTGTACTACAAAGCTGTACTTTCTCGTTAACCAATAAACTGTATTTGTGCAAACAAAATAGTGCATCATACCAACACGATTTGCTATTTAACTTTGGCAATTATCTATCTCTTTTACGCATTTACCATGGTCGACAAAAAATAGCAAAGCATAATAAGCGAGGATAATACTGCGCGTATGTACTGTATATCTGTATACAGTATATACCTTTCGATTTCGCCACAACAAAAATAAACACTACGAGCAAAATGTATGTCCGAAACCAGCGTGGGCTATTCATCGGCAAATACGAGTAAATACCAACAAAACATTATTCTTCGTATATTTCTATGTAGAGAATGCTCACAAAGCACAAAATCAGTCTAATTTCTATTTGTCTGTTCCCATGCTTTTTAGTCAATGGCAAAATTTTGTTTTGAAAGTTCTGTTATGAAAACTTAGAACACGTAAATAAGTAATTGTAATTGATTTTTGTCTTGTAATTTGGTGCTCGTTGAGGATCCGCTGTACGTGATTTTACGTACCATTACAGTAAACTGCAAAATTGCTACCACAACGAACTATCGCCCATGACGGTCCTGTTTCTTACTTGATCCCAATAACTTAAAAGAGAAACTTTTCTCGAATGAGCAACAGTAATCCTATAAGAAAGTCTCGCTCGTTGGCTTCTTAATACACACACCCGGCAAAATGTACATCTGGACCGCATTGGAAAATTGTGCATAGATTATCCATAACAGCAACAACACACATATTCTGCGTGTCCTCATTTTTACTCCAAAAGTTATATTTATCCATTTCGCATCTTTAGCCACCGCGAAAGCAGAGCGACCGTCGGATGAGAGAGAGAAACAGACTGCGCGCCAAGACGCCGCTCGCGCAGCATATCTCCCCAGCAGACAACGTAACATAGTTATGAAGGATAATTGTACAATTTTAAAACACAAGGCAGCGCCAGCATCAGCAGCCGTCGCGGCTCATATTGCGCGCGCGCTCTTCCTCATCAAGCGGCAACTGTATCAGCATCGCGGCAGCAAGGGGCGGGGTTTAGTGCGCAGGCGCTGGCCTCGACATGAGGAGGCCTGCAGCAGGCCGGTCTATTTCGGAACACATATGTAGCAAACGAGCTGCAGCCGAACGAGAGTGCGCAAGGAGAGGAAAGAGATTCTTCAATCTGTTGCGCATATACAGCGGTATACAGTACCGTCTCTCTTTTCCCATCCTTATCAGGGATTTTTCTCTTATTCATTGGCATTGTCAAGACGGTGATAATTTAATTTCGGATTATTTGGGTGGATTTTCTACGGTGCCGGGTTGTAGCGGGATTTCTATGGTGGAACACACCGCATTGGGATTAACTTCCTAAAGGTCACCAACCGGCGCCCCTTCACCTGCCCGTTGCGACGGGCGGGCGTTCTGTGACTGCAATCATGGCGATGGATTCCAGGTTTTCCCTGTCGTTATGGCCGTTATTAAGGCTGGCCGTGGTGGTGGTCTTGGTGATTGTAGCGCGTTCATCGACCGTGGACGCTGTGGTAAGTTGCATGCGCGCGCGGGGTTTTTTGTTTTTATGTGCCGGGTTTGTTTGGACAAATGTGTCTCCTTGCCGGCTCAAGACGGCTGTATTTTGGCTGGCCTTTATCAGCTACCTGTGTGGGGCCTGTGTCAACCGTTTGATCGATGGGCTAATATTTGATTTTTACGGTCTGCTTGGCTGATTACCGGCGTATTTGAGAATGTGAAAAGTCAGTTAGTAGGGCAGATTTCCTGTGTTATTTTATTCTAGCGGATGCTGAAACGTTTCTTACATGATGAAAATTCACGCGATGTGAAGTTCTCTTTGCTGAATGGAATCACGAAGATTGTTTGCGGATCTAACACAAAATTTAAAACTAACATCTTACTTGTTAGGACTAAAACTGATTTTACTCCACGCACACATTTTACTGCCCTATCTTATGTAATGGTTTAGTTTTTCTGACAGAGCGTCGCTAATTTTGTTAAAAATAATTTTTTTTATACTGTATATGTGCATAGTTAATGTGTTCCTTGTTCTGCTTGCGCGTTGCAGATAACTACTCGTACAATTTTTATTTTAGATACAGTACGCAATCATAGTCACAGTAAGTGCTCATATGTGGGCGTAGCCTGCATAATACCTACTACTACTTACTGTAGTTCGCATTGTTTTTTAATCTGATTCCACATCTTTAATAATATTAATACTGCTTGAATAAACCATGCAGTAATTTTCAATATGCAATGCCGTATATGCTGGACGAGCTATCACTGCATTCATTTGAAAAGAAAGAAATGTTTCGGAGGATAAGCGATCCAAGCAGAAATGAGCGATGTTTAACTCCTCTGCTGCAGCATCCAGATTATGTAAACAGTCAATTCAGTCGGGTCAAAATGTAAGGCAGGCTTCTAAAAGTCCAAATCATCAGCTTCCCTTCGGCCAACCAGATGAATAAGTATTTCGAGTTTTAAATTGGAATTTTAAAAGTTTACAGGCAATGAATATTAGATCTTTTCGTTACTATTTATATTGTTTGATTAGCTGAGCATGTTGCAACCGATACGGCTACGGATGATGGCATAGGAAGACACTGCTATAATTTTGCAAGCATAAACGGGGTAATCTCCAAACGTAAAATCTATTACTTTGTCTGCACATAGCAGCGAAGCCATAACAGCAGAATAACATTACCCGAAAATATTGGTCGACATATATCAAAATGGTACGTACCGGGTATTAGTTAACAATAAACAGATACCTATAACGAAACAAGATGACGTCTGTCAAACCGGCACCCCGACTCGCGACCAGTCAAAAAACAAAGAAATGGTGGTAGTGCTGACTTTGCTAATGCAATTTGATTTGCGCACGCGCGTAATTGTTTCTCTTTCACTTCAGTTCAAGTGAAGAATGCTTGTTTGTTTACTAAAACTATCTCCCTTTTTTATTATTCACTTGCTGCGTACGTGTTGATACATGTTCTGTATAATTCATATTCGGTACAAATATCTGTGGAAAAAGCATACGTATAGCAGTTCCAGAACTTTAAAAAAATTCTGGCGGTGTAGTTGCATTTGATTTGACAACTCTTCCTACATACAGAGTACAGATACAGGCAATCTCTTCTTAGATACCGAAAATGAGAATAAAAGACCTCAGTACTATTCTTTACCTTGTTTTTGCTCCTTAGCTCGCAAGTTCGATATATGTATATAAAAATTTGTCTTTGAAGAGTAATTGACCATTCCCTTGATAATTCTAAACTGTTTTTGAAGCTAACAGTTTTTAATTTGAAGATTTCATTTTATTTAACAAACACGGAGAATATACACAATACGTTTAATTATAAGTGCAATGGTGCAAGGTAAATATTTGACTTTCACGGTGGCGGTGGCTCAAGAAAAAAACGTGCGGCACAGTGTGCCATGGCCGCATCAGTAACTTTTACAGTAGACACCACCGTCAATCGGTTAAACTCTAAAATTCCCATCGCCTCACTGTGTTTATCGAGTAATGCACATGATATAATGATTTTATAAAGTCCTTGTTTCGGTGTCTGCGACATGTATTTTGTATATATTTACAGGTTTGTGAAGGATGTGCTCAACCTCAGCAGTGCAAATGTTACGGAAGCAAGGGCGAAGCGGGCGCTTTCGGCTTGCCGGGCCTGCAAGGCCCACCCGGTGCTCCGGGTTATCTTGGTTTGGAAGGTCCACCAGGCCGTCCAGGTATCGGCACCTGTACAAACAGAAACGCTTTTATTTCGCTACACAAAATTCGATAACGTCTCTTTATTATTCTTTGGATTCACTATTTTAGGGGTGTATACAGATATTCGAAATTATTTTTTATTGGTCAATGTGCCCAGGTCTTGGTGGTGAAAGGGGAGATGCGGGATCTATCGGACAGAAAGGTCAACGTGGTGATTCTGGTCAGTCCGGTGCGCAAGGACCTCCTGGCATGGATGTAAGACCATCACTCGTATCGATTGACTCAAAACGGCATATGTCTAATCGCTGCATTTGTGGCTTTAGGGTCTCATGGGTCTGGAAGGACCGCGAGGTAACCCCGGTATTGATGGATGCAACGGCACTGATGTAAGGCTTCCAGTTTCCCGTGCCGTACGCTTTGATTCACGCATGTGTTTTCGAGCAGGGCGCTCCTGGTGCTCCTGGACTTCCGGGAGGCTACGGTCCGCCTGGACAGGATGGTGCTCCGGGTTACCCAGGTTACGTTGGACCAAAGGGAATAAAGGTACGTAACCGTAACCACTGGCTCTCATTTGTGCAGGAACATTCCCTAATGATCTGTGATTAAATGTTGGTTTGGTAGGGCGATGCCGGCGATGGTGGCATCAATTCGGATGGCACTAAGGGAAACGCCGGGACGCCTGGTTTCGCCGGAAGACCGGTAAGGCGCTCGATTAAAACATATAAAGTCTTCCGACAAATATAAGGACGCTTTCTTTTCACAGGGACCTCCGGGTCAACCGGGCCGCGACGGACCAGTAGGACCAAGAGGACAACCAGGCCGACCGGTTAGCGAAACCCACACAACGATTTTGCCAGACTATTATATGGTTTAATAACTTGTTACAGGGCATCCCCGGACCCGCAGGCAATCCTGGTCCACCTGGATTGCCCGGTATTGGACGACGTGGTGAACCTGGAGACCGGGTACGTTTGAAGCCATGCTTTGTTCGCCAGTTTTATGCAATTTTTTCTGCTCGACACAGGGTGTTCCCGGCCAACAAGGCAGACCAGGTCATACACAAGGTTGGCAGCCCGGTCCTATAGGTGACAATGTGGCATACGTTCAGGCGCCGGATGGTGCACCCGGTGAAAAAGTAAGAACGCCGGTTTTCCTATTTGCTTCGGCTACTGATAGTTTTGCTTTGTTAACCAGGGTTCCATGGGAGATGATGGGCTTCCTGGGCGCCCTGGAAATCCGGGTGAATCAGGACGACCCGGGTTTTCTGGTCGAAAAGGAGAGAAAGGCGCTATCGGTGATGCAGGTCCACAAGTATGTTTTGCTTTATTTTATTCAGTTTTGGTAATTGCTTTGTGAACCTAAATGTTTGCAGGGCAAAACTGGCAAGGACGGGCCAATGGGTGCACCTGGTTTCAAAGGTCACTCTGGCTATCCCGGTCTGCCCGGTTTGGATGGTGCTAAAGGCGAACTGGTAACGCAAAATTAATCCTCAAGTTTTGAAGGTCAAAGACGCGTCAGTTGCTCTGCAGGGAAGCAAAGGTTTTGCCGGTGAACCAGGTCGACGAGGTTATCCAGGAGACGCGGTAATAAAAGTTCTGTCTCTCTATACAAAAATATGTGACTGAAAGGATATTTCTGAAAAAGGGTTCACCCGGTCTGACAACCTATGACCAAGGCGGCAGTCCAGTGGGACCACCAGGACCTCCTGGAGAGCAGGGATTCAAAGGAGACAGAGGCTATCCCGGTAACGCGCCTGCAAAAGATATACTGGGTGACACGCACTCCAGCATTGTATCTTTATAGGTCGCCAAGGTCGGCCGGGAGCGGAGGGTCCGCGTGGTGAACAGGGCACCCCTGGTGTAGATGGTCAAGCAGGTCGTCCCGGTCTTCCTGGTGCGATATTCCCCGGAGACTATGGTGACGACGGTAAGTTTTTGTCCGACGTTAAAGTTTATCGCCGTTTAATATTTCAATAATAATAATTTATGATATGATAAAGGTATACCCGGCGCTGATGGAATTCCCGGCGAGCCAGGAACTCCAGGCGAGCAGGGCCCAGTCGGTGACAAGGGCCCGATTGGTGAAACCAGTCTCGGAACCCCTGGATATCCGGGTCGTGGTGGCCGCCCGGGTGCCCTCGGGCCAAAAGGGTATGGTCGGAGAACGTGGATTCTCTGGAGAAAAGGGCGAACCTGGACGCACGTGGACTGAGCATTCGCCTGGTTGGCCCGGCAGCAAAGGCTTGCTGGGTGAGATGGGATCCCGTGGACCGGAAGGCCAACCCGGACGAGATGGAAACAAGGGTGATCGGGGTGACGACTGTGGCGTTTGCCGTGGATCAGCTCCGGGATACAAAGGTGACCGCGGTGACTTTGGTCTTCCCGGCCAACCTGGACTTCTGGGCGCACCGGGCTTGGCTGGTCTTGCCGGCCGCCGCGGTCAACCTGGTTACCAAGGCAAACGCGGAGGTGATGGTGAAAAGGTAATATCCGATTACTTCGTAAAGGCACATCCCGAATGTACATGGTACAGGCTGAAAAATTATCAACAGGGTGTTGATGGACTGAACGGTGTCCGCGGCGCTAAAGGTGACGCCGGTGAACCGGGTATCGTCATCTTCCCTCCACTGCCGCCTGGAACGAAGGGCTCGAAAGGGGATGCTGGAATGGGCGGTGCACCGGGACCACGTGGTCGCCCAGGCGGGCCTGGTTATCCCGGACTTACCGGAGCTCCCGGAAGACCATGGAGCCAAGGTGAAATAGTTGCAATGGCAGTGCTTCCAACGCTTTGACTCAGTTTTATTATGCAGGGAGACTTGGGCGATGCTGGTTCAGCCGGTTTTCCCGGTCTTCCGGGTACCCCCGGTCGACCCGGCAACCAGGGTCCACCGGGAGAGCAAGGACCTTCGGACGTCGCCGGGCCACAAGGCCGCAAGGGCTCTCAAGGTCGCCCGGGTCCGCGCGGGTTGGACGGTGTGAAAGGTCTGAAAGGTCAGCCGGGTGATATGTGGGGCTGGGATGGCCTGGAAGCCGAGAGAGGCGATAGAGGTTTCCCCGGTCTGCCTGGTCGCAATGGCTTTAACGGTAATGGGGAGATCAGTCACATTTAAAACTGTTTACAAGTTGATAGCATGCAGGAGCTAAGGGTGCCAAAGGAGATGCTGGTCGCGATGGCACTCCAGGATGGAAAGGAGCCGCTGGTGATGAAGGTTACCCTGGCGGACAAGGACAGCCCGGTCAAATTGGAGCTAAGGGTGCAGGAGGCGTTAAAGGCGACGAAGGCTTTTCCGGGATGCCGGGACTACCAGGTCGCCGGGGAATGCCGGGTTTACCCGGAGTACCCGGTATTAAGGTAAGATTGTTAAATACTTTAAAAGACTTGGAGCGAAGAAACTTTCGACATGTAAAGCTAGAATATTGACATGTAAAACGTGGCTTCCTTGGTGATACTAGTATTACCTGTAAAACATTATACTCGTACCATACATAGTACGTACAGCGATTTATGTACAATTATAAAGTAGATATGCACTCTGTACAAATAATCACAGCGTATTACATATGGTTTTGCGCATAACGTACGGTGCGCTTGTAAATCACATGTAAGATTACATAGAATACTGTATTGCTAACTTAGGGAGACCGTGGCGAAGACGGCACAGGAATCGGTACCGAAGGCATGCCCGGATTACCAGGTTACGCCGGCCCAAAGGGAGCCGCTGGCGCAGCCGGAGATGACGGTGGACCAGGATTGCCCGGTCTCTCAGGCCGTCCTGGCCTGCCAGGACAGCCAGGTAATACGGATTTATTGGAGCTGGCACCAACAACTAATGTAACCAAGGAAAACTGTTTCTAACAGGTGGCCAAGGACGCCCCGGTGCACCCGGTTTGGCCGGACCGAAAGGTGATGCAGGCGAGGCTCTTAATGCTCCCGTCGGTCCCAAGGGTTTCCCTGGAGAGTTTGGGCAACCCGGTTAGTCTGGACGTTCACTCGTTAATTTTTGGTTTTCGTCAATAATTAAATGGGTACCACAGGTTACCCTGGCTTAAAGGGACAGCGAGGCCAGGACGGTGTTCCCGGGTTGGATGGTCCGAAGGGCTACAAAGGAGATTACGGTGGTGATGGAATGCCTGGCCGACCTGGAGCTCCGGGTATTAGAGGCAGACCCGGAACTCCCGGATTTAACGGAGCTCCTGGAGCAGCTGGTTAGTATTTTGTTATTTTATTACTAAAATGTTCCCAACTCACTATGTTGTATTTGCAACAGGTCCGAAAGGCTTCAAAGGTGACGAAGGACAGCAAGGCCTACCAAGTTCACAAGCGCCGCCTGGAGTGCCCGGCAATCCGGGAGCCAAGGGCATGGCGGGCGACGAGGGACTTCCGGGACTCGCCGGACGACCAGGCTACCCGGGTGCCAAAGGCATGGCCGGTACTCCCGGTCTGCCTGGTCTGCAGGGCAGGCCGGGTGAATCCGGTGGGGAAGGGCTTCGCGGTTTCAAGGGAGATCGCGGACAAGATGGTAAATCAGCAGCTCCATCTCCCAACCAGACAGTGCCACTATAACACAGTATCGTTTTACTCGTCTAGGATTCCCTGGTAACCCTGGTCGACCTGGACAACCCGGTTTCGCTGGCGTCAAGGGTATGCGCGGTGAGAACGGAATTGTCTATCCGGGAGCGGAAGGCGCTAAAGGCTTCCCTGGCCGCCCTGGTCAGCCTGGTTACTTCGGCCGCAAGGGTGAAGTTGGTGACGGCGGTATTCCTGGAGCGCCAGGTTGGTATATAGTGTTAGTTGTATCTGTGAATTACACTTACTGGAGGTCACCGGTACAACTTTTTTTACTTTTTTGTAGGTGTTGAGGGTATCAAAGGAGAGCGTGGAGACCGCGGTTTCGACGGTGCACCCGGTGTTCCTGGAGGCCAAAACCAGAAGGGAGCTCGAGGTGAAGTTGGAGCCCCTGGCCGACCAGGAGCGCCTGGACCTGCGGTATGCTACGTTTGTTGTTGCGCATACATGCTTTTGTCTGACGAAGGCGATTTCGTTGTAACAGGGTGATGACGGTGGCGCTGGCCTGCCGGGTACGAAAGGTCCACGCGGCCATTCCGGTATGCCCGGACAGCCAGGTCTGCCCGGTGGACCGGGTGGTAAAGGTGCCAAAGGAGACGACGGCGGACCTGGTCTGCCGGGTCGCCCTGGATTTGTGGGACGACGAGGAGACACGGGACGTCCGGGATTGCCCGGTGGACCGGGAGCACGCGGTGACGATGGTCTACCGGGTTTCCCGGGAGCGAAGGGAATGGCTGGAAATGCTGGTATTCCTGGACGTCCAGGCTTGCCCGGTGTTCGAGGCGCACCAGGTACTTTGAAAAAGCTTATTTTTTCAATCTAATACAGCAGATCATCAGAAAAAGGATATGAACTTTTTCAGGTGCGCCTGGTAAGGATGGTTATCCCGGAGAGGACGGCATACCCGGAATTTCTCCCAAGGGAGCACGTGGTGACGCTGGTAGACCTGGTATTCCTGGAGCGCCTGGTTAGTACTTAGTATGCCTGGTTCCTTGTTACGCGTTAATGAAGTAACCAGTGTAGCAAGCAAATATGGCAGTTTGCGCCCTGGTCGTGTCTGCATACAAAGAACATTGTAACAAAAAGCAAACTTCTATTCGGCAACAACCAGTACAAAGCCGTACGCCTGCCAATACGCCTGCGCTAATGCGTAAAGCGAAACAAAAATAATTATTGTATTACTTAATTGCATTCGAGTGTTTTCTAATTGCATTTCCAAACTAATATGCCACAATGTATAAACAGGTTTCGGTGGTGCAAAGGGAGATCAGGGTTACCAGGGGCGTCCTGGAACTCCTGGACGTCCTGGAGACGTTTTAGGAGGCGGTACTGGTCCTAAAGGATTCAAAGGCGACGCCGGTGGTTTCGGTGCTCCCGGTACGAAGCAGCATATTATTCATATTTATTCTCATCAGCTGTTAGACTTCGGTGACCTTTTCGCATACATGCACATGACCCATTACAGTAAGTTGACTGCATGGTATGTATTAAAGGTCTGCCTGGAGCTGACGGTCTGCCCGGTGACAGCGGCCTGCCTGGGCTCAAGGGCCCGAAAGGTGACCAAGGTTATCCCGGACCCCCATCTCCGCCTGGTCTGGAAGGTGCCAAAGGTTTCAGAGGCGACGGGGTATGTATGAACGACTCTTGGCCTTCAACTTAAATAACATAATACGTGCGCATTTATCAGGGCCGACCAGGACAACCTGGCTTCCCTGGTCTGAAAGGCGCCCGTGGCGATGATGGTTACCCAGGTGCTCCGGGTCTTAAGGGCATGACTGGTGATGGCGGTGGCCCTGGTACTCCTGGTGCACCAGGTATACCCGGTCGCAAGGGTGACCGTGGAGAGCCCGGTCCCGATGCGCAACAACTTCCACCCATACCGGGGCTTAAAGGCGATAAGGGAGACGATGGAGATAACGGAGCCAATGGTCAGCCCGGTGCACCTGGTTTCCAGGGTAGGCAAAGACTTCGCCTTTTGCATTATTTGAAAACTACAGCACCATGCTTCATCGCTCAGGTGGTCCGGGTCCGAAGGGAGTTATGGGAGATCGCGGTATCAATGGCTTCCCTGGTAGACCTGGTATTCCAGGTGGTGCTGGACAGGATGGACAACCTGGATCACGCGGTACGGGGTTCAAACAGTATACGAAAATAATATTGTGTCAATACTACCTTATGTTATGTCTGCAGGAGCACCGGGTCAGGATGGTTATGACGGTCGACCGGGTCTGCCGGGTCGCCCTGGCGATGCCGGCCCGCCCCCCAGACCCCGCGGATTCTTGTACGCTATCCACAGTCAGACCGCGGTGGTACCGCGCTGCCCGGCTGGTACCAGTGCTCTGTGGACTGGGTATTCGTTGCTCTTTATACAAGGAAATTCGCGCGCCGCTGGTCAAGATCTTGGTAAGGTCACATTCGCAGACAAATTTGCATGAATACATAATATACATTACGTATTTTCCTTATTAGGCGCTCCCGGCAGCTGCATGAAGAAGTTCAGCACTGCTCCGTTCATGTTCTGCTCCATCCTGAACCAGTGCAATTATGCCAACCGCGCCGATTACAGCTACTGGTTGTCGACCGAAGCACCCATGCCCATGAGTATGGAGAACATCTACGGACAAGCCATTCAGCCGTTCATCAGCCGTTGTGCTGTATGCGAAACAGAAACACAGATGATCGCCGTCCACAGTCAGTCACTATATGTGCCGCAGTGCCCGGCTGGATGGCAGGGAATGTACTCCGGCTACTCCTTTGCCATGGTAAGACTTTTGCCGATAACTGTAATAAACTGGAAGAAAATGCTACATCCGTTGAATTTTTCACAATTGATAAACTACTGTACAAAAGCCGGTATGGTATATATTTTGATGTAACATGGAAATTATTTTTTCTTAGTTTTACTTGTTGTGTTTCGATAAAGTATTACTTTATACTAACCACATTTTTTTCCATTACAGCACAGCGCAGCCGGCGCAGAGGGCAACGGTCAGAGCCTCGTGTCACCCGGCAGTTGCCTACAGGAATTCCGTGCCTCTCCCTTCATCGAGTGCCACGGCACGGGCGGCTGCAACTACTTCGCCACCACTCTCAGCTTCTGGATGACAGTTCAAGAGGAGCAGCAACAGTGGAGTAAACCCCGTCCGCAGACTCTCAAAGCCGGCGATGTCCGGGCCAAGATTAGCCGGTGCCAAGTGTGTCGGCGTATCTCCGGCGCGGCCGCTGGACAACAGCAGCCGCCGGACCGCTTTGTCCCGCCCCACACGCTACAACAAGGGCAACAAGGACGGCCACCGGCTGCGCAGGACCGCTCAGCCATCCTCAGTGCCAGCCGTGGTTAAAACTCAAAGGTCACCGTTAAGACGTGATAGGAAGAATAAGTAGAGACGGGTTATCATTGCCAGATTTTATTCACTGCCGGTTTTGTTTTGTTGTACACTACACTTTGGTGCCTATAGCTGCATTATGCTCACTTTCTTGCGCATTTTTTCTGCTTGTCTCGATTTTTGATCAAAATTAATGGCATTTGTTAAGGGCGTTCTGGAGAGTCAAGTTGGTCAAAAGGATTTTTTTCTTGCATTTTTATTTTGAGCATTTGTGCTTCCAAAGGTTTCTATTCACTGACAAAGGCTTTTTGTAAGTTGTTAATGATGTTTCCTGAGAATTGTCTGTATCGCCTGATCCACTTCGTTATGCATTTGACCTCGTGTTAGCTAAGTACATTAAAAATTTAAAATTAATGCCATTCAGTGGTTTGAAATTGAGACGCTTTGGCATTTAACGAGCTACAGTTATCACATGCTTGTTTTGCTATAGTAATATTATTACTATCATGGCAGTTGTCCTTGAGTCTTGACTGCAGGGAAACGGGCTGAAACGAAAAAAATATTGTAGAAATTACGAGCAAACTGACGGTAAGTGACTTGCTACACTGGTAATGGTAAGCCGCACTTGAACCGAACTTTCAGGTGGCAACTAGTGAATTCGCGTAGCAAAAATTTTATTGATCGTCCCGCTGAGAGCATTTTTGACCTTTCTGTTAGCCGATGTTAATCGTCTAGCATCTGTCCTATGTCCGACTCCGAAATAGAGCTGAGCCGGCACATGCTTGCGAGACTGGTAAAAGGTAAAAGCAAAAAAGAGAGGAATAGTGAGACGAATAGCACAAGCCACTAACGAATTTACTTCTCGCCACGAGTACGTCCGTTCCTTAGTGGCTAGCGCTAATCCCTTTTCGAAAAGAATGATGGTGAGGGCTTCCCTCTGCAAACACTACTACCAAAACGACCCTTCATCTGGTCACTGCATTGGCGAAAAATCGTTCCCGCTAATGATGTTTACCATAGCGATAATTTATTAGTTATTACGAGTAATTGAATTTTAAACTCTGCTGTGCAGTGTGCGCTCGCATATGTATTAACCGCATAGAACGAAATATTTATACTATGTAACTTGCTTTAGCGCTGCAAACTTAAATTAGCAGCTCATTTCGCGCGAGTGTAGAGAGTTGCGACTAACAAAAAAAATCGAAAATCATGTATAATTCATCGCACCGCCAGATTGGACGGAAAGATCAAACAGATCAAGTGAGCTAACGAGTCTGGCATGTTGTTTCCTGATAGAGCAAGAAAACCAAAATCACGATAATATTACTGTACATGTATCTGTATGTGAGTAATTATTAGGAGCATCTGTGACTAAAGTACTGATATTTCGAAGCATTTGTCCTTCTCAAAGGAAAACCCGATCGCTTGAACCTCCGTGGGAAAGCAACGGAAGAACGCTTTTTTGGGAAAAACGCTTTAAGTTTTTTCCGCCAAGAGCAGTGAAAAGGCAGGTACGCATAGTTTTTCTAGTCTGACATGTGAGGCACAAGCTGGGATTAAACACAGGTGTTAAACAAGCATCATTTGGCTGTTATGTATATTCGTTGACGTTCTACAGCAGAACAACTGGCGTCCGCAGTACAACAGATTCACAGGAAAATTGGCAGTCTCGCACCATACAGCATCCGAGTTGTACAATATGAGTTGTGGTGCATAGAAGTCTTGGTGCTAGTCGCGTTTGCAAAACTTAACTGTGCTCATTGTGGCGGTTTTGTCTGCAGTTAGATGTGATTCATCAAAAGGCAGACGCAGCATCCGTTTCCGGAAGCTAGACTGAAATTAGTAGCACACAGAAACTAGAAACGTACTTACTAGAAACTTATTAGTAGCACAAACTGGATAGTGGCTATGCAACCAGTTTGCCGGCACGCGATGACCATATTGTAATGATCGTACACTGCCTACAATGCCAGTAACAGCTGTTTCACATGCAATGAAGAAAAAAAACATTCACGAACAAAATCATATAACAAATATTCATTTTGGCACATAGTAAAGTTTGCTCCAAGCAGCGGTCTGTTGTCTTTTGGTTTCAGAGTTCTAGGGTGGTTTCTTAAATAAATACATAAATACAAAAAATACAAAAAAATAAATACAAAATAAATAAATACAAAAAATAAATACAAAAAATACAAAAAAATTAAAACAGGTTATTATTAACATATTGTAGCGATAGTACTTGTACAACCAATAAGACCACCCAATTATGATTAATAATTTCATCGCGTATGAATTCTATCCACTTTACCGGCTAGTTTCCCTTCTCATGAATTTCTAGAAGTCAGTCTTGTACTCAGCTTTCTACAGCTTGCATCAGCTTACAACCTTGCTCCGTTTCTTGAACGCCCTTGTCATTAAAAAAAGGTCATCACTGTCAACATTGTCCACAGGTCATCATTGTCATTAAAAACATGCCTTGAGTTACGTTGTTGTGCTTGACCGCTTGGGATGAACCTGTGTCATCCCAGTCGCAGCCACCTGTGTAATTGTGTAACATCAGTAAGAGCCTCCTCGGCCAGCATCGTTGCCGGCCGTGCCACCTTTCATCCTAACAGCCGACAGATCGTGGTACGGTGGATTAACCAACCCACTAGAACACCAGCCAGACAGGCTGTTGTTACAATAAATACCGGAGTAGATATGACTCAAAATACAAACGTACTTGTGCGCACATGAATAAGCATAATTGCTTGAATTACGCGAACCGTATTGTGTCGAATTATCTTTGCGCCAAATTTTAAACCTAATGTGGCGAACATCCGGCGTACGTAGCTGTGGTTGTATGCCAGAATCTTCTTGGGAAATGTCGCAAATCCATTCCGAGGAGTTCTGCTGCGAATATGTATCCACACACTTCGGCTTGGTGCACGTTTGAAGCAATACAACCAGAGCCAGCAGCAACTGTTCCCCGAAATTAAAAAAAAATTTGTGGTGCAAGGCCGAACAGCATCTTGTATGTATATCGTAACGGAAGACTTCTTAAAACGACACAGTTGCAACTATTTGTACCCAGCTTTGTTGAGTTTCGCATTATTCAAAACAGCATGGTCTAACGGAATCGTTTTTAAATCTGAATTGGCATTTTCCCATGAAGAAAACTGACGGTTTCTCTTCGTAGAAAGAGACTACTGTACTACCATAGTCAGCAATCGGAAGTAAGAGTCACAACGGACACAGGGTAAACTGTTCAGCTTTATTCCCATGTTTAGAATGACGTTTTTATAACATGTTATTAGATCCGAAGTAGTAATAATCATCGTGTAAAAAGCTGATTTTGAGAGTGAAAAATTACTCATGACAAATTTGGAAAATTTTCAGTATTCAGATTGCAAATGTCCCTGCATGTTGAAGAGTGGTACCTGCATGTTGATGCCGATTAGCATACGTAAAAGCCCGGCCCGAAATTTTTAAACCGCTGTAAGCGGGATATTTGAGAAACGCGGGCTTGAGCCATACAAGGTGCTCTACGCCAGTGCATCCAGTGAAGAGTAGATAAAATCTAGCCTTACTGTGCGCTATTCACTGCGTCGCGCTTACAGCGGTTTAAAAATTTCGGGCCGGGCTTGTATTTTAGCACTAATAGAGTAATATATAGGCATCTGTTGTCGCCAGCTTAACCTACTGCACAAATTCACAGACCGCTCTGGACCCATTTTGTTATATGAATACTGATTATCTGTGCCAGGACTTCGGCCCATGTCCTTTGAGGCAAAGGATCTCGGCTTCTACTTCACCAATTTTGTTACTTTAAAGTACATCGAAATTCTCTAGGTGTAGCGGTGGATCCAAGATTGTTGACTTTTTGCCAAAATCATTTGTCTAGGTCCAGTGGTCAATCATACGCTTGTTACCATGGACGCGATAAGAAATGCACACTGTTCTAACGCAACTTGACCCAGAACAGTAGAAATATTTGAGCTGTCACTTAACAATAAGTACGAGTACAATACAAAGTAAAAACTTCATGTACTTAACTTAACACGTTAGTCATCATCACGTTAGTCGTCATTGCAAGTTCTATATATTATATATACTGTATGTACAAGTAGAAGGCCCGTGTTTCGATTAACTTATGTAAAGTGTATCATAATATAGATATTAGTCATCATATTACTAAACATACGTACGGATTATGACAGTCTGTAAGCGACCGCAGAGCAACACATCCTTGGAATTACTTATTTTTTAATAGTCGTCGGCCAATATTCATCCGTGCTGGGCTTGTTTACTCTATAAATAAAACATAAGACAAGGAAATTTACGCTCCTTCAGTCACGTAGCGGCCTCGCGAAGTAATTAACAGCCAAAACAGTGCTATGCAGTATGCAAACAGCAAACAATCACCTAATCAATTTCTTACATTCGCCATCCCAGTTTTTGGATTTTTACAGCGGGTTAAATCAAACCTTGCTGCCTATAGGTTTGAAAATTATTCTTTCGCTGTTAAACATAGGGTCAATTTGGGTGGATTAACATGCCCTTCATAAGTCAAACATGGCAAAGTGCAATAAATTGTTAACGCAGATTGGATAATTGCCTTTTCTCTCCTTTCACAATTTTTTTGACATCTCAAGACTTCTGTGATTGCTCGTTTTTGCGGTTTAATAACCAAAACGTTGCTCTAAAGCAGGGATACAAAACGGGGGGCCTTACAAACTTCCTGGCTACAATAAGATTAAGGCTGATTATTAAAACTTTCATGCAGTTGCTCCACTTGCTGCTCCGCGGGCTTCGCCTTCGGAGACTATTCGGTTAATTTCAGTTTGAAAATTTGGTTTGCGCCAACCGGCTAATCAGTATATGGTTTTCCAATGTTGCATCCCCTGCCGCGTCCCGAATCATTCCTGTTTTTTAGTCAGATCCGGCTCGTTCGTGAACTATTTGCATTGTTTTCCGAAAATCGGGAATAATTCCCTTTCCGGTGGTCGGATCACGCCCATCTTCGAACTCCCCCTCACACACACACACACACACACACACACACACACATACACCAACAAGCCCGATTTTGTCCAGCTGTAGTATAAAAAGCCCCGCTACGCTCGGCAAAAAACATTAAACTAAGAAAACATAAGAAACCAGAAAAATATAAGAAAGCCATAAGTTATAAGAAAAACATGAGAAGGCATAAGAAACATGAGAAAACCTAATAAATGAGAGGCCCTAAGAAATAAGAAAACATACTGAAAGGGTGGTTGCGCTGGCGACACGCCACAACATGTTGCATGATTATGCCATGATACGTATATCCAATGGGAAAACATCCTAATTCCAAATTTTTCAGAAATTATTGACTTTCCAATCCAAATTACTGTAATGATTACCGTGATATTACTGCGTGGCATGTATCTGTATGCTTACGAACGTTAAAATACGTTAAAAAACGTCATATGATTCATGGGGTATAAGTAAATCAAGGCAGCGCACTTCCTGTAATGTGTTGATTCGTTGACTGTTGATTCTTCTCCTGCGCACTCGATCATTCCGAGCCTGATATCTTTCTGCACGCGACGAGCTGAACGATTGAATTCACATCTGACGCTAGCTTCTTTCCTCACGACATTTATCAGTGTACTACGTAGCCAAAACCAGCCTTCAGTGGAAGACCCTAAAGACACCAACGCGATGAGCATCAATGCCACTATTAGAACGATCAGCGTCTGTTCTTCGTCGACCATAGCCAGCCATGTTGTCAAATTGGCCCCTAGTCCCTGTGCTCGGTGAGTGCCGTAGACATCCGGTTTTTGGGATGTATATTTACACTGTATTAACAATGTCACCAGAAATGTGTTAATGAAGCAGTTGATCCTGGATTCCTGGTTGTTTTCAGCCATCAGCATACAGACCAGCTGACTGCGTCTAGTGGGGGATTTGGGCGCAAAGTCGCTTTACCCTGTACCTGGTTGCTGTCGTTGGTCGTGTAGAAACAGGGCGATCAGGAGACTACGGGATGCGTTATGTTGTGCTTTGATTAGTTTTGAATATTGACGTTTGATGATCTTCGAAACAAATTTGGAGTTGAAAGTTGAGAGAGCAGGTCATAATAACCGAGTTTTGATTTACTTTGGTATTTTGAGAATATTTAGGAAGCGTGTGGCGATATTTCACCTCTCAGGGCAGCGCATGCTTGTTTCGCTGATGACCGCAGTCGTAGACTGAGGACTCGTAGTCTCCGAATTGTAGTAAGTATTTCTGTATTAGTTTGCCACTTTTATGGTACCATTAGAACGTTTAGTTAAAACATTTTTTAGATTGTGCTTTATGTATTATGTAAAAAAGATAGACGTGTTGACAGTACTGTACATAAAAGGCGCCGACGTCTAGCGCGGGTGGTGCAACTGTGCTAGGGATTTCAGTGTCCCTTAACATCGAGCAAATAGTACATTATACAGTATTATTAATTTCAAAATGGATCGCAGCGTAATTATATTATCAGGTGGTGCTTGAGAAGTTTTGTGCCACTGTTTTAAGACAAAAAAAAATGGCAAGTAATCGGTTTATAGGATTTAGCTTTCCATGAAAATATACACTTATACAGTAACAGAAGCGGTTGACAGAAATAGAACTACCACAGCCGGGGGCGGTTGCAGTAGATAATACAGATTGCAGATAGGCATACTGTTTTTGTCGGCGCAGTGGCTCACTCAGATTATAAGATATTTATTTGTTCTTTTACTGTGAAGTTGTGAACAAATAATTTTGAAGGACTGTCTGTTACAGTGCTTTTCACTGGCATAGATTTCGAGTATTCTCCTTTATACTTCTAGGTTTTTGGCAGAGATTAAGGGAAAGATGGCTGCGCAGTGTTCCCTCTCCCTTCGGACGTTGATAACGACAGCCATGGTACAGCAGAGGAAAGCTGGCGCGGCTCCATTTTCGCCGACTGCTCCTATGTCGGCTGCGGCGCGCCTGGCGACCCGGGAGCATGTGAAATGGCCCGATGTTGAGCCGCGTGTGGATTTGCCGTCACAGCTGGGGTGAATGCTATCAGCAAGTTGCTGTGTTTGGAGCTTGCTCGTCAGTGGCACCGAATATTCACCTTCGTATTTGCAGGCTCTTGGCGGAAACTCAGAAAGCGGCGAGTTGGCAGCGTTTTCAGCGGACTCGGACGAGGAAAGTGTTGGGGTAAGTTGCACGCACGGTAATAAGCATTTCTGATTTTTTCTCCCACAATGTGATGTCTTTTGAAAACATTTACCGGTGAAAAGATAATTGGTAAAATCATTTTACTGCGGGTTAGTGTGCTGTTTTGTACCAGGTTTGTGCGTAGCCAACCATTTTGCCTGGCAAAGGCTGGCATACACACAAAGACATGCCATTGTTTCGACTTTTCTTAACAACGGATCATTCTAGATTTCTAACTGTACAGAGGGTGATTTCGCAAAATGCTTCCAGCAAGGGAAAAAATTTCCAAAAATTTCTCTTTCTATTCTTTTTATTTGTTTGCTAAACAGTCTTGTGGGACAAAGTGTGCCTAATTGTTCAGAATGATTTGTGGAGTTCGAGCGATCAACATTGCATGAAAAACCGATTGAAGAACAAGGTGCCGTGTGCTGGCGTTATAAACAATTTGTAAAAGCCACAGAAAACTCGCCGAGCGTTTGATGAGCAAAGGGATTGTTATTTCTCATACTAGGATGAATAAGCTTTTAAAACTATATGGGCCCGAGAGCGAAGGGAGTGGTTCGCCTGTAAAACGCCTAGGAAATCAGTGCCCACCCAAAGTTCCCACAAAGTCCCTCATCGCCGACGTCAAGAGGGCTATCTTAATACCGAATCCACCGTCTCAGAGACAGTTGGCAAGGAAATTTAGGACATCTCAGTACAGGATATCGAAGATTATTCATCGTAATCTTGAAGCGAAAGTACGTGAAAAAGGCAAAATACATGCACTGTCAAATAAGCAGGCAGAACAGGGTGCTTCTCGTGGTCCCCGATTTGCCAAATTTCCGAACCAGCGAAATTTGCCCTACGTCATTCTAATCGACGCAGCATTAGTCTATCTTTATTATACGGGCTAGCGAAGAAAGATCTGCTACGAGTTTAAAGGACTCGAAAATTCCGAAAATTGGATGAAATTTTGGAAAGTTAAAAAACCACAAGGTGCTAGGTTTATCGCCAAAATTTTTTATCGTCCCCCAAACAGTGATCCGGTTCATTTCTCCCACTGCTAAAATAACCGCCGATTTCTACATTCAAAACGTATCCAAGCCGTTAATGCGAGAAGCCTTCCACCGTCTTTGTCCAGGTGAAGAAAGGAAGGTAGCACTGCATCAGGACCCCGTTCCCGCACATACTCCCAAAAAAACATGCCAGAGGCTAGCTTCTCGCGGCATCCGATACATTTCGAAGGGCATGTGGCCGAGCAACTCCCCGGACTTTGCATCCATGGATTTTGGAACGAATGGGATTTTTAAAAGAATTTTGTATCACAAGCATGCAACGTCGATTCGCAGTTTGTTAACAGTTGCTCGCCCATCTTTGTCTAGAATTTCAATTACCCTGAGCCACAAAATAATTCGTTCCTGGCGTTATCGTGTGGAGTTGATGGCAGAGAAGAAGGGGTTTCAGATAGAGCAAATATTAAAATAAAGTATATGCGGCGGAGATTATAATTAATTTATGAATAAAGTGGAAGCATATTGCGAAATCACCCTCTGTACATTTTGAACAACGGATCACCCTAGTTAGGGTAGTTTACGGTGCTTTGCGGTGTACACCGGTGTGGCTTCGGTGCGATTTTTCACAAGAAATCGCACTTACAGTAGCTTGGTACAACAATTCCGAAATAATAACTGCCGTATTTTACATATTCACCACTTTCATCTTTCTTTTACGCATAATTAAGTATGCATGTCACAAGTCTTGATAGCACACACTCTCACGTTATAAACTGCTGATCGCAGGCCCAATAACGCGCTTTTGTGGGGCTTCTTCAAAGTTTTTAACCCAAAGATTTTGTTTTCGTGCAACATCAGCATTTGTTTGCAAATTCCGTGCAAGTTTCGACTACGTAAATATAGTTAATTTAAAAAATTTTTGCTACTATCAGAACTGATTGCGAGCAGCTGGAGCAGGGCTGGTCATTCTACCAGCGCACCGGTGCAATTTCAAAAAATTGCGGTGCGATTTTCGATTTCACCACATCGTCCGGTGGGGTTTTTCGCGTTACGCTCACGAAATTTGAAATCGTGACTGACCCGTTATTCAGAATGTACAGTGAAAATTATCAAAGGGCATGGCCAGACGAAATTTAAGGAATACCACATGTAATACATTTTTAATTTTTTACAATCCATTAGGGCAGTACTCATAGGATTTTACGTAAGAATAATTTAGAAAAATCTTCTCTTTTGCTCTAGGTTGGTGCACCAATACGAAAAGCTTAAAAAATTATTTTCATCTGCAAAAGACAATTAAATTGAATTAATAGAGCGCCGCTGAGTAAGTCTAATAGTTTCAAAAATTAAGTTACAGATACGAGTGTAGAAGTGGTGGTACTCCCGCTGAAAGACAATCATGGACGGCAGGCTTATGAACCGTAATATAATCTGAAATTTTGTTAATTAGCGAACAAATGTATGTTTTTTCTGTCAAAGCATTGGTACGCGGCGTAGTAAACCTAAAACAATATTGTAGGTACCAGCTCATTAAAACGAAATATGCAGGAAAATGTGCTACGGAACCTCTACTCGTACTCAAGTACCTGCAGTACTATTAAACCTGTAGTCTCTTTTTGTAAATTTTTTCTAATTGGCGACACCCTTTTGACTTTTTAGAAATGTTCTTTAAACATTTCGCACTCTTCCATTACCTTTCGGCAAAAACAAGATTTTTCAGAATTATTTTTACATAAACAGCTTACGAGTGCTGCCCTAGTGCACTGCACTAGCGCATTGTAATAGTACAGCTTATTGTTAGGACAAAAAAGACGCATAATCCTACCCACAGCATTCCGAAGGACCGAACGCATGCGGCGCAGTGCACTGTACGACTCAGCTAAAATATCCGGTTATCGTACAAGTGCACTTGCCACATGCGTACGGATATCTGGGTATGGGGTTATGCGTCTTTCTAGTCCTAAGCTGTATGTGGTATTATGGTGTTCTTTGATTTGTTTGGCCACGACATTTGAGCCTCTGCACATGAAACTATTTTTAATTACTTTTAAGTGATATACTATTTCTATGCAAAACATAAGATTTTTTGAATTTGGTCCCGGAAAATGTGCCCTGGTTAGTTACATAGTTGAACAATTGTAATGTTATTATTTAAAATTCAGAATTTGATGTGTGGCGGTGGTTTTTGCAGAGACGTTTTGACGGCAGAAGCGCGCCAAGCGCTGGTTGCCAGTCGCAACTGCGAGGAATGTTTTGCCGCCTGGACTACCGTGATGAATAGTATGCTGCGCAATGACGAAAACGGGAGCTATGTGTTCTACAACTTTTATGATGGCGTATCTTGCGGTGTGCCCAAGTTGTCCCTGCCCTGCATCTTCGTCATCAAGGTGAATTATGACGGCACGTGCCCCACCCGGCTAATGCTATGGGGCACTCACGAGGAGAGTGAAAGGGAGCGGGTGTATTGTTCCGTATCAGACATGTGCCGCATGGAGCAGGTGGCCACGTTCAAGCGAAAGGAGATGGCGGGTGTGGGGGAGTTGGCCTTCCTGTTCTTCCGGGGGCCGCGCTTCTTCTGGGGCCTCCAGCGGGAGGGAGAAGCGCCGCAGCGTCTCAGCGGTGATTGTGATGCACGGAATAACAGTGGGGAAGTGGCGCTCAGTGAACTGCGTGAGTATTTAGTCAAGCTGCCTGGAAGCCGCCGCTTGTGGGAATGGAATCCTGTCTGGGATTGAGTCTCGTGGTTATGTCCGATTTTTTAGGTTTCCTTTGTTTCTTTCAAAATCTTATGATGTTTAATTGAAGTCTAATTCGTAACGATTGCCAGTGATATTGTGAACGCTTGCCGCAATATTCTCTCATTCATCTCACCTGTGTGATTAGAAAATTAAACGGTTTGTAGTCATTAAAAAGGAAAAGCTCGACAAGTTATTATCTGCTATAAAATAAATATACAATAGATAACTGCTGAATATTACACAAAGTCATTAAAAATTGATTGTCA